CACCATTGGGGTGTGGTGAGTATGGTGTATTTTTTGTGTATGTTGTGTAAATTTTGTATTTTTGTTGTATTTCATTGTGGTGTGTTTCCCTTACATTGTTGGTGTATTCTGAAATTCTATCGCACGGGAAGACCCCGCGGCATTTGAAATTTCTTCTATATATATATATATATATATATATATATATATATATATATATATATATATATTACTGACTCTGTTTTTACCAATCATATCTCAGTTAAAATTAATCGTTGTATTTCTATAAATACCACATCATATTCCTCTCGTACCATATCAGATGTTACATGTCCACTACTGCTCCAGTAAATATCCTAGTACCTTACGTACAACACATCACTTTATTATTATTTTTATTCTGTTATAATTTAAAATATTTAAACTTGTTATTTAAATTTATTTTATTAATATTAATATTTGAATTTATAATTATAAAGTTAAAATTATTAATGATAAAAAGTAAATCAATAATAAGTAATGTGTAAGAATGTAGAGATGTAAAATATACACAAAAAGTAAAAATAGAGAGAAAAATTGAAGAGAAAATATGAAAGGAGATGGTAAGACCTACTAAGACAATAACATTTTATACATTTTTTCAAAAAAAAAAAAAAACATTTTATACCTAGCAAATGACACCTAGTTCTCCCAGGTCATATCCCCCTTGTCACTGAAACATATTTGAGATATTTATAGACAAATAAATAATATATCTTTTTTCTTTTTTGAGGCAAAATAAATCATATATCTTGATCGATGTATAATTAAATTCAAAAATATCAATTCAATAATATCCAACTAATTTTTTGAAGGTCAATCTTGCAATTGTATTAATGAATCAAAGCCGAAATAGCGTCAGGTGGGATAGCATCCCAGTACATAGCTTGATCCTGAGTAAATGCTAACGTAGCTAAAGTATGCGCATGTAAATTAACCTGCCTAGAGATGTAATCCAAAGTAATACGATTAAACAACGACATAAACGTTCTGCACTGGTCAACTGTGACCCCAACGTACGAATGGATCGGCGTGTGATGGTGCCTGATAATCGTAGCCAATTCCATGCAATCCGTGAGTAAACTTACTGATGTGTTGTCCCGTTCAAGTAGCCAGGACAAAGCCTCCTTGTATGCCTGGGCCTCCGCCATAAGTGGTGAAAAACAAATCGGTAACTTGCCATTCCTTGCTGCCACAAACGAGCCATCTGACGCTATAACTATCATGCCGTAAGTAGCCTCGCCCGTGTCGTGCCGGAAACCTGCGTCCACATAACATCGCAGACCACTCTCCCCTGGACCGTTCAAGTGGTCCGTTGCCGGTGCCGGTTCGGTTCGGCAAACATGGGCAGCGCTGTACGCCTGTTGCGCTACGGTGGCTGCTCTGACCAATTGGATAGGCCGCATCATTGATCCCTTCCAGACAGCTGAATTCCGGGTTCTCCAAATATAATATAATACTGCTATCATTAACCGGGTCTGCTCCTCCGTCAATGCCGCCATAGCCCCTTTTATCCATGTTGTAAACGAGTCTGCAACAATATTAATAACAGGCAATTGTGTTATATTCCAAACAAGTTTAGAATATTCACAGAGCACTAAAGCATGCAACACATCTTCATGATCTAAACCACACATAGGGCAAGTTGGGTCGACCTCCACCCGTTTTAATATCAAGTTAAGGGTTGTTGGCAAAGTGTCACCAATGGCTCTCCACAAGAAAGTTTTCCATTTAGGGGGGACTTTTATTTTCCACATTGCAACCCACTTATCAAAACTCGCTGGATTATTCTCATACTCACCCACAATATGCCTATAGGCATTCTTTACTGTATATGTCCCCTTTGGGTCACCCATCCAATACCATGAGTCCTCATACTCAGGACTAACAGGGATCATATTTATTCGCTCCACATCCTCAGGAATAAATAAATCAGACAAAATATGCGGATCCCAGGTATGAGTCTGTGAATCAATTAGTCCCGCAACTCGTGCCTCTCTCAATTGCTGTGGCATTTCTGTTTGAATCAATGGGCTAGGATTATCTCGTAACCACGGGTGTCCCCATATTAAAGTTGTCTATCCATTCCCAATCCTCCTTCGCACCCCTGAGACTACCATTGCATGGGCTGCCATTATACTTCTCCAACAGTAACTTGGGCAATTACCAATAGTTGCATCTGTAAAACTGGTTGTGGGATAATACCTTGCCTTATAGATTTTAGCCACGAGTGTTTCTGGGTCTGTTAAAAATCGCCATGCTTGTTTACCCAGCATTGCTAGATTAAAAGCCCTCAGTACTTTAAAACCCATACCACCATACTTTTTTGGTATGCACAACCTGTCCCATGCCTTCCAATGTATTCCCCGTTCTCTTCCACTGCCCCACCAGTACCTGTTCATAGTTCGCTCAATTGACTGACAAACTGTCTCAGGTAACAAAAAAACACTCATCGAAAAGGCAGGCATAGATTGCGCTACACTTTTCAATAATACTTCCTTACCAGCCTGAGAGAGTAACTTTTTACTCCACGAACCAATTCGTTGCCTGATTTTTTCCTCCACATACGAAAAAACAGCTCTCTTATTCCTCCCTACAAAAGATGGTAGGCCCAAATATTTCCCAAAATTGGGTTCTTGCACCACCCCCAGACAATTCGCTACCTGTGCCCTGTCAGCCTCCTAGGTATTTCTGCTAAAACATATATTAGATTTATTATAATTCACCACCTGGCCTGACAATTTCTCATACCTTGCTAGGCACTGCCTTATAACTCCTGCCTCCTGGATATTTGCTTTAAAAAATAGGAGACTATCATCTGCAAAAAATAAGTGTGATACAGGCGGCGCCCCCCTTGCAACTCTGCACCCATGTATTGAGCCTGCCAACTGTTCATACTGTAATATCATCGAGAGAGCTTCTGCACAAATTATAAATAAATACGGAGAGAGTGGGTCTCCCTGCCTGAGTCCCCTGGTTGGTTTTACGTGCCCCCTGCCATACCATTAACCATTACAGTATAATTAACAGTCGTTACACACATCATAATGAGCTTTATCCACTTCTCACTAAAACCCATAACAGTGAGCATCCTTTCCAGAAAGTTCCACTCCATTCTATCATAAGCCTTCGACATATCTAACTTCAATGCACTCCATCCCACTATACCACATTGCTTTCTATTCAGATAATGGCCCACCTCTGCTGCCACCAGGATGTTGTCAGTGATTAGCCTTCCCGGGATAAAAGCACTCTGGGATTCCGATATTAATCCTCCCATTAGTGTTTTCATCCTATTTGCTATCATTTTAGCCATAACTCTGTAAATGACATTACTCAATGCGATCGGCCTTAAATCTGCAACTGTCTCAGGCATCTCCTTTTTCGGTATCAATACAATGTTAGTATCATTCAATCCCTCAGGGAATACACAGGAATTCAAAGTATTCATTATAAAGCCAGATACATCACCTCCCACTGTCTCCCAAAACTGCTGGTAGAAACCCGGGTTTAAACCATCCGGACCCGGAGCCTTATCCGGATACATTGAAAATAGAGCCTCTTTAACCTCATTAGTTTCAAAGGGGCGGTCTAGCATCATATTTTGCTCCAACGTTACTCGTGGGGTTAGGACCCCAAAAAGTGGATCATCACAGCTCAATCCATTAGAGGCAAAAATATTTTCATAGTAACTCTGTATAGCAGCATGCATATCATCCCCCTCCACCCAGTTACCAGCATCATATTTAATAGTAGAAATAAAATTCTTTTTCCTACGTGCAGAGGCATACCTGTGATAAAATTTTGTATTCGCGTCAGCCCCGCGTAGCCAGTGCTGCTTGGCCCGCTGCCTCCAAAACACATCCTCCTGGGCCTCTACCCGTTTCATGGTACTCTCAATCTGCTGGTACTCAGCTAGCGCTGCCAAATCACGTCTATTTCGTATGGCATCTTGCCTCCGCTGCAGGTGGTTAATTCATTTTCCGAATTTATTAAACTGATCTCCACCCCACTGCATCAACTTTTCTCCACACAACTGCTGGCAATGCAGCAATCCCTCTGTTCTCCCCTCTTGCCAAGCCGTTTCTACTACTTCTTTGCACCCTTCATCTAACAACCAAGCCATTTCAAATCTGAACTTCCGCGGCCCCCTTCTCCTTGGCATGCAAAACGCATTAATACTTAGGAAAAGGATCGAATGATCCGAGGCCCGGGTTCGAATATTCTCCAGCCATGCATTCTCATTGAGCAGACCCCAATCATTCGTTATTAAAGCCTTGTCTAATCTTTCCTCTATCAAATTCGGCGTCCCCTTTCCCTTCTGCCACGTATACTGATGGCCCCTCATTGGCATTTGCATCAAACCACAGTCATCCACAGCATCTCCGAAACCCCGTAACAGACTATTAGGATACGGATTTCCCCCATTCTTCTCATGCTGGTATAGTAGATTATTAAAATCCCCTATCACCACCCAGGACAATAAGGATCTAGTCTTGAGAGTACCAAGTAAACCCCATGTCTCCTCCCGCCTGCCACGTTCGGGGATACCATAAATGCATGTCATGCGCCATAATTTATTAAACAAGCTTACCTCCACATCAATATGGCTCTGCGAGTAGCTTAATAGTCTCACCGTATTATTCTTCCTCCATAAAAGCGTCATTCCTCCACTCAGACCATCGTTATCAACATAAAACAAACCTTCATAACCAAGCGTAACCCGGATCCGTTCTGCATGTATCCGTGGTACCTTGGTCTCCATCAAGAACACAAAGTCAGGCTTCTTACTGGCCGCAAGGCCCACAATCTGTCGAACTGTGCGTGGATTGCCCAAGCCACGACAGTTCCAGCTCAAAGTACTCATGATGATGGGCGGGGCTGGACACCAGCTCCCGCCATGGACAAGTTTTTTGAATAAAGTAATTTAATAGCCAACTAATTTAAATATGAATAAAGTAATTAAAATAAATACCCCCTAGTAGACTGCGGTTGCCTGTAGCTGTACTTGGTCAGTTCATCTTCTTCCCGATGCAAGCCCCAGTTCGGAGTCTCAGCCTCGCGTTCTTACTGAGCCGTCCATGGTCTAAAGAACCCAGCTTTCGATCATTCTCATCTTCTTCTTCATCAAATTACTCAAACCAGTCTCGCGGTGGCCTCCCTCGCTTCTACTCCGAAATCCTCCCTTCTTCCGAGGTATCTCCATTTTGCTCAATTTCCCTCTTTTTTATCCTCTCCCAAGTCCCAATATACTATTCATTCGTTGAATTTCTTCTTTATGGCTCAAACCCAGTTCGCATTTTACTGTTTTCGTTTATTTGTTTTTATTAAATCGTGTTTGCATTTCATTTATTGCTCAGTGTATGTCTGCTCCCAGTGCATAAAGAACGAACCCACTGATTTGTGGCCTTGTGGGTCTCGCTTTTATTAAAATGTATATACTTTTTCTTAGTAGAGATGAATTATTTTTAGCAAAGCTAATGCCTTTTTGAAGCACGTGTGAAGAAGACTGCTGCCCTTCTGCTTGCTTTGAGTTTTTGAATGCTGGTTCTGATTATATGATGTAGAACTTGAAGAGGTTTAATTGTTCACATACATAGACGTGCAGAGGATTGTATATGGCTTATACTGGCTCCGATTTGATGAATCTATCTTCTTAAAACAATGTTTTGGTTTCATGACTTTCTGAAAGATTTTCAATTTCCTCATATTCAAATTTAATTGAGTTTAGGACCTTTTGGTATTGTGTTGACATGCAGGGTAGTGTTGTGCGAGTCAAAGGCGATGAGTTTTGGCACATGACTAGAGTTCTAAGATTGAAAGTTAATGATAGGTAATCTGGAGTTACATTTACCTTGGATGTTTCATATAGTATGGTGTCGGCTTTACCTTAAATGTCTTGGTGGAAGTAGAAATATGTTCTCCAACAGCTTAAAGACAGGATGAAGTGTTGAATAGCGCTTAGTTTACTTGTCCTATAGTAATTAATGAATCTCAGTTCATGGTTTTCAATTTTGAAGGGTAGAGCTATTCAATGGAAAAGGAAGCTTAGTTGAAGGATGCATACAAGAAATCGATCAATCTGGATTGAACTTTGTGGCGATAGAGAACCCAAAGTCGGTATCTCCCTTGGACACACAGTGGCATGTCTTTGCTGCTTTTGGTGAGTGTTTTAGAGCATTCTCGTGCTTCTTGCTTGCATAACGTAACATAACGCCCTCTTAAGTTTCTTTGTTCTAGGAACTCTAAAGGGAGGCCGGGCTGATTGGCTTGTGGAGAAATGCACTGTATGTATATATTCGTCATGCGTCTCTTCAAGTACTACCATATCTGTTGAGCATATAACCATTAATGTGCAATCCAACTATCAGCTTAGGCTTTTAGTTGAGATGGAGCACATGCTTCAATTTGGTATCAGAGTCAGACCAAAGGTCATGGTCCACGGCATATAACCATTAATGTGCAATCCAACTATCAGCTTAGGCTTTTAGTTGAGATGGCTTCAATTTGCCATTCAGTATTTACTTACTGCCTTTATTGTTTCTTCGTCTCAGGAAATGGGAGCCAATAGCATTACTCCTCTGTTGACAGAACGCTCTCCTTCGATTTCAGAAAACCGAGTAGAGAGATTACTTCGTGTCAGTCTTGCAGCCGCTAAACAATGTGAGCATTTTGGTGTAATTTAAAACGTTTCTTTGTTATACGACTAGTGCTATATCAACAGTTACTTCTTTTAATAGGTCAACGGCTGCATGAAATGAGTCTGAACCCTCCTATGAAAGTTAGCGAACTAATACCTCATGTAAGTTAAATTGTCTTGCGTTCTACCTTTCAAGTTCATTTAAATAAATGAATAGAAAAATCGTATCTTTTATGAATAGCTCTGGCCTTTAAACTTCTTTTCTCCCTTTCCAGTTTCCATCATATACAAAACTGATTCTGTCTCTTTTTGTTTTGGCCGTGGGCTTGGCACCATGCAACCGTAGGTCACAAAGTCAACATTATCGTTTATTGCTTTAGCCGAGGCTATGCCAGTTTTTAGTGCTTTGAGTTCCCGAAGAAAAGAATCGAGTGGATTATTGATAATAGGACCGGAAGGAGGTCAGTATTATGGAGTACTTGTTAGCTTAGTACACTCCACCCCACCCCTTTTTTCGTCTGTTTCTGTTTCCTTAAACTTTATGCAAACATGGCAAGTGTCAATCGTTTCATTGAATCGAAAAGAGGACTGTTAAAATGTTTGGCAATAACTGTAGTTTCAAGAAATCGAAGGAAGCTATAGATACTGTTTCTTTTTCCATCTCCATACTTAAACATTTGAAACCTAGATTATGACTTGAAACTCTGACTTAGATTTTGGTGATCGTGATCCTGCTGCAGACTTCACCGAGATGGAGAAGAACATGATAGTGGATGCGGGAGCAAGTGCAGTTGGTCTCGGGCCACATCGCCTACGAGTTGAAACCGCGACAGTCGCACTTTTGGCAACTTTGATGTTGTGGTCTGACCATCAGAGGCTAGCCAACAGCTAACAGAACTTGCAAGCAATCAACTATCCTTAGCTTTAGCAATTACTTATTCTGGTACAAGAGATTCCTCTGGTGCATAACTTTTGGTCGCTTGTTTTCCTCAACTTTTATGTTTTGTTGGTGGTTTTCTTGTGAATTCTGAGTTCAAAATCTTTTTATTTTTGATTACTATTGAATCTGTTACAACTTACAATGTAGTATCGGTCCATACATACTTTCTCATCCTATTAAAGCACAAGGAGCCAATGCCCTCTATTGAGGTTCAAACCTGTGATCCTCCATTTAGGAGAGCCATACTTATGTCGTTTGACCACAAAGTCTCTGAATTCAGAATCTACACAATTGAAGATTTAAATATCTTCAAATGCAAAAGTTGATATCAACTAGATAAAACGTTCCAAATTCGACTCCCACTGAAAGTCACTTATTAACCTAGGTTAATTTACTTTATGGTGATCCTTTGTCAGCTAGAATAACAAGATGAGATTTATCAAGTACACATCCTTGGTCAGCTAGAGTCACAAAAATGATCTAACTGTTTAGAAATTTTACAATATTATATGACACACCGAATGATATCATTTGACCTGCCAACAAAATCTTAAAGTGATATATTTTAATGTCTAAAAGATTACAGTATAGTAATAAAATCCTCCAAAGAAATGGCCCAAGTTGCTATATGTACTAAAGTTTGTATATAATGAAAACAAATATAAGAGTTTGAGAGAAAAACAAAAAATCCCAAAATTCTTACATTTCAACAAAAAATATATATTTTGCTTAAACTATCTAGATAGAAAAGTGGTAGCAGATTTACTGACTCCCTGTAATCAAGGCTTTGATTTTGACCCCGTCTTTCAATATTAAATCGCAGCCATACAATTGTTTAAAATATACAACATCCACAGTCCACAGAGTGTGAACTGTATTGACAAATTCAAGACTATATATATACACTCTCTTCTAAGAAGTAAGAACAGTCTGCATTCTGAAACTATACATATATATATATATATATACAACCATTTCCAGAATCAGAAGTTGCAGAAAATCAACACTATACTGCAGTTATGAGAGCTAAAGGGATAAAGAAGCAATCAAGCAAGCTGATAAACTGCATACTGCGAGCACCGGCTATGGTCTTACGCAAAGCACGCGACTTTTACGCGGAAAACCTGACCGGGTGTACCAGCGGAGGCGTGTGCGGTGCTCGCCGTAACTGCCTGTCCAGGGATTTCACCGCGGCGGCGGAAAGGCGGAGGGGCGAGGCGGCGGAGGGCGACGATTTGGCGGTGCTCCTCCGCGCGGCGTTCCCGCAGCTGGACGTGAATCGGAGTTTGATGGTGAGGAAGAAGGGGGGATCGAGGGGAGTTGATCGGAGTTACAGCGATAGGGTTGGGAGAATAGGGAGGATTGATGAGAATGAGCCGTGCGATTTCATGGAGGATGATGAAGCTAGTAGTTATGGGTGCAGCAGAAGCTATTCTTCCCTCATCAAGAATCTTGGTCTCTAATTTCTTCATTTACGGACTAGTTTTTAATTAGTTAATTAGTCATGTTTCTTGATTTAGATAATGTCTAATCTTATAAATATTCATAAACTCTAATCCATTACATTCTAGTCATCATAAACTTTTAATTTATTTAAAATAATTTTTTCTTATTTGTTTAAAAATTATATAGTATTGAAAACAACTTCTTTAATTTTATGCCTGATACATATATTTGTGTGAATGATATGAGTAGCATTTGCCTATTTATTGGAATTTCAATAATTTTTTGATCACCTTTTAATGACATGAAAGTTTGAATATATAGGGATAGATATTATGACTAATAGTCACTTGGTGCAGGGTAGACCAACACAAACGGCACTTAAAACTCAAATAGACTCTCGAACTTTAGCTGAAAAGTCGATGAGACTCTTAAACATTTTAAATGTCCAATTACAACCATGAACAATTTATTTTGATGCAATAAAGCCTAAAAATCGGTTATGCGACTCAGACAAAAAAAGTGAGCGAACTGTCATCAATCGGCTTCTTGTCTGTCGGCCACTTTTTTGACTGAAATTTTGCCATTAGAACCCTAATGACATGTGATAGCATGTCATAACTGATTTTTGGACTCTAGCACACTTTAGGGACTAATTGAATTTCAATTGAAGTTTGATGGCTTATTTAACTATTTTTTCAAATATTTTTATTGTGTTTGTAAATTTCACTGAAATATTCAACTCTAGCACAGTGTCCAAAAAGGATATTTATACAATCCAAAGCTACCAATAAATGACCCTCTTAAATGCATTTAATTCATAACTGCCTCCATTACTTCCTAAATATATATAATTAGTATAATTAGTAAATAATTACTACGTAATATTTATACCTATTTAAACAAAAAAAAATATAGATATTTTTATACGGAGTATTTGTTTCCCGTTTCCATGCAACTTAAAGAGGAAAATAAAAATAAATGACTCGTATTTTTGGTAATTTTCTGGGAGAAAGGTGCCGAACTGCCGATCCTACTTTTTAACTGAAAAGTTCAGTTACGAACACTGATGAAGGGCAATCCTCCGGCGAAGCTCAACGCCGATTCGCCGGTCGACGATGGAGATCCCCTCCGCACTAACAATCCCTTGCCGGGAGGCGTAATCGTCGGCGGTGGGCTGCGAAAGAAGGCTGCCGGGGTCCGGCCATGGCTTCTCCTGGACTCTACTGGGCAAGCGCAGGTGGTGGAGGTCGGAAAACATGCTATCATGCGCCGGACTGGGCTTCCGGCCCGGGATCTTCGTATTCTGGACCCACTTCTGTCTTACCCTTCCACTGTGCTCGGCCGTGAGCGGGCAATCGTCATCAATCTGGAGCATATCAAGGCCATTATTACAGCACAAGAGGTCCTTCTCCTCAATTCTAGAGACCCTTCTGTTGCTCCTTTCGTCGATGAGCTCCAGCACAGAATTCTGCGTCACCACCAAGCTACCAACTCCCAGGTTTCTCTTTATCTATACGAAATGCGTATATATATATTGGCTTAAAATGTTCACAGTTGAAAGAAACTGATAGAAGTAATTTCTTTAAATTTCTGAATTGCTATTATTTCTGTTAGACTGTTACAGCACTGTAATACTTTAGCATGAATTATTAAATTTGCCTTTATAAAATTGTTTTGAATTCTGGATTGACATCTTGTAGGTTTAGGGTGCTCACAAACTGTGACTGTTTGATTCATTGAATTATTGGACTTGAACCCATGACCTTAATCCTTTGCGATTTATGTTGTTTTTCTATGTATATCTCACTTTGTATTTTGGTGTTTAATTTGTTGCTATAAGTATGTGTGTAGTGCATTTTAGTTGTAAGTTTATAAGGATTGGTAATCAACTGGTGATTATGATTAATGAAGGAAGCTGGAGATGGTCAGGATAATGCAGACTGGGAAAATCTGTATGATTCTGAAGAGCCACAATCAAATAGAGCTAGCCCTCAAAACTATTCTGGGGGTTTCCCGCCTAAAAAAGACGAGGAGGGTAAAGCAGATGGGAAACAGCAAGCTGGTGAGAATCGAGATGGACTAAAGCTTCTTCCATTTGAATTTGTTGCACTTGAGGCATGCCTAGAGGCTGCTTGCAGTTGCTTGGATAATGAGGTACCGTAATGCGCTTCTCTTAGTTGAACATTATTTTGTATTCATAATACTTTTTCTCATATTGTTGCTTAGTTTTGTTTTGGTTTTTTAACTCTCTAAAGCACGATGTTTTTGTTATCTTGCCTCTTCTTTTGTTGCTATTTCCCTTTTTCATTATAGGCAAGAACATTGGAGCAGGAAGCTCATCCTGCATTAGATAAATTGACTTCAAAGATTAGTACTCTGAACTTGGAGCGTGTCCGTCAAATTAAAAGCCGCTTGGTTGCAATAACTGGGCGTGTTCAGAAGGTACTATAGTTAGTTTTCTGGATAACTACCTGGACAACATGGTTTTCTTTAGGCTTTCAATAAATATGTTTAATTCAAAAATATTCGTTCTCAGGTAAGAGATGAACTGGAGCATCTACTAGATGATGATGAAGATATGGCTGAGATGTATTTGACTGAAAAACTTATGCAACAACTTGAGGGTTCTTCTGTTTCATCCATAAATGAGCAAGATGGCTTGGATGAAGGAGTTATTCAGGAAGATTTGATTGATAGGTATCTAAGACTATGTCTCTAATGTTGTGATGATATATATGGTTGATTTTCATTTTAGGCCTCACCTTCACTAGTTCACTCACTAAATGTAGACTGCTTTATAGTTTTACAATTGTATTACTCTAGACAATTTACTAGGATCTCCTCTTTGTTTTATAAATTAGAAAGACAAAGTACATCGCTTCTCAAAAACATATATGAACTGAGGTAATGGAGATACTTTCCATCTTTGCATCTTCTGCTTATAATATTGCAAAGGTTATAAGAAACTGGTATATACATAAAATGTGATGACTGTAGTCATGACCATGGCCACATTCATTTTTTCTCACTAACAACCCCGTTCCACATAGCCTTGAACCTTATATCTATCTGGCTATCCACCAAAAGTTTTATTTCTCTTCATTTGTGATGTCAGGATTCCTGCTGAGGTCTCAATGGGAGCAAATACTGGTTCCACCAGCTATGATGCTGATCTTCCTCATATTGATCACCAGCCTGAAAGATTAAATACACTTGGCCGAGGTAGTCAAGGAACACGGACAAGTACAACACATAGTGCTATTAGCAAGCATCTTGATGTGGAGGAGCTTGAAATGCTCTTAGAAGCATACTTTGTTCAGATCGATGGCACATTGAATAAACTCTCCACTGTAAGTAACCTGCACAGATGCTAAAATTACTTAAGGATTTTTGCTGGTACTGACATTATATAATGAAATTTGTTGAAAGCTCCGGGAGTATGTGGATGACACAGAAGATTACATCAACATTATGCTTGACGATAAACAGAACCATCTTCTGCAAATGGGAGTCATGTTGACAGCAGCAACTCTAGTCATAAGTGCATTTGTGGTTGTGGCAGGAGTTTTTGGCATGAATATTGAAATTGAGCTGTTTAATGCTGAAAAAGCTGGGATGCCAGAGTTCTTGTGGACCATTGGTGGTGGTTGCACTGGTAGTATTTTCCTGTATGTGATTGCAATTGCCTGGTGTAAGCACAAACGTTTACTTGAGTAAAAGGAGAGATCAATCCTCAATATGGCGACAACATGTATGTATATGGATCCTAAACTGAAGGATCCCAAGTTGAACTTTGTATTGATGCTTGAAATATATGATTGTGGTATGAAACTATGAACAGCCTTTTGTCATGTTTCCTGTGGGTTCTGTGTTATATAATTTCCCTGTATGCATATCGAAGTTTTGTGAAATGGACCATGAGCAGAGTTTAGTCAAGAATTTCTTGCAGGCTAGGTACCATTTATTTGCAACTTTATAACTCATTGCCATCCTTCCCAGCCTACCAAATTGAAATTCCCTAATTTCACAAAAAAACTGTTCTTGAGAATGCCGAGCTAGTGTTTGGAGCTATGCCTAGTGGGTAGTTAAGTTGTACAAATCTTATCTCTACCCTCTCTAATGTGCAAAAAAACAAAAAAGATTGAACTGCATGATTTTGCATATTCAAAGCCCATACACCTACTTGACAGATAAGAGTGAAGTAGTATTCTTTTCTGAAGTAAACGTGTACAGTGTACTGATTGGGAAATGAGCCCTTGTTAGTTGTTACCAACTTGAAATATTCATTGAGAGGATAAGAAGTTCTCCTCAGACCTCAATCATACTGCTGTAAGAATCTTTTTGTTGGGGTCATATGGTCACCCATGCTGTGCAATATTGCACAGGAACCTTGCTCTAAGGGAAACCCACCTATGCACTCATCCCTGTTTGGCTAATTTCGTTTCTGAAACCTGGATAAAACGATCTGTGGTCCTATAGATCTGTGTCATGAACCTCCTAACTGCCTTCAACTTTATGACGATATGACAGCTGTCTGAATGGGATTGTAAATCCCCACTGGAAATATTCCAGATCTGATCAATTATTTTAGCAACTTTTCTTGTTCTCACTTTCTTTCTAGTACTATTTGGAACTAATCATGTTTATGTTCTTGAATTGAGTTAAGCTACTACCTATGCTATCATATAAAATGGGTTGATAGGATTTTGGAAACCAACTGGATGTTACCTTTCTTTGCTGCTAAGAATTTCCATCTGAGTATTAACGTGAATTACTGTGTTAGACTCTGTTTTCTTACAGGCAATGGGTGACAGAATAGTGAGGAGTGGAAGCCATTTGCTGTTTTTCCTGTAGAGAAGGCTGTTGTCATGAGAAAGGGAGCAGTCCAAGGTGAAAATTCAATGGGTATAGGCAATTGAATTTGTTTTGTTTTGTTTTTTTTTTTAATATGAGAAACAACACTGGAGCTCTGTGCAATGGGAATTGAAGGCTTTGTTTTGATGGTAGTTGGTGGGGCAAAAATGGTCTCCCCCATTCCCTTTTGATACCTATCCACCATGCTTGTGCATAAACATTCAGAGCCTAATCATCTTTCTTGTTAAAGAATAAAGAAATGGTGGAAGAACATATAATTGTGAATGACAGCTTAAATGCAGACAGATGCAAGGGAAGCAAACATACTTGCATAAACTATGCATAAAATGATTTGAATATTGGGATCCTTCCAAACTGGATAAAGAGGCTACCCTATAAAATAAGGATGGCATGTAGCCTTGGGTCAGGAAGAACGGCGGCAGGATCTCTGCACTTAAAAAAGAGTCATCAAGATGCATATGAAATATTCCTACATTAATTTTGGCCTTTTCCCCCTCATTTCTGTGCTTTTCTCTGACTGCCCATCCTTTTGTTACATTTTTCATCTTCATCCTGTCTCATATTTTTTCCACCTATAATCAAGATTTTACATTTTTAATTCATTATAGAGAGCTTGAATTATTGGGATGTAGTCTTGTCTGGTCACTAAAAGACACTGAGGTTTTGTCAATACTATAGCCTCTAGCCAACCCTTTTCAAAGATTTTCTACTACTTCCACTGGATGCTGATTTTTTTTCAAAACTCAGCTTCAAATTTTCAACAAAATCCTACCTAATCATACTTTTTATTTTGCAATGACTGTTTGGATAATATCTTTTCTTAATTCTTACAGGTGTGGTGCATTATTGCTCCTTGTCCTGTTTTGTCTACAAGTTTAGTTAGCACTAAAAACCAATGGAAACAACCTTTGCTTCTTTACTTTTTCTTTATTCTTAGTTGTGTGTATGGAGACTTTACTTCTCATGATTCTTGTTTTTACTCTTTTTTTTAATTGCAGGCTTTAACACTGATTCTTTGGTAGTTTGGAAAAGAGCAATGGCAGTCCATGACAGAACAAAGGCTTGGCATGGTTGCAGACTTGCACCACATATAAATGCTCAAGAAAAAACTCAGAGCTAAAGTGTTTCATTGATAAGCAAAATCGAATTCGGAGAAACAAGAAATGAGTTTCTTTCCTTTCTTGCTGCATTGACAGGAAAACGCAAATAAAAGAAAAGAAAAGAAGGAAAAAGGAAGAGGAACTTTTTTCGGTTTCTTGCTTTCAGATCCAATTCCTATTGCCTTTAGCTTGAACAATTTTCCTCCTTCCCTCTCTGAACATGGATTAAGCAGCACTCCAGTAGACAGTTATGAACAGCAAAAAAGATCTGACTTTTTCCCCCTATCACCCCCACTTCTTCCCTTCATACCACCTGTTATCGAAAGAATGAGAATCTAAGTTAGTAAATCTTAATCGATATTTGGCTGAGAAGTTCGGTTTCTGGTTTACAGATGGGAGGAAAGTCAATGACTCAACTGATTCTGTACCAGCAACTGGTTTTCTGGGAGTAGAGATGGCAGGAAGAAACCATACTGTTCCTGGTATACGGATCTCCCCTGCATGAAAAATTGTTTTCTGATAAGAATATCTGTGTGGATAAATTATTGAATCCAAACCTTATGTAAATGGAAGAAACATGCATATATAGTACCTGCAAGTGAGTTGTGGAGTATCCCTGTGAGAAATCTAATACCACATTCTCCACTGAAGCTTGATTGTTGATTGTGAAATTATTCTGCAGAAAAACAACAGTTTTCAGATTCTTTCAGGGTCAGGGAAAGAAGAAGAATCTGGGCAGGAAGCAAATCAATTAATCAAAACTTACATTACTCAAGTTGAAGATGGGAGAGCTGGCTGTGTCATCAAGAGCTGAAGGCTGTTCCCCGATGCTCCGACGTCGATTTTCCTTCTTCTTCTGCCTCTTCACAGGCAATGCAGGTGCAGAGTTAACAGGAGCAGCATGATAGGAGCAGCCATTGTTGTCATTGCCATAGTCTTCTTCTTCAACAAACTGTGGAGGCCCAGAAGATGCATCAGACACCATAGATAAGTCCTCTTCCTCTTCTTCTTCTTCATATCCATTTTCTTGACTAAACCCCCCTTTCCCTTCAAGAAATCTATTCCCCCCACAAGAATGGTAGGGAGGAGCCATGTATGAGTTCTCCAAGTATAGAGTCCATCCAGACTCACATCCACTGCTACATTCTGAATCACCCAACGTTCCATAATCCATTTTTTAAAGCTCTGGACTATGTGAACCAAGAAAAATGGGAATCTACAGTAATGGGTAGCCTTCTAAACCACACGAGAGCAGAGAATGAAAGGAGGGTGAGAGTACAAAGAGAGCCTCTGATGTGTATGACTTTGGTTTGTGAGTAGCAGAGCTCGATCCCTCTATTTAGTGCTCCACCAAGTGGGTTTTTAGGGGGGGGGGGGGGGGGGTTTGTGGCCGTGTGGGGTTGGATAGGAATTAGGAAAAGACCAAAAGGAAATCAAAGCTCCAATCCTAAACCTGTTTTGTCTTGACATAATATAATCCATTTGTAAGTGAACCAACCACAAAAGTGCCACTTGGGTTTGTAGACTTGTAAAGTCCCCCGTGGCCAATCTCGTCAACCAGACTAGACACATGACACCAAGAATATTTATTTACGAAAAGTATATAAACCCAGATCAAGTTTTTACCGTGGGTCGAGTTTAACCTAGAGAAAAATCCATTCTTTTGCATTATATATGAATGGGAAATCAAGAAGTAGAGAGAGAGAGGGAGAGAGAGAGAAATGGGGAGGATGGAACGGAGGCAGACCACAACTCCTTCACATGGTGGACAGCGAGGCACAGTGTACGCTCTTAACAAAACGGGGTACACGTACATCTTCCCTTCCTCAGTACTTGGACACCTATCCATCCCCAGTGTGCAATAGTGACACCATTGCACTAAGCCAAAAACACCCCTCCCCCACCCCCCCTAACCCTACTAGGGGAGGGGGGGTGGCCTAGCCTTCTAGGGTTGTTGTTGTTTCAATCAAGTAACAACAGAAGAATTTATTGGCACTGCACGTTCTCAATCCTACTTCAAGACTCCCTAGTCTTACTGTCTGGTCATTATATTAGAATGATTTTTAGTCTCTCTCTATATAATATGGCAAACAAAATCAAACCAAATTTTTCTGTATTTGGTTCATTCTTTTGCCCTGTTGGTCATAAACACTTACTGAAATCTCTATAGATTAGACAGTCTTAAGGACTTAAGTTGGTAGGCATATAAAAACTAGTTTCCTATTCGTAGTCTTCTAGCAACTATTGAGATGTGCTCGAGAATCCTCTATTGTGATTCTTGAAGATATTATTAGAATTAATTAAGAAGAAAGTAATGGAACATGTGTGTGTTAAATGAGTGAGTCAATCGGTCAAATCTAAGGTACACATTCATTTGACTATTTTAAGGAGCAGTATAATTCTGTACTTAGTATAAATGCAAGTGGCAGTTGAAGACAGAGTGGGATTAAGATTCAAGAAAATCCCACCAGCGTTGTTATTGTAAACATATTACATGCGCCGACAAAGCGCTGACGTGGAGTGCTTAGGACACCAGATTATGTCCCTAAAACGTCGTTAAGTGTTGGTGGAATTTTAATAATTAATAAATAATATATAATATATAATTAATGAAGATGGAAGAAGAGAGTTTGACTGTGTTTTGTTGTGGGTTAATGAGGGGAGGTGAGCTTGATTTTTGCACGCAGTCACACACACACATGTATGCACGTGTGCATATGCCTAATTTCGGAGCTTCCAACAGATTTATACACATGAATGCACGTGCGCACACTCTTCAATCTTAAATGTGCTTTTTGCTTCATTTTTACTTTCTTAATTCATCCTCATGTTTGCGTTGTGTATGTTCTCCCGGTTCCTAATTCCAAGAATTGTTGGTGTACTGAATCTGGATCTAAATACATACTATGTGAATTGTCAAGTTGAAACTCCAGGAATGGAGATCTTGTCAATGACACAGACAAATATATATGATTTGACAGGTAACTTGGTGTAAGTAAGCACATTGTTCGAATCAGTTGGAGGACGTGAAACCCAGGATTATATAATTACCGAAAAACTTGTAGTTTAGTGAATTTAAGTAAGAATTGGTCTCCCGAGACATTTTATGCGTATTGTCAAGTTAAAACTCTAAGAATGGAGACCTTATTGATGATTTGATTGCTAGCAAATTGTTTGATAGTAGGACATGGATCAGCTCGAGGATGTGAAACTCACAATTACAATATAATACCGAAACACTTGTAGTGTAGCAAATTTAAAAAAGATGAAAAAGGCAATGATATGATATTCCTATATATGACACATGCCCAGTACAGTGGTGCATATGACTGCTAGCTAGAGATGCATGAGATTAAGAGCAAATTAAAGGAGGCATTGGAAATGGGAGTGGGATTGAAAGGGGAGAAGAAAAACATGACACACATGAAAGATTTATAGGGAGTAGTGCAGAAACCACACGCTAAATCTGAGACTGATCTGATGGGAGCTGAGAAGAGGATTGATTATTAATACAGGCCAGGCCAGCCAGCAGATAGATGCAGAATAATTAACTATGTTTAGTAACATGGGGCTTTCTGTTCTGTACTGTGGTAAAAATATATATACTACAATTAATTTACAACCCCCACTAACATAACTGTACTGTGTTCTGCTCCGATCCATCTATCTCTGCTTAGCTTGCTGGCCACCACATCAATGGCGAATTCAAGCCTCTTTGGTCTCATCGTCCCGGTCAAACGTTACAAACCCTTTGTCATGTGCTCGCCCTCTTGGATCACTCGTTAATCGTACCAAGACAGCCAGACACATTTACTAGAGATCATAATAAACCCGATCCTCGATCTCTATCCCCATCTCACACGTACTATATTTACAATTGAAAGATAAGTTTTGTTTCAGTTAAAAGAATTTGATATTCAGATACATGAACCTTTGACGAGTCTGGTTTAATTTAGATATATGGACGTGTTCTACTTGGTCTTCTCTATCCCCATTTGTCACTATGCATGCACTTGATGAAACATGCATTTCATTGGGAATAACCCAACCCAGTCAAGTTGGTCAGATCATATTGTTGACTTAGTAACTACAATGTTATAAATTAAATTCCCCGCGAGAGTAGCATATTTAACCTAGCTTCTTGGTTTCAGTCAGTCAACTATGAACAACCTAGATTAGTTTACTTCTTTGTGGTCCCTTAAGGTCACAGTGTGGGATTTATTCCGTGCAAACTCTCGAGTAGTGCTCTTCACACACACACAAAAAGAAAAAAAAAGCTTGAATGCATTTGGTTTCAATTAAATTGGTTTGGGTTTGGTTCTACTACAAAGGATATGATGTGTTGGATCTGTCTCAACTAAAAGAATGATAAAATTACATGTTGTTAATTACTTGTCACTCCTCCATTATTTACAAAACCCAAAAACCAACCAAACTTACCTAGGTTGAAGTTAAAATTAAATTAAAGCAGCCATGAATTGAATGAATATATTCAATCAAGAATACTGATAGCGAAACTACACATTTCTTATTATGTTGAGCAGGCCGGGACGTGTTGTCACGTATGTACTACTCCTAGCTCCATTATTTACTATATACCCATAATGGAATGGAATGAATTTATCCAATTAATGAATTGAAGAACACATTATTATGAATATATATGATGGGTATTTGGAGGTGTCTTTTCTTGCAATATTCCACAATATAATGCAAGCAGCTAAGTAAGTATAGTGGAAGAATTGAATTGAAGAAAAATAATGAAGCGTCTCCCTATCACACAGGGCAGACTACACTCATTAAAGGATGCCGGTGTCCAGACCAGCTCATTCATGGGCTCCATACATAATTTGACAATTGTTGTTAAGAGTTTTTGGGTCCCATCATTCGTGCCTTCATCAGTTCTTGGTTGCCAATCCAGGATGTTATCTACCTTTTTCTTGAAATTATAGAATTTTCGACCACCTGAAAGTAATCTTAAATCAAGTCGAAAGCAAAAATTGGTCGAAAATAGCAACAAAAGATTTTTCCGGATACCAAAAGTGATCAGAACAATGCTTTCCACTTGATTTAAAATCACTTTTAGGTGGTCAGAAATTCCATAATTTTCAGCAGTACGTGTACATTTCCTCTCTCTCTCTCTCTTCCTTAGCTTCTTCCAATTGATCAATCACCAAGTCAAGATTCCTTGGCAGCCTGAGCCTGCACACTATCATCATCATCAATCAATCATGGCTGCAATTATACACAGATATATAGAAGAAACAGTTGTTTCAGTGTGCATGTAACTGTGGATGTATGTATAGATTCAATCCTGAGATGAGCATATATTATCCTTATTATTGTGAAGGGTTTATTAGCATGTAATGGAGATAGATAGATGCATGTGGGATATGATATATATTGATATGAAATGATATGATATTGAATGAATGCATATATGCATGGATGGTCCATAAATCTGGAGATGGGACGCTTTCGATCGATCCAATATAATATGACAGTGAAAGCCACCCTAGCTCGCTCAAAACACCACACTTTTCTCGCCATGTGATTGAGGTTTCAGCTATTACAGGATTATATTCATATTCATGTGTGGATTAGACTTGTCAAATTCCTTCTTCTTTTTCTTAATATAATAAATTCTTTTTTTTTTCTTTTTGAAAAGATTTTGTACTTTCTGCTTGTTTTATCTTATGATACTGATTATTGCTATTATTATTCTTGTTATTATTTGAAATGTCTAACTGTTATGATGTGAAGTTTATTCAAAAAAGAGTTTTTTTTTTTTTTTTAAATAATTGTTTCTCTTTCTAGCAATTTCTTCGGTATCATGTAATAAAGCATTCACTCGATAAAAGAATTAGTATACATATCATTTTCAAGTAATAATGGTATTTTTCTTCTTGAATTATGACGTGATAATATAAAAAATTTTAATTTATTAGTTACGATGAATTGACTGATTTCATCTCGTTTTAAAATACAATTTGTTTTTTTTTTAAAGATATTATAAAATTTTCTTTTATAATATCATGAGGCAAGAAATTGTAATTTTTCAAAACTTTTAAATTTAAAAATCCCTTAAAAAAAAGTTTTGAATTGGTATTTGATTGTACGGCGTAGTAAAAGAAGAAGAAAAAAAAAAGATAAATATTTATTTTCTTTACAATTGATGAAATAAAGATTTATTCCTAGCTACCGACGTTAGTACAAGCGTACAAGCAAGGATCGGAGCGAAGAGGCTTTACATGCAGGTGACGACAACCTGCGCCACGTGGGAAGGTGGTCTGCTTTGTGGGCCCCATCACAATCTGTCTACTCATCCATTTACGACTTTGTCGTCTTCACAAGTACGCCGTACGGACCACCTTCATGTTTCATGGCCCATTCAGCCCAATACTGTTACTTCACTCTTGGCCCAGCCCAAATGTTTTCGCATGTTTCTATAGCACAAATTATATCGTGCATCAGGGTACACAATGCATTGTGCGATCAAACCAAAACGACGTCGTTCTATTTGTTTAATAGAAAATAAATTACTAAAAAAATATTAATTTCATTGTTTGATTAGATTTAAAATTGTAAAGAATATCGATTATAAAGACTTTATGCATTTATACAATATTAGATTAATAATAATAAAAGTAATAATAATTAAGAAAGAATAAGAAGGGTAAAATAATCACACCCATTATATTATACTAACATAAAACTTTATGATTGAATACAAATTAAATTTTTATCTACTATAATGCAACACATTTCTTTTCTCTAATGTGTATGGAAATGGTTGCAGATTCCTGAGGTCTTCAGGGATGACATATCGACAAGTCAAAGATGAAAGCTCCGGCGGCCGGCGGCCGGCGGCATGGCTTACACCGAAGGGAAGTAGGTGGAAAGATTATAGGGCAAGGAATAGAACTCTGCACTCCGGGCATCTCTCTCAAAGTACTTGAACTTAGCCCACCAATGCCTCCCACTGTCTCTTCTGCTCTGGGCATGGCTTCTTGCAAGGGTCAGGTCCAAGAACAGGGCCACTATTCCGGCCACCGTCGCCGGAGAAGTGAACACTACTTGCATCATCCCGTTGAACTGCAGATTTATTCCATTCAAAGTTTAGTGATGAGCATATACTACAGGTAACAGGGTCAATAGTACTCAAAATAAAAAATAAAAAATGGAAGGAATCTCAGGTTTCTGAGTGACGAGGAAACCCGCAACCACTATCATACACAGCAAATGAATAAACCAGCTTAGGTTGTCCGTAGCTGATCGGCTCAAACCAGGAAGACCAATAGGCTGCTCCTGATTGGGAGTTAAACTTGTAACTTTGTGGTTATCAAGTAAACAGTCTAACTAACTTGACTAGGAAAATCTAAAGTTTTTGTTCTTACCCAAGCAGAGTGTGTGTGTACAGGGCCATGATTAGCTGTTATGATATAGCCATTGAAGTATTGTGGCACTGAGAGTCCCATGAAAAATGAGAATCCTAGGATGAACTTTGTCCTGAAGCTGTTAAGGTTGCAGAACTGGAGTAAACCAAGGCCTGCAGAAGCTGCATGCCAGACACAATATAACAGAATCATGAATCATGACAAATAAATTTTCGTTGGCTCTGATACCATGTGAGAGTATGAACTCCAGCAATTCATTCATCGTAAACACAAACAATAAATAGAGTACAGAGCATGAAAGCATGAAACTAGTTACACCTAAACCACAAGACTAGACCAACATAACAAATAATATACTAAGTCTTAACACTGTCTTTGTCTCAAACAGAAGCGTAATTTGATTAGATTATCTTACACATGAAGGCGAACAAGACGCAGTAGAGAGCTCCCACGATTGGCAATGGTATGGATGCAACAACTGCCCCAAACTTTCCTGCTCATTTAAAACGAAGAACATCAGACTCGTTTGTTTGCTGGCAAAACTAGTCCAAGAAAGCAAGCAATAAACTGTTAACTGTTGCAGAAGATCAGATAACTCACCTAGTATGGAAAAGAAAAGCATAAAGATAGCTGATATTTGAACCACCCTTCTGCTCCCCACTCGCGTCAATGCCAAAAGACCAACGTTTTCGCTGATGGAAACAGAATTCGGGCTTAGGAAAGCATACGATGATGTTCAAAGATGTTGAGCATAATATAGTATCAGTTCAACTGTCAGTTTAGACTTTTAGTTGAGCCAGAAGGGTTCAGAACAGAAGTTGGCCTTAGGAAGGCCTATGGTCATGTTTGAAGGTGTTGAGCATAATATAGTATCAAATATAAATAACTGCATAATTCAACTGTCAGTTTAGACTTTTAGTTGAAACGGAACACATCTGTCAACTGAAGGGTTCACGAGGCTTACACTGAGACGGTAGATCCAACGCCCGTTCCCCACAAACCATCAAACAGAATGCCCATTCCCTGAATGTCCAAAACACAGTGAATACTCCAAATGAAAGAAATGTGTTATGGAATATATTTAATATATGAAATCTCTATAGATTAGGCAGTCTTAGAGATTTAGATAGGTAGGCATATGAAAACTTGTTTCCTATTCGAAGTCTTCTAATATGTATTTATAGGGCTTTGTATTCTCTTCTCTATAAGACAGTATACGACAGCATATTCAGAAATCTTCTCTTTACTTTCGTAACAAAATGTAATGGTACATTGTGGTGTTGCTACTTACCAACCAGCCAATGCCGCGGCTTATGACAGAAGCCGGTGGGTGGGTGGCACTACCGAACCTTGCAGCTGCAATAAACGATCCAGTAGACTGCAGAAATGAATGAAGTAGCGATCCATTACTAAGAAATTGTGTTCTGTCTAGATTAAACTATGTTTCAAAGTTTAAGAAGGATCCTCAATTTCTCTAATAGTTCTATAAAATCATGTAAATTTAGATATAAACCTCGATTATAGCAACGAAAGCTGCAGCTAGCATGATGAGAGTTTCTCCAGCATTGACAGTGGGAGTGCCCCATTGCCATGGATATGGAAATCTTATCCTGCATTTTGAACAAGACATTTCATTGTCAGTTAAAACGACCGGAAAACAGTTTATATCAAAAACCAGAACTTAAAAGCAGGGAGGATTTGAAACATCATATGCAAACATTTGTCTCAGCTCACCACGAAGCGCCACTGATAAGCCCAGAGCGGTCTACACGGCAACTGAACTGAGTCTGAAGTGGTCTATTTTTGTACGCACCCGCTACAGTCAAGAGGGCAGCGAATGTCCATACTATCCCCACCGAAAACAGGACTGCATATCTGTCAACCACGGGTCGATTGGATTTCCACCATTGTGGAATAAACTGCAAAAAAAATGGTAACATCCAAAAATAAGCTTAGTTCCAAGCTTATCCTCCTAAAGTCCTATAGTACCATTGGAAGAATTAATGTCAGGATCTGTCCTTTTTGTTGAAAAATAAAGAGTTAGAATAAAGAGTTAGGTTTATCTATAGAGTTGTGTCTGTTTATGAATAGGTGTCAGTTATGGGTAGTTACTTACAGTTATGTGTTTGTATATATATATGTACTATGTTTCTTTATTAGAAACACAGATAATACTAATATATTTCAGTCTTATATACATTTTCTATTCCTTGATTCTTTATCATCGCTTCCGCCTAACTGGCGGGTGGTGTTATTCTCCACCCGCCAGGCCATTCTATCTTCCAAATTTAACACTTTTCACTGATATGTTTTCGGGTTCTGTTTGCAGAACACTTTTTCGTGTTCGATGACTTTGTAGATCCCTTGTTTGTACAGTTTCGTTAGCCAAGAATTATACAATACTAAAGAATCGAATGTTACCTGAGAAAACAGTATTAGAATAATCAACTCTGGAAGGCCAACCTCAACACATTCCGCTAGCTGCAACAAAGAGAAAAAAAGAATCAAAATATGAAACAAAAACTGGTCGAAATCCAAAGATGTTTATTAACAATGGCTCCCGCAGAAACATTTACCAGTGGGAATCCATGTTCATAAAGCCCGAGGCCAACGAGGGTTACCAAAGGGACAGCAGAAAGAGGACAAAGGAACCTACGCTTTCAAGATACAAGAACTAAGTCTAAAATTTCTCGAAAAAGAACAATTAGTGGTAATAAAGAAATGCTTGTGTGGATAAAGGCACCTCACAATAATTCTCCAGAGTCCAAGAAATCCAAATAGTATGGGAAGTATAGATGAAACAATAAGAGCCCCTTGCATTCCTCGCAATGTGTGTTTAAACCTCTGACAATGAACAACCAAGAAAAGTGAGAAGATGAAGTATAGAAATGAATGCAAATTTGAAGCAAAAGTCTGCATATGTCAACCTCACGAGGATCGAGATATGCCTGGAATCTACTAGATAACGCAACATATATAACTGGAATTATGAATCGGTATGATCCACCAATCACAACAGGAAGCCGGGATCCAAACCAAGATTGCAACAGTGTGTTCACCCCCGAAACAAAGAGCAATGTTTGTACCAATTCAGCTTTCTCCCTCTGGTATACATACCTAAAATCCATGAGAAAACGCATACACACATACGTGAACCATAGAAAACTACAAAAAGCCAAAAACCTCACATTTGTGCCGCCCATTTGAGGAACAATGATGGTGGGAATGATAACAGTAGTCCCTAGCATGACGAGATAGTGCTGAAAACCCAGAATGATGGCTTCGGCTGCATTAATCAATTGCAAGAGCTAAGGATTAAACCCGTGCTTAATGCTGATAGGAAATTGAGAACAACCCAACCAAAAAGTTGAGACCTTTTCTTCTTCCTAATCCTATTTCTTAGAACATATTCATCTAACAAAGATTCAATTAAATACACTGGAAAAAGTGAAAAACCAACACTGCATTCTACCCAGTAGCCATAGACTAAAGATGTAACTCCAGCCAAGTTCGTCAAGTTGTTGGCTTGGTAACCACAAGATTACGAGTTCAACTCCCGGTGGGAGCAATCTATTAGTTTTCTTGGTTTGAACTGGTTTGCTATGGGCAACCTAGGCTGATTTACCTCCTTATTATCGTCTTTTGTCAGCTAAGATCACAAGGCGGGTTTACCCCGTACCCACCTTGAGGTGGTACCCAAAAATGTAAAATTTACAGGATCATCACATCACTAGCTACTAAAGGCAAAATGCTGACACAGAGATCAATCTGAAAAAGGGGTAATTGATAGTATGATTATATAACCTCACACAAAAGAATCAGAAAATGAACAACAATGATTAACAAAATGTGAATATTGTAAAGAAACCTACCCCAAGAAGGGTTGCTATTGACACAGAAATCAACACCGGGGAGTTGATCCTTCACAGGGTGAGGCCCAAATTCATCCTCCTTAGCTCCTGTCATCTCTCTAAGTTCAAGAAAACCCAGGGGAAGCAAGGAAGAAGCTAAGAACTCTATCAAATAAAAATCTCTTTTTTATGTTCAGATATATATATATGATCAGTCCCAGCCTGACATGTTTCACGTCATCATGCATGCGTATAACCTGCAAATTAATTTTGAAGGACTCCTTTAAACTGAAACTGAAAAAGAAAGAGGATGAATGAATGGAGGATAGGGTTGTTGAAACTGAAAGCCAACAACCTTTTAGAATTCTGAGACTCCAAGAATATTATTCTTGAAAAAAAAGTTATTACCTTCCCTCTTGAAAAAAGTTGAAAACTTTAAGGATTAAGGTTCCAGAAGTAGTACAGATTGGTGTAATTACAGGGAAGAAGAGAGATAAGTACTTTTATGTCTGCAATTCAAGCTGAATTTTGGTTTCAGCTTTAACGCAGAGTGGAAATTCAGGCAGCCTGAAGAATTTGGACAAGCTTTTTTCTTGTCCGTTACTACCAAATTCCCATAATTTCATGTGTTTTGTTCTGGAGAAAGGTAAATTTGGTCAGAATCATTTAATATAAGTCAGCAGAAAGATTAATGCAGATCAACTAATCTATTTGTTTTTGTACAAATTAATGTTTTATAAATATGTAGGCAGGTGACATGTCAATTGGGATGAGATACTAGCACTAGAAAACCAACCAAAATTGCTCTTTTGATAGTATATTACTCACCATTTTGAGCAAAAATTAAAATATAATTTTTTTGAATGATATTGAATATTAATGTAAGCGTTAATGATACGCTTTTAAAACGTTACGAGATTAAATAGATGGTTGCGGCGTTAGTAAAAAGAATTAGTGACAATCGTCATTTTTTGCATAAAATCATATCGAACTTTTGCTTTTTGGCCTAATGCGTTAGTGAATGGATTGGAGATGGCTCAGCCGTGAACGACGAGATGACCTACAATATGAAAGTGACAAAAGATATTCTCAAAGTCAAATAACTAAGTATATCTAACCTTGCTGAGTCAAATACATTGTAACAGAGTCGGTAATACTCAAAAAAATACATCATTATTTCTTTATTATCTTTAAAAAATAGTGAGAATCATCATTACCCTAATTATTAGACATTTCTTGTTATGGGTGACCACATACTACAAGAATTAAGTCTATATATACAATCTTATTTTCTGCAAAAGGTTATTGTTATATTATTTTAATATTCTTTTGTAAGGGACTAAGGGTATACATACATACATACATACATATATATATATATATATATATAGCTGGTCAGAGGAAGGTGCACCAAACTAAAACCAACACGAAGAAGAAGAAGAAAAAGGGATGTTATGGTCAGAATAATCCTAATGAATTTCTGGTAGATGGTCAACCAAGAAATTCAAATACCAAATTTCTTATTAAAAAATAAAAACGCCTTTTTATCTTGTTTTATATGTCCTATTCATGGGTTAATTCAAATACTTCTTTTTTACTTATTTTATAATATATTCTTATAATTTTTGAATTTATTATTTTGTGTTTAATAATACTTTAAAAGTAGTTTTAAATATATAAACTATATATATTAATATTAATTTAAATCATAAATAATTTTATCTAAGATTCATTAATTTGACTAGATAAATAAAAAGGGACATGACAATACTTAATGTGCATTTCGTTAAGGTAATCTTGAGTTTTCCATAAGATCTTTTGTGGCGTAGATGAGGGCATGAGTGTGTCACTTTAACAGTATAACGTTACAAATCATTTTTTTTAAACAAATGTTGAATTGAAGGCCCAATTACTAATGGGCTGTGGTTACAACTATTGCTCATGCCAGTGTAGCCCAAATTGATGGGCTTAAGACGTGGGCCTTCCATTATCCATCTTATATCAGTCCATCTAAAAAGGGTATTAGTATGCTTGTACATAATTTGATGATTACGGCCCGCTAATCCAACTATAAAGTCAAATGATCGATTATGTACGTGATGGGTTATATTTACTCGATTGGTCGAGTAGCCCAAGCTACACCACTAGATAGGCATGGCAAATTATATCGTGGAATTTTGCTCCAATACACAAAGTTTGACTTCATAAGGTACACAATTCATGTTCATAATGCACATAATTCATGTTTATAATACACACACATAAAGACGATATAATGAACATGAATTATGTGTATTATGTTAAATGTTTATGTGCCCTTAACTATATAATACACAGAATTCATGTTCATAAGGTATATAATTCGTGTTTATGTGTATGTGTATTATGAACATGATTCTGTATTGGACAAGTGTCCACAAGTACGGTGGACCCTGATCCACGATATAACGATTGGATAGGCATAGTTTAAATCATTATTGTGTGGATCATGGTCCACATAGCTGTGTGAATTACACTATCGAATAATGTATGTTCATCACACAAATAATGTACTTTTAATATATTAAAAGTGTACATTATATTCAGGAAAAATACTTTTTTTTGTATAATGTACATTCAGTATATGAATAATGTACTTTTATTTTTTTAATATATTAAAAATATACGTTTTGTTATGGTTCACACAACAATGTGTGGATCATGGTCCATAAAATAATTTGTCGGCATAGTTGGCTCATGACTGAGGCAAAAGGTTGAGTTTGAGAGAGGAAAAGAGTGTGATTTGAGGCTAGATGCAATTAAACGACAAACTGACCTAACGAGACAATCAAGAGGAGAAGCGTGAAAACATGATAATAAGGGTCCATTTGGAAAGTAGGAAAATGACTTTTGGAAAATGAGTCATTTTCCTTTCCTGTGTTTGGCTGCACAATGGAAAATTGTCTTTTGGTGTTTGGTTATTTTCCAGAAAATGAACAGAATGGCATGAACCAAGCAAAATCATCAATAAACAATCCATAAACACTCAAGCATTTCACTGGTTTCCGATGCGGAAACCAGTGACTCTGGTTTTCCGCATCGAAAACCAGAGCCACTAGTTTTCCTAGCCGGAAACCAGCTAGGGAAATTAATGAAGAAGCCCATAACATTTTCCGGTTGTGGGTGAAGTCTGGGAGAAGAAGCACTGAAGGCTAGCAGCGTGTGTTTAGATTTTAGAAGATGAAAAATGACTTCCCAAAAAAAGGGAAAGTCATTTTCCGTTGACTAGCTAGCATTTTCCTTTGACCACTTCATTTTCAGCCTACCCAAACACTAGAAACCCGAAAAAATGATTTCCAGAAATCATTTTCCGGATTTCCAAACAGATCATAAAAGAATTTAGTATAGGGCGACCTCATGTATAATATAAATAACTCATTTGACTCTACTCAAAGAGACATTTTGTACTTACTTCACTATGTACATCTTACTCAACTATTATACCTAATCAACTAAAGTCTCTCAACCGATTGATTGGACATATTGCTTATATATTCCTTTAATTTACTTTACCAATCACACCATAAAAATCTCTTGAACCCCAATGTAATTTACGTTATTAATACTTTAAATTATGTTAAAGAACTATTAATCAGCTTTTATCCCTGAATCATGTTTAAATTCTTCCGAAAGGTTGAACCCCAACCTTCCACAAAGGTTAGACTTTTACTCACCGCATACAAGGAACCCCCTCACTTTGAGAGGTAGCTCCCACACTGCTGTTGATGATACTCGATCCCTGGTGATTCTTTCAAAGTTTCACTTCTATGACCAGTTAAGCTGCCCATGCAAGTAATCGTGTTTAAATTAAGTTTACAGTAGTAGAGATATTGCAAAAATATGATACTTGATACATGAGTTGACCAACAAGCTGTGTTTAATTGGTCGAGGGCTCGTTTGATGACGATGACAAGCAATATAACTTATATTAAAAAAATATATTGGGAAATGTGTTATTTATTTATTTTTTTTGGGAAATGTGTTATTTATTATTGACTATAATATAATTTTTTTTTTCAAATTTGGTCAACATATTTTAAATTTTTTAGTTTGAACTGTAGAGTATTATTTTAGATTTTTTTTTTTCATGGGGACCACCTATAGTTTAATTCCGCCCGTAAAATTGTAAGAAAAATGTTATAATAATTGTAAGAATTACAGGGTTAACTGTTATGCATTCTTAAATTATTTATCTAATTATCTCTAATCAGTTTGGTTTGTGTGAATGGTCATACACTCTCATTTTTTAAGAGATATCGAGAGTTTAAACCTCCTCTCATACCCCTTAATTGGGCTGGGACCGGTGCTAATGAGGATTATCTTGGAGGCTAGTCCCCCCACTCTCATGTGACAAACAACTCAATAATTATTAAATTGTTGTTTGGTGTTAGGGGAATATCCTTAGCAACTATAGCAAATCAATAATTATTAATTTGTTGATTGGTGTTAAGGGAATATCCTTAGCAACTATGCCAACCAAAACTCTCGTGGCCTCGTTGGTGCATAGGTGACGGGGTCGTTTTGGAGCTTCAAAGCATCCAATTTTTTGTTAATACATGCAATCATATGTTTCATTCATAATAATTGATGACGCTGAAAGGGGTCATGGAGTTAATAAAACATGAATTTCATATAATAAAATTTTAAATTCGATTGTTATTTTGGGTGTTAGTTTAGTAAATAACTGATTGAGTTTAATTAGCTGATTGTAGAATGATGTTTGATAAATTAATTGTTAGTTGATAGCTGATTATATATAGAATGATTTTCTCAAAAAGCTTATAGAAAAAACGGCTTTGAGTAGCTTTTTGAAGTTTAGTGTTTTGGAGCAGTAAAGTGTTACAAAAGGCTAATTAATCAAACACTCATATTGGTTATTTAACCAAGTCAAACGACTAATTAATAATGGTCAAATAAGTAAAATTGATTAATAGGTTAACTATTTTACCAAACATGATTATTCTAGATCGAATCTGTCACACAGGGTTATGACACGCATGACACACCTGAGAACAATTATGTTTAACAATTGAGTACTAGTTGATCTATCTATGCGGGGACAATTGTTTTTCTTAATATAGAAGCAAGGAAAAAATAAAAAAGAAAAACATATGACGCGCATGATACGCGCATTCTCCCAGTCCTATATAGTTAATGTCGTCCCTGATCCTTTCCTAGTTGTAACCTCTTACCTGTCTAATATAGCATTTTATCTGTCGTTAACACCCCTATAAATCTCATTATATCCAACTCTGTCCCCTATCTCTTGCGTCTAGTACTTTTGCTTCTCTCTCGAGGTTGATTTAGCGTCAGTCTACCAAACTCCGGGAAAAGTCCGATCATGAGTTATTACGATCAGGGCCATCCTCCCGTCGGCGTTCCTCCTCCACAAGGTATATATAATCCGATTTGTTGCTTCAGTATTGGGTTTGTGATTGTTATTGTTTGGGAATTGTCGGATCTGATGGAGTTTCGTGTTTTTTTTATGTGAATTTTAAGGTTATCCGCCTAAGGATGCTTACCCGCCGCCGGGTTACCCCCCGCAGGGGTACCCTCAAGGAGGCTATCCTCCGCAGCAGGGATATCCGCCGCAGCAGGGGTATCCGCCGCCGCAGTATGCTCCCCAGTACGGTGCTCCTCCGCCGCAGCAAAAGCAGTCCAGTGGCGTCGGCTGCATGGAAGGATGGTAAGTTCGCCGCTAGGCCACCACCTTTTGTTATCTGTGTTTATTGTATGTGACTTTTGGGTTAGATCTGGTTAATATTCAGAAGAGTTGACTCTGGGTAATATGCGGTTGTTCCGCCGAGTCACGTTGACTTTGGATAAGATTGATCTTTTCCGCCTGTTGACTCGCCGGAGCTACGCGGTTGCGCTGTGTGCGCGACGTTTTTATCATCGGTTACCTTCCCGTTTGAACTGCGTCGGCGGTGGCTCCGATGGCTGTCACCGTCACCGTCACGTGAACAATATGACCTGCGACAGATTGCCAGAATACCATCTCCATCTTTTGTTTGGTGTTCAAAATTTAGTGCTCACCCATCATTGGGCCACCTGTCTTTGGTATTTCTTGCCGGAAAATATTCTCTGATTCTTATCCATTTCATTTCCATCTCTTACTAATTAATCAAATTAGTTAAATGTTAATTGGTAATTACAATATTTCAAGTTTAATTCACATTAAAAGTGATTTATTGATCTTTTTGATTTGAGTCAATCAGCTATAGACAATTTATATTGATTTACTTTTTATAGTATTTTGTCCGATAAAATTATAATATAAAGTTTATCTAATGTACATTTTACGTTGTGATTGATTAAACATACAATTATGTGTATTTAAATGTCACAAATTTAATTTTGTTTAACATCTTTTTAATTGAATTTGTTAAAACATGATCTTTATAATACAATGTATATCTATTATAATTTACATACTATTACACACAAAAGATTTTCTCACCGGACATTGTACTTGTGCAGTTGTGTACTTGTAGTGTTTCATTAAAATGGGTGAAATTTGATAAAAGTTGTGTTGTACGTCTTGCAGTTTGGCTGCGCTGTGCTGTTGCTGTGTTCTAGAAGCATGCTTTTGATCGACGGGCCGCCGGCGCATCATGGCCGTGAGATTGTTTCTATCGTATGATTGAGAAGTGCCATAGTAGTTAGCATTTACTTTTGTATTCTGTCATTTGATAAATAATTTGGACCGCCGTTTCAAGACAACCTTATAGCTCGCTGTACTTAATGGATTATTGCTTCAAAAGTGTTTATTTCTAATTAAACATGGTAAAACTCCAAACGTTTGCAAAAAAATAAATTAAAAAATTTAATAATTTTCTATTTTAAAATGGATCTGCATAAAACTGTATCAGCGTTTGGTTGGAGGGAATTTAAATTCTATTTCCATTTAATTTTCACCTAATTCCAAAGACCACTAAATTCCTTAGTTTGATTATAAGAAATTGCAATTCCACAAAATGAAAATTCCCAGTAATTTTTTTTCTTGTAAAGATATTAGAATTTAAATTTCCACTAATTCATCTCCCATAAAGTTTTACAATTTCTTTTCTACATAATTTCATCACTCCAACCAAACGTCCGCGGGTGGTTGGGATGTTCATTTCATATATCCTTTCACAAGTGCAACATTTGGTGGTGGTGGTGGATGGTGCACTATCAATCTGTAACTGTCATCCCATCACCACTTATACATATATATATATACACGTTTGGAGCACATCAGCAGTGGAGTGACGATAAATTGATAACCGGCCTCCACAATAGATGTCTATTTATAAATCAAGATCATTTTGTCTTTTAACAAAAATGACGATATTACTTGGGGTGAACCAAAGTGTATTTCTTTTTTTGAAAGTAATTGCATGTCAATTTGGGTGTTAATTAAGATTCATTATTTATACACAAATATTTGCCCGGCCTTTAGTCATGCCCAATAAGAATTAAATGTCCTCAATATGCTTAATTGTTGATATCTGGTTGCGCAACAATATGGGTCTGAATTGAACCAACATAATTAAATAACCCACAATTCACAATATGGATTTTAAGTTTCGTTTAAAATCTATGTAAGTGGAAGGTCGGGGTCAGTCTACACATCTTCAAAATTTCGTGATACGCAATTTTAAGAATTTGTTATTATCTATATGGTGTGTGATAATCTATACCTATAATAAATTAATAATGCTTGATATAAGTCAAGATGGAATTTATTGTAACTAAAATTATTCATAACTTTTTAAATAACAATATTACAAAGAATCTCAAAACATGCATTATTTTGAGATTCAAGTACAAAAATAATGTTACCTTTCTGATCACACCGAAACCACACAAAACAAACTCCATTCTCAACAATGCCAGAAGCAGGGCCGGCCCAGAGAGGTGGGCAACATGGGCACCCGCCCAGGGCCCAATGTTGAAAGGGGTAACTTGAATTTTTATTTTTTGATAAAGTTAAGAGAAAAATTTTTCTTGCATGAGCAGAGATTTGAACTCACAACTTTAAAATTATTATTTAACATTAAATCTACTTAACAATTACAATCATTTAATATAATAATTCAATTAATAGATACTCCGTATATATTAGAGAATATTAAGTTAATTTAACTTCATATAGGGGCCCAAAATTTGAATGATCACTATTTCGGGATTAGTCCAACTGATTTTTTTTTTAAACAAATAAAGTCTTAACAAATTAAACGTTCACAAAAATTCAAAGTTATCATTGAATTATTTTCAATTAACACAATCTTTTAAACTATATATATATATATATATATATATATATATATATATATATATATATATAAACATTTTAACTTTATATATTATAGGCCCTAATTTTTACTTTGTCCCGGGCCTATAAAATGATAGGACCGGACCTGGCCAGAAGGACAAATTAAATCAGATAAGTCAAGATTGTTGACGTTGTTTAGGAAGCTGGGGCGACCTCCAGGGCAGCCGGCGGCGCGTTCTCAACACTCGCGCCGCCGGCGATCTCGTTTTCCAGCTGGCTGTAGTTGCCTTTCTGCTTGAAGAGCTGGATATGGTGGTGCTTGCAGTACAGCTTCCCCTCGTGTGCTATGAAGTTCGATGGGCTTATCGTGCATCCTCCATAAGAGCATTTGAAGCAGGCCTTATGGTACGCCGTCCCATTAACCGCAACCTTAAAAACATCAAACAGTACACTTTCTTTTAGGCTACGAGATTGAGAAACCGCGAACAGACGGGCTCAAAACAAGTGGACGACATTCTGACCAACTTGACTGGGATTGGTTTTATGATCATATCATTGGTATGTATATATATACCTTCTCGATGGGATACACAGTCTTGGTGCAGCCCACACACTTGGTGGTGGTGCCTACAAACATACTGGAGATCTTGTTTCCTGCAGCCAGTTTCTGATCATAAATGAAAATGCATATAGTTCCAGTCAGTAATTGAAGGCTTATATAAACATATATAGTCAAGATTTCATCTGATCTTGGAAGCATATATAATCAAGATTTCAATATATACCTCAGCGTCAATGGCTTTTTCTGTCTTGGTCTTGGGAGTTCCTGATCATGCATAAAAAATGGTATATATTAATCAGTTATTTCCCCGGGTTCTAATATCAAACTGAATAATGTATTTCTCAAAAGGTAAGGTAGGGTTTTAATTACCATCGAAACTCTTGTCCAAGCTACCAGTTCTCTTGAACAGCTGATCATAGTGAGGCCTGCAATACAATACACCTTCGAAGGAGTTGAAGTTGCTTAGCTGCAGACAACGTACACCAAATCAATCTTCGAGATTAGATTAATTATTGTATATATGGATGTAACAATATAATTAATAGAATTGAATGATGGATATGTATGTTTAGATTAGAGATGGACGGACCTTGAGGGTGCCCTTGCAATGGTAGCAGCGGAAACATGCCTTGTGAAAAATGCGGTTGTCAGCGGCGAGGCGGTCGACGAGGTAGACGGTCTTGTCGCAGGCGGTGCACTTCTGAGTTGTTCCTGCGAAAGACATTATTATATTTGAGAGAGAAAGGTGCAGTGGAGATCGAACAATAATAAGGAATTGCAGAAGAAGATCAGATGATATAAGTCTCCTGCTTCCTTTTGTTCTCTCCCTCCCCGGCCTCTCTCTCTCTCTGTGTTTGCCAATCTCTGGTTGGGTGGTGTTGCAATGGAAGGAATTAATGCAGGAGAAAGGAGGTTTTAAAGGAGCGGAACAGAGAAAATATGGCAGTGCGTTGCGGATCATCGCCAGATGGAATTCGTCATGGCCATTGAAATGCACTTAGCGACCACAAAATATAATTTAGCAGGCAAAAGAAATTATAGCGGATGAAAAAACAAACAGGGCATTTGGTCTAGTGGTATGATTCTCGCTTCGGGTGCGAGAGGTCCCGAGTTCGATTCTCGGAATGCCCCTTTTTTTTCCCCTACAGATTCCATTCCTGAGTCTGAAGAATTTTTCCTCATTGTAAACTAATCAACACAAACGAGCCTTTAAATATTTAAGAAATCCTTCGAAGCATGTGGGCATTTGGTCTAGTGGTATGATTCTCGCTTAGGGTGCGAGAGGTCCCGAGTTCAATTCTCGGAATGCCCCTTTTCCATCTTGCAAATTCCATTCCTGAGGCTGAAGAATTTTTCTCGGTGTTAAACTAATCATAAATCTATGTATTTAAGAAAACTTGTAAAGCAAGTGGGCATTTGGTCTAGTGGTATGATTCTCGCTTAGGGTGCGAGAGGTCCCGAGTTCAATTCTCGGAATGCCCCTACCCTTGCTGATCGCCTTTTCCCAGCAACTGATCAAACTTGAAGATGATGCAATATATCACTATCAGCAAAAAAGCTTACTCTTGTGGGTGAGTTACTTGGCGTACACTACCATTAAAACTATATCTTCAAACACACCCCTGGGGACCATTAATCTTGTTGCTTAACAGCCTTAACCTTGCTAGTTCAGTAATCTTGGACAAACAACAGTCCCAGGATGAAAACCTATTCAAGAATGACTTATTCTCCTAAGCTAAACACAGGTGAATCAGCCCATGTTTTGCTGCAGAAGTTAAACACAGGTGAATCAGCCCATGTTTTGCTGCAGAAGTTTGGATGTTATTAGAATGGGAATTCACCTCTATATTATGCAGTAGATTTTAATTTTCATCATTCATTCATTCTAAGTAGACATGAAACACCCTTTTGTTATTCCTCTATTAGTGTTATCCTTTCTTGCAATACAATGTAGTCCTCAGCCACATTATGCCTGCGACAAGAATGACCCCAACACTACCACCTATACATTCTGCAACACTTCTTTGTCGTTTGCAGATCAAGCCAGAGACATAGTCTCTCGCTTAACGCTCAAAGAAAAGGCGGAGCAGTTGGTTAACACTGCTTCAGGAGTATCCAGGCTGGGCGTCCCGGCCTACGAGTGGTGGTCTGAGGCACTTCATGGCGTTTCCAACACGGGGCCCGGTGTTACTTTCAACGATGTAGTGCCAGGGGCTACAAGCTTCCCATCTGTCATCCTCTCGGGTGCCAGTTTCAATGCTTCCTTGTGGTATGCATTGGGACAGGCTGTGTCAACCGAGGCTCGAGCAATGCACAATGTTGGCTTGGCTGGTTTGACCTATTGGAGCCCAAATGTGAATGTTTTTCGCGATCCCAGGTGGGGGAGAGGCCAAGAAACTGCAGGCGAGGACCCTCTCGTGGTCGCCAAATATGCTGTTAACTATGTTAAAGGCCTGCAGGAGTTCAGTCCAGACTCAAATCCCAGAAAGGATAATAGACTCAAAGTTTCAAGCTGCTGTAAGCATTAACTGCTTATGATCTTGATAAATGGAATGGTGTTGATCGGTTTCACTTCGATGCTGAGGTAGATTATAGATTTATAGATAAGAGTATAAACACTGCCATTCTTACGATATCTGCAATTCACGGATGGAAATTATGGAATTTCTGACCACCTGAATGTGATCTTAAATCAAGTCGAAAGCCTTGTTCCGATCACTTTCAGGTGGTCGGAAATTCCATAATTTCCAGCAGTGATTGTTGCAGATAATTGATCATGGAAACAATGTTGCAGGTAACACCACAGGACTTGGAGGATACTTTTCAGCCTCCATTCAAAAGCTATGTTGAGGAGGGCCATGTTAGCAGTGTCATGTGTTCATATAATCGCGTTAATGGCGTTCCCACTTGTGCTGATCCGAATCTGCTCAAAGGAATCATCAGAGATCAATGGGGTCTAGATGGGTTTGTTTCTCACTATCTCTAAAATATGAACCACTTTCTTATGCAATCTGTATCTGCTAAGTCCAATATGGTTTAATTTGAGCAGATATATTGTCTCAGATTGTGATTCAATTCAAGTCTATTATGAAGCCATACATTATACTGCTACACCCGAGGATGCTGTTGCCCTTGCCTTAAAAGCAGGTCTTGTATTAACCTCAAGGACTCCAAATTTCCAACATTATATAGAGACAACCTTAAATTGCCAGGTTTTCAAGAGAAACTTGTGACAGATGTGGTTGGTGCCACTAATAATGCATCTGTCATTCTTGTTGTCATGTCCTCTAGCCCAATTGATATCACTTTCGCGAAGAACAATCGCAGGATTGGTGCAATTTTATGGGTTGGGTATCCTGGTCAAGATGGGGGAGAAGCCATAGCTCAAGTCATCTTTGGTCATTACAATCCAGGTACACTAATAATGCTAGCTAGCTCCAAGAAAACGTCAAAAAATCAAATCTTTAAGAATCATTCTTGTTCAAGATTCAAGAATCATATGTTTTCTGTTTTTGTCAGGTGGAAGGTCTCCATTTTAGCCTTGCAGATGGTGATGGGAAGAGGAAGGTGGTGACTGGTCTTCATTCCATTGTTGTTGGTGCTCCCAGTGAGCGCCAAGTTAGGCACTATTTCAATATCAGGCTGGCAGGGAAGGAGATAATGTGAACTGTAAACTCCATCTGATATAAGCTTATAACAGTTTATGTAATAAAATGAAAGAATAACTATATATGGTGTGATCATAGCTGTTGCTGAAATGCTGGGTAAAAGAAAATGTCTATCTGGTAGTCGAGTAGGTGCAGCATGATTCTTATACTAGAAAATCACGAGCTCGATTCATACTAATACCTTCTCAGTTGAGCTCGTTGCACATAATGTCTTCCTAATTTAGTTTGAGCGGGATTTACACAGGAGCTGGATAGATCATTAGAGAGAATCTCGTGAAAACCAATAAGAGACTAAGGATACATCTAGAGGTGAGCATAATTATAGAAAAAACTGACAAAATTGATAACCGATATAATCAAATTGATGGCTAATTATAATATTTGTGGTAACTGAAATTATAGGCACACATTACACATGAGCAATAGGGGATGGGAATTGAAAGATTGTGCATATCTCAATCTTTCATTACACGTTGAGTGCATTTTGGGAGCATCATGTCCATATACACCAATATATACGACAATAATCTGCCATTTTGAGGTGTCAATTGTCTCACATTAAACATGTGACCTTAAAAAATAAATGCAGTCATACACATGCGAGTTTTTGATAGGGTAAATACTGCAATGATATACGTGTAGCTTGTTGATAGGCTAAACCTTCGTCACTGACAAGGACCGTAGATTTCTCTGGTCGTATAAATATTATGGATTTATGGGTGAGTAATTATACTTAGGAAAATACAACTCTTACTCTTAAATTTTACTTTCTCTAACAAAATTTTGATTGTTACATTTTTATTGAGACCCAAAAAAGATTACTAAAATGATTAGTTTTTATTATTATTATTATTATTATTATTATTTTTAAGTTTCTCTAACAAATTTACAAATAATAATAATAAAATGCTTCATAGTGGTTTTCCTAATTAAAAAATTAATAAATTGTTAATATTTATGTATATTTTTTAAAATATTTACAAATACATACTTATATTTTTTGTTAACTTTGTACGTTTTTCATACGTTTCATATTTTGCATTTTTTATCCTCAAGTAATATACTTATTATTTATTTATTTATTTTAATAAAAAAAATATATTGCGATAGATTTTACACTTTACGAATATACTTATCATTGTTTTATTGGGACGTTTCATGAACCTTGACTATAAAAATATAATATCTTGAGTCTTATGTAATTTCATTAATTTAAGAGGTAAAACAAAATCTCCTATTTTGCAGGCTATTACACAACGGTATTTATAAGTTAAAGTATACAATTAAGATAGCTAGAGCTAAGCTGATCCTATTGGTATAGTTATATGAGTTATTACACATGTCGATTTTGAACAAAGCCGTTTGAAGACAATTCTAACCAAGTTAATCAGATAGTCTAATTGATTACCATAAGGTTTCAAATTCGATCCTTATAAAAAATGTCAGCTATGATTACTAGGTGAATTTCACTCTTAACGTACTTTCGGATAACTGCGTTAAGCTTTCCCATAACCCCAAACGCATAATTATGTTAAAAAAAAATGTCATTGTAATGTTCTTGAACTCATTCTTAATAGCCAAACATCACATTTGGCTTTTAAAATTATGGGGAAAATATCCTCTGATTTGTCTAACTCGTCAATTTGTTGTTTAAAGCTTTGGTATGATTTTACTATCCTTCCGTCTCATTTGATGTGTCTAGTTTAATTAACGAGGTTTGATTGAATTTTTTTTAATAATATTAAATTTTATATTAATATACAAAATTTTTATATTTAGAAAATATACTAAAAGTACTATTAAAATAAAAAAAATTAAATTAAAAAATAAGTTAAAATACTAAAAAAATAAATAAAAAAGAAATGGTTAGTTGACCCATGAATAATAAGTAAGACTGATAAAATGAGATAGATTAAGTATATAACTTAGACAAAGAAAATTACTCCACTTTGGATAGTACTGTGCAAGAAGTAAATCATTTTTCTCATTTATTCACACAGACTGCTACAAATCCGTAATAGGGGACAGGCTAATCCTGTCACAGTAAGGAAGGAGCCCAGAGGAAGAAACTTCGTCTTCTTTACAGCTCCAAGCTACTGCCTTTCTGTTCACATCTATCCTTCCTTCTCTTGGAAATCAGTGGAAATGGGAGCTTCTGAAAAACCCAAAGCCCCAATCTTGCTAGGGTTGCTACTGTTGACTCTGCTGGAATCTGCGGCCGGGAGGTTCGTGGTGGAGAAGAACAACTTGAAGGTCTTCTCCCCTGACTCCATCAAAGGAACTTACGATTCTGCTCTTGGCAACTTCGGGATTCCTCAGTATGGCGGCAGCATGACTGGGACTGTGGTCTACCCAAAGGATAATCGAAAGGGGTGTAAGGGCTTTGATGGTTTTGGGATTTCTTTCAGTTCCAAGGCCGGTTCCTTGCCCACCTTTGTTATCGTCGATCGCGGAGGTGAGCAAGCGAGTTTGAATTTTTGCTGTCTTTGTTTTGTCTTATTCTATGTAATTTAGTGTAGTAATTGAGTTCTTTCCTGTTCTATTTGTCAATTATTCGTGATTTTTAAGATTGATTTACTTGTTTTAGTTAATTTTTGATGAGTTGATAGACTTGTTTTTAGTAGTTTGTCACTTTGTTGTTTATGGAGTTTGGCAGGCCTAACCTTGATGTGTATAGGATTCTTATGAATCTTTCCTGTATTGAAGAATTTTCTTTTGAGACTTATACTCAGGAGTTTCCACTCTTAGAGTCTTAGTTATTAAGAGGGAAGAGAGAACTTTGATTAATATGGCAGGAAAACAATTATGATTGTGAATGTTTAATGTTGAACTGTTTAAGTGAAGCGCATATGGAAAACAATAATAGGGAAGTACAAATGGGATACTGGTTTCCAGAATTGCAGTTAAGTGTCTTTTGAATTTTGGAATCCCGGGGCTGACAGTACAGCTTCTTTACAGATTGCCGTTTTGCGTTGAAGGCCTGGAATGCTCAGAATGCTGGTGCTTCAGCGATCTTAGTTGCGGATGATGTTGAGGAAAGGTTGATAACCATGGACTCTCCTGAAGAGGATGGTTCTTCTTCGAATTACGTGGAGAACATAACGATTCCGTCTGCTCTTATTGAGAAAAGTTTTGGGGAGAAGTTGAAGAAGGCGGTCAAGGATGGGGAAATGGTTCATGTAAATCTTGATTGGAGAGAAGCTGTCCCTCATCCCGATGATAGGGTGGAATATGAGCTATGGACTAACAGCAATGACGAGTGTGGGTATAAGTGTGACATGCTGATGAAGTTTGTGAAGGATTATAAAGGTGCTGCCCAGATCCTCGAGAAAGGTGGCTACACTGAATTCACACCTCACTATATAACTTGGTATTGTCCTCAGGCATTTACAGTAAGCAGACAATGCAAGCAGCAATGCATTAATCACGGGAGATATTGTGCTCCTGATCCTGAACAGGATTTTAGCTCGGGTTATGATGGGAAGGATGTTGTTATTGAAAATTTAAGGCAACTTTGTGTCTTTAAAGTTGCCAAAGAGACCAAAAAGCCATGGATTTGGTGGGATTATGTGACTGATTTCCAAATCCGCTGCCCCATGAAAGATAAGAAATATAACAAGGAATGTGCTGATGGTGTCATCAACTCTTTAGGTAAATTATTATTTTTTTCTTTTTGTTCTAATGGTATCAATCCCCAAAGGGTCAACTGATGCCAATTTTACTTATCTTGCAGGTCTTGATCTGAAAAAGATTGAGAACTGTATGGGAGACCCCAATGCTGATGCTGATAATCCTGTTTTGAAAGAAGAGCAAGATGCTCAAGTAAGTTTGATTAACTCTCCTAATCGTTTCGATGTCATCTATTCTTTCAATCGTTTTGACAAGTGGAACTTCTATAGATTGGTAAAGGATCACGAGGTGATGTCACCATATTGCCCACCCTTGTTGTCAACAATAGGCAGTACCGAGGTTAGTTTTGCTGCTTATACATCCATTTTTAGTGTGTCCAGACATTTTCCTCCTAAACACTTCTTCTTGCAGGGAAGTTGGCAAAAGGTGCTGTATTAAAGGCAATTTGTGCTGGTTTTGAGGAAACTACCGAGCCTGCAGTTTGCCTTAATGGAGGTATGTTCACATCTGAGCTTAAAGATAAATGTCCCGTGATATATTTACCGATTACTTGAATTTAGATGGTCTATTTTCTCACAACAGAAATGGAGACAAATGAGTGCTTAGACCACAATGGCGGCTGCTGGCAAGACGAAACTGCCAACATTACAGCCTGCAAGGTTCTTGCATTAACTTTAGCGTCTTTTATTCTTGTCTACATTTTATTTTGCATTACTGATACCATTCTGTATATATATTCAGGATACTTTCCGGGGAAGAGTGTGCGAGTGCCCCTTGGTTGATGGTGTGCAGTTTAAGGGAGATGGTTACAAGTCTTGCAAGCGTAAGTATCTGGGCTTTGTGCCAATGAACTTGTGATCTAATGGCATGAAGCGACTCTCCCAAATGGGAGGGTCATGGGTTTGAGCCTTAGTGGGGGCGGTATTGACTCTTTGTGCTTCAATAGGTTGAGAAGTAGCTATGAACAGATACTACATTGTAACAGAGTCAATAGTACTAAAAAAAAAAAGTATCCGGGCTTTGTTTATTTATTTACTTGTTAACATGTCATTATCATGCTTTTCCCTCATTACGAGTTCATATCTGCAGCAAGTGGACCTGGCCGATGCCAACTCAATAATGGAGGTTGCTGGCATGAAACTCGAAATGGACATACTTACTCTGCCTGTGTGGTTAGTAGTCATTAACTCCATATAATTTTTTGTTCTTAATCCTTCGGGCAAATTCATGCAGATTTTAACTCATAGTTTGTTTCAACAGCCTTCTGAAGAGGGCAAGTGCACTTGCCCTCCGGGATTCAAAGGCGATGGTAAGAGTTGTGAAGGTAAGATGGGTTTTCACTAACTTCACCAGTCCTGTTTTGTGTCCAGAAGTCTGTTGAGCATATAATATATAAACATAAATGTGCAATCCAACTATCAGCTTAGGTTTTTAGTTGAAATGAAGCACATGCTTCAATTTGGTATCAGAGCCAACCCGTGCCAAAGGTCATAGGTTCGAATCACCCGATAAAAAAGGGGCATGTTGAGCATATAATATATAAACATATACATAAATGTGCAATCCAACAACTATCATCTTAGGCTTTTAGTTGAGATGGAGCAAATGCTTCAATTAAGTCATTTATGGATTGCTTTAATCTTTATATCTCTTTTTGTGATTACTAGATATTGATGAATGCAAAGACAAGACGGCCTGCCAGTGCCCTGAATGCAGCTGCAAGAATACCTGGGGTAGTTACGACTGCACTTGCAGTAATGGCCTGTTGTATATCAGAGATCACGATACCTGCATAAGTGAGTGAAAACTTTTAATTCCGTTTTTTTTCTATTTGTATATTTCCTAGGAGTTCGTATGTGAGATGATGCCTTTTGTCTCGATTCACAATTGCAGGTAAGAGAGCTACCCAAGTCAAATCTGCATGGGCTGCCGTGTGGGTCATTTTGATAGGATTGGGCGTGGTTGCTGGTGGGGCATATCTCGTATACAAATATAGGTTGCGGGTAAGTTTTAATTTCCCCGGTTATGCAATGAATCATTTGCGTTTGAGTCTATTAGCCATGATTGCGGGATGATGGGATGACCCTAATTCACAAAAGCCGTTAACTAGCTGTGGAGATGAACACTTAGGTTTGGTTTTTAAAATTAAAAATTACACTAATTTAAGATTTTGACGTGACTAACCCGTCCCCACCTAATTCCCCACGGGGACAGGGATGGGGATTATTTTCAATTCCCCGCCAGGAGTATACTCCCCGCCCCGCTCCGCTCCGCTGCCATCCCTACCGCCAATGAAATTCATTTCATTTTATTAGTGGTGCCTGTGGTTTGTGATCTAATGATTCGTGCGTTCTTCCATTCTCAGTCATACATGGACACGGAGATCAGGGCCATAATGGCGCAGTACATGCCACTCGACAACCAGAGCGAAATTCCAAATCACGTCAGTGATAGCCGGGCTTGAGAGGCGTTCATATAAGTTCACACAACCGCGAGTCCTGCTGGAGAAGGAAACGCCCGATCATCATTACTCCGTATTCTTTTTTCATATTTTCGGATAATGAGGGAATTACACAGTCACATACTTGTCTCCAACGACAGTAGATTATTGTTTTTAAGAGTCAAATATGGACACAATAATGGTGGAACTAGTAATCTTTTGTTGTCATGTAACGCGACGAGTTAGGGAGTTTAGTGAAGGAACAAAAATGGTGTTTAGTTCATGCATGCATGCAGATTGCAGCCATGTAAATGTTATCTTGGATGAATGTTCCTCATGCGTGCTTGATCTTGATTGATGTAAGGGGAGTTATAATGCTACTTAATTTGTACCCATACATTTTAGCAGTTGAAATGATGATAGCTAGTCTTCCACAGTGATGTAACGGGGCATATTAACGGGTAACCACAGGTCTTTTACGGGAGAGGTAATATATATACCATTTTAAAAATTAAAGAGTAACATTTACACTATTATTAATTTAAGAGTGATATTGATATTTGACATATTATGAAAGGACATAAATTACAATTTTTTCAAGAATCATTTTTTTCTTTTAGTCACCAACCATCTAAAGTTTAATAGTAGTGTTTTCATTTTTTAAAAAACTTTTCAGCTAAAAATATAAAAGTAGAGTAAATTTTTTTTGGAATGACGAGAAAATTTGAAATTACTATCTAAATGTGTGTACTGGTAAACTTGATTTCTGTGTAATTATTTACATACTCAATATGTAGTAGTATATAAGAAAGATAAACCAAACTAAAAATATATTGTGCGACGAATTCAACTAAAATTCTTTTAATAGAAATTAAATTCGTGACTTTCAAATATAAAAATTATATTATACCCATTTGGTAACCGGGGCAAATATAATAAAATTTGATCGAATCTTTTAAAAAAGAAAATTGGACAAAATTTTGGCTGGATTGAGTAGAATCTAAGTTTAAATTTAAATTTTGTGGATATAGTAACCTCACTCACTTGATTGGATTTCCAACTTTGATTTCAAACTCCCTTCCCCCCAAATTTCTCTCTTTCAATCACTGCTCTCACTTTGATCGGAAAAGTGGAAAACCATCGATTGCTTAACTGAGCGGAAAACCGACAACATCATGACGGCGGTGACACTCTCAGCCGGACGGGAGCTATCGAATCCTCCGACGGACGGAATATCCAACCTCCGCTTCTCCAACCACAGCGATCACCTCCTCGTCTCTTCCTGGGATAAGGTGAGTCTATTTTTTATAATGTACACCATATCCTCAGCTCGTTTCCTCTTACGATTAGTGATACTTTGCTTGCTTTTGTGTTTGAAGACTTTAGATCTTACTTTTGATCGAGCCGTTTTGTTTTTGTTTCCTGTTGTTTTAAATTTTGGTTAGACCGTAAGACTGTACGATGCAAGCGCCAATGTGTTGAGAGGAGAATTCCTGCACGGCGGTGCCGTGCTCGACTGTTGCTTCCACGACGATTCTTCGGGCTTCAGTGCTAGTATTGATAATACTGTTAGAAGGTACTTAATAGAATTATTTGGCCTCTCAATCTACTATAGTGGAGCTTAATTTGATCCTCGTTACTGAGATTAGACTAGGATTATAGTGGTGTTAGTACTGTGGACTGACTGCTCTTTGTGAATCCTCCATCGTGAATTTAGGTGGCAAACAACATTAAAGTAAAATCTTATACATGTCAGTTGAAAAGCTCCTCATTCTCAAAGATGAGCGCTATGTGCTCTATGAGGATTTGAGCAACTCACAAGCATATCTTTGTTCATCGTATCATACTTTGGTGTTTCTAACTTGCATTTACTTTAGTTTTATGTGTTCTTGTATCTAATGTCTCTCTGATGGGAAATGTCGCTCTTGGTGTTCCAGGCTTGTGTTCAATTATGGAAGGGATGATATTTTGGGAAAGCATGATGCACCTGTTCGCTGTGTTGAGTACTCATATACTGGTTAGTTTAGCCTGTAGATAGCCAAGGCATTTATACCATTTGTTATCAATATAGCTTTCATGATCCTTCATAACATAAGATGTGTTCAAGAAAACAAAAGGCTGTTTCTATTATCTATACATCTACAGATCTTGAAAATGTTATAGTGAAAAGAAACTAGGATGATAAAATAAAACGTGAAACAAAACTAAAGATTTCACTCTAAAATTATTAATTATGTGAAGTGTGAAGTTCATTAACTATTGTTCCTTTATAAATCTTAAAGTTCTATTTCAAGTTGCTACTCAACATTGCTCATTTATTTTATATTCAGTCTTCCAATTTGGCTTAGACTAGATACATTAAACGTTTTTATTAAATAGGACAAGTGATCACTGGTAGTTGGGATAAAACCTTGAAATGCTGGGATCCTAGAGGAGCAAGCGGACAAGAGCATACTCTTGTTGGGACCTATGCACAACCAGAGAGGGTTTATTCCTTGTCTCTAGTTGGCAACCGTTTAGTTGTAGCAACTGCTGGAAGGCATGTAAATGTCTATGATTTGCGGAACATGTCTCAACCTGAACAGCGGAGGGAGTCTTCACTCAAATACCAGACAAGATGTGTGCGCTGTTATCCTAATGGAACTGGTACACTACCAAATCTTCATCCTCTATATCTTCTAAGGTGTACAATTCCTTGGTGTGTTCCTGACCTAATTTAGTTCACTGGTGCACACTGTTTTTCTGCTACGCAAGAATCACTTTCAAATGATAATTAATGCTCAGTTCAGGGATGGCTTATAGTTGTACAAAGGTCCTTATAGTATGAATTATTCCTAGAATCCAGAGAACATATTTCTTTCAATCATTGCTCAACTAACACATTACTGCCTTGCTTGGTTTTGAAAATGCAACATAGTCCTATGACTTGACAGTTGAGAGGTATATAGCATAGCTGTTGCTTGATAATTCTACCTAGCTTTAAGTTGCTGAGTTCTCTGTTTTTAGTGCATTTTCTGTATATAATTAAAAGTGTAATTGCAGGTTATGCTCTTAGTTCAGTTGAAGGCCGTGTTGCAATGGAATTTTTTGATCTCTCTGATGCTGGTCAAATCAAGAAGTATGTGCATCTTTAACTTAAGATATGCAAATAGGAGTTTACAATAGGATTGATTAAGTGTGAAGGTTATAAGGATTTTTTTCTATTAGGATTGTTAAGTTGTTAACTGCATAAATCAATTTATTTCCACCCTGTTACAAAACAAAATAAATCAAGTGAAACTAACATTAGCTTCAATGTTTGAAGCCAGCCTTTTAGATGAATCTAGAGGAGTATATGCTCTTTCCATATCCCAAGATATCATATCTCCCAACTGATTCAAGATCATACTTGTGGTTATGAAGTTGAAAATACGATATGGAGTTTGCACTCGTGGGGCTTCAATCTAGAGTAGAATGATTTTACATACTAGAATTTTAATGTGCAGATATGCATTCAAATGTCATCGAAAATCTGAAGCTGGAAGGGATATAGTCTACCCAGTAAATGCCATTGCATTTCACCCTATGTAAGTGAACAATTTATGCTTAAAGTATTTGAGTTGAACTATTGCATAGTTTGTTAAGTACGCAAGACCAGTCCACTAATTTGCAATTTGATTCCCATTGAATCACATTTTTGTGGATACTTCCAATATTTACCTCTGATCTGATCTTCCACTCAAATTTAAAATGCAGCTATGGCACTTTTGCCACTGGGGGGTGTGATGGTTTTGTTAATGTGTGGGATGGAAACAACAAAAAGAGGCTATATCAGGTAATTACATCAAGTTGGGTTTTAAAAATTTCATGTATAACCTTTGCTTATCTTGCTGATTTTCATTATTAAACCAACCTGCAGTACTCAAAATACCCTGCGAGCATTGCAGCCTTGTCATTCAGCAGAGATGGTAGACTGTTGGCGATAGCATCTAGCTATACGTTTGAAGAGGGACATAAACCGTAAGTACAACTAAGTAGAACAATATTATGTCTTGGAAGTAGGAACACAGCCAGACATGTAACATATTGTTAACTCTTTATTTGTTGTGTTGCAGCCACGAACCAGATACCATATTTTTGCGCAGTGTGAATGAAGTTGAAGTGAAGCCGAAGCCTAAGCTGCTACCTAATCCCACCATGTAAGAATTCAAGCGCCTTTTGTTCAACATTTCATCGCATATTGGTAGATGTTTGTCATAAATTGAAAAATCTGCTTAAAATTGTAAAGACCAACTGTTTAAACGTAGCTTCTATGTAAGTTGGACACTCCCTGACCAAACATATTTTAGTTGCTAAAATTCATAAGTTTGGCCGTTCAGCTCTGGGTTTGCTGAACTATCACATCTGCTGTCTTTTGGGTAGTCATATGCACTTCACCTAACAAATTCATGTATGCAAAGTGGTAGGGATTGTGTCTGGTCAGATCAGTTGTTTGGCATTTACTTCCTATGATCTTGTCCCTTTTAAACTTTAGGCCCAATTGTATAATTTAGGCAATTTCTATGGTGCTCAACGGCACCTGATTCTTTTTCATCATATAAATTAATAGTTATGTAAATTACTTGACAACCAATATCTACTTCTCCCTACCTGTATTAGTGGACCAGATGGATCGTGCAACGCAATAGTATACGAAGTACTAGTAAAACTAATTAATGATTTGTCATTAAGGATTCCGTCACAGATTAGCATTTCTTGTAAATCCTCTTTTTGGGTTGTATGTTCCTTGATTCCTTTTTGTGTCTTCTTGCTATAATTATCCTTCAATTTTTTTTAAACAAATTTTTTTTTTCATATTTTATTTGTTATATTTATAATTCTATTAGTAAAATCCTAAATTCATTCAAATTTTTAAGTTTGTTGTATATTTTATTATCTTGTTTGCTATGTTGTCAGACTTGTCACTATAATCATTAATAGGTGCAAATTATTTTGATTTTCTTTTTGTATTTATTAAAAGTGATTATGGGATATTTTTAATATATAATTTTTTTTCCTTCTACATTATCAATCGAATAAAATTAATTTTTTTAAAAAAATAATATCAGAAAGTAGTGTATAGTTATCTGTCACTTTTTTATTTCGTATGTGACTCGCTGGAATGGTCTGCTCATGCCACATTACCAAATTCTTATAAAAATTTGTATAAACAAGATGCAGAGTATTTGTACACACTACACTTTATTTCTCTTTTCTCTTCATGAATTTTCTACTCATTTTTTTTAAAAAAAAAAGTATTTTTTTTTTTTCCCTTCATTAGAGATTCCTAACAATGAACCAAAGTTTCCCTTTGCTGGCGAGAGCCAAAAGGGCACGTGGATAGAGTTGGGTGCCGGCTGCTCAACTCAAAGTGATATAAGTCTGTCGAGTTGGAGGCTTTTGGAGACATGTTATCTTTTTAGTTGTTAGACGGCTCTGCCTTGCTTCAGTCTGCCCTTACTTGTCCCAAACATTCAGGAAGCATCCAAATCACAATTTTAACCCGCCACGTGTCGCCTTTATTCTTCGCCGCTCCTTGAATAATCACGTAGCCACGTGTCGACACCGCAGCACACACCGTGTTGCGTGCCACACCTTAGACGATTTCCCACTTAGCTACTACTGCACTCCTCCTCACTCCTCACTCCATCCTTAAGAATTAAGATATGCACATTATCTGAAAATATGGGCTATATATTATTCTTATGGAGTAATTTTTACTATTAAATATTAATATATAGTTCTACTTAGCGAGTCTTAACTGAAATTATTTTTGATTTGAAATTTTCAAGTGTAATATTAGATTATTAGTATATAAAATTTATATATTTAGAAAATAATATTAAACACAAAAGTTTAAATTTAAAAATAAACAAAGAATAAATAGTTACTTTAATGAATGAATAATAAATATGACAAATAAAACGAGACAGGTGTAGTATTATTTAAGTTTATTTGATTACGTTATAAAATTTAGGATTGTCAAAGAATTATGTACATAATACATATTTTTTACATAAAAGAATATACGATTACATAGTAGAGAATATGTCCAGTTCCTTGACTCCCTCCCTAATCTCTATCTTCATCCTAGCCCTTGGGTTCGAGAGAAATATTTTTCTCATCTTTGCATCAACGGAAATTACCATAGCATAGGGATTTTCCCATTCCTACAAAAATACTAGGGATTAAGGAATTCATGTCTTCTATGCTAATATATTACTCCGTATATGCTAATGTAAATTTGCATCAACGAAATAAAGAATTCATGTCTTCTATGCTAATATATTACTCCGTATATGTAATGTAAATTTATATTATCTTTAAAAGTTCCAAAAACTAACTAAATGTAAAACAATTAAAGTGGTGAGAAGGGTGTTCTTCGTGGCTGTTAGGGTAGAGAATTGATTTATTCATTACGTTTGAAATAGATAATCCGTAGTATTTTTATTTTGTATAACGTAAATATTTATTTTGTATTTGATTAATAGATGTTCATTATTTTATTACGATGATTACTTCTTACAACGTAATTATATCGTTACAGCAGGTTTAATGCATTTATGATATAATACACTCATAATACTACACTACCCCATGAGATTTACTACTGAAAGTATCATACCATCTTTATCCAATTTCCCCCATTGAATCAGTCCTCGTTCCACACTCCAATTTCACTAATCCAAGTACAATCCCACTTGCCCCAGCTGTATCTGATTAGCAATTCGTAGTGGACAATTTTTACGTGTGTTACGGCTGCCAATACGCAATCGACAGCAACCGAGTGAGGCCCCAATGACGTATGCGTTCACGTAATAAATAGTTAAATAGGTATTGAAAATTACTCGTGAATTGGAAAGACCAAAAAATAAAAACTTGTGTTGACCAGTGGAACAAGTCAAAATCAAAATTAAGACGAAGAAGAAGTAGCTTGACCAGTCATCAGTCATCACATAACTTTATCTCCACCTTAGGCTTTACCACCACTTCCACCTTTCCCACTCCCCTTGACCAACTCATCACACGACGTGTTAGCTTAGCTCCTACTCTCTCACTTCCCTATCCCTCACATCACCTTCTTTTTTTTAATTTATTTTTATTTATTCGGTTAAAACTCGAGTTTACAGAATTACAGTTCCTGACTTAGAACGATCGATAAATTAATTGTTAATGTAATTGTAAAGTCAAATGGTCAATATAATTTGAATTGATCGAACTCAAATTAATTTCAAAATAGTGAACCTATTAATACACTCAAATTTAATTTATAATTTAATAATTTATACGATAACAATATCTAATCACAAATGAGTCATGCATTACCGTTTTTTTTTTTTAATTTTAGAAAAAAATCTATCATGTCTAGTGAATATTCTACCAAGTATAGTAAAAAAGAAAATGGTGGGGCAGGGATACGTTTTCATGATTTTCATGAATAGAAGGATAATTATTATCCTAAACAAAATATCAGTACTCTTTTTTGCTTACAGTGACAGATCGATATAATTGTAATTTTGATTTGATTTGGGACATTTGTATTTAATATATAGAGCGTGAGGTAATATGATGCTTATAATATATATAATCCCTAATCATATGAGAATTACCCAGGGTGAGAATTTGTAGATAAATTCAGAATATTAGTAAGAGTGGAATATATTTATCCATAAAAGTGGTGATTATTATGTTTAATAAAACTATGAATATTAAGTAATTACCGAATTCCTAATTGATGATGGGCAACACCTCCACCGCCATTACTTAACGCAACTTCCAAACCCCCGGCCCTCTCGCCCGCCTTATTCGCTATATAAAGCACTCTTTCTTCACTCCCTCACTCAAACTACTTGTCTGTTGCTTTACTCATTCAGTTACTTCTCCCTCTCTCTCTCTCTCTCCATCTCTCTCTATAACTACTTTCGCAATCCTCTTTTTCCCTTCGATCGACTGCTTTGGATATGGCTTTGGAGGCTATGAAATCTTCGGCCGTGGTCACGCCGCCGGCGCCCTGCGTCGAGGTTGATGATGTTCATGGATTGAAGAAGAAGCGGACTAAGAGGCCTCGCGGTGATGAGAGCCCCGCGCTGCCACCGCCGACTGAGGAGGAGAGGTATTTGGCTTTGTGTTTGATCATGCTGGCCCGCGGCGAGGATCCGAGTCGTCGTCAGCGTGATGCGCCGGCGGAGGCGAAGGTTGTGAGTAAGGAGAGTGAAACGGTGTCGCTACCGCCGCCGCCGCCGCCTGCGGCGGCGGCGGCGCAGGAAGTGCCGCATCAGGAGCAGTTGTACAAGTGCAGCGTGTGTAATAAGTGTTTTCATTCTTATCAAGCACTTGGTGGGCATAAGGCCAGCCACCGTAAACTGGCTTCCGCCTCCGACGACAACAACAACCACCCCTCGACGTCGAATTCCACCGCCGCCGTCGTCAACCCGATCGGTAGGGCTCATGAGTGCAACATCTGCCACAAGTCCTTCCCCTCCGGCCAAGCCCTAGGCGGCCACAAGCGCCGCCACTACGAAGGCAACCTCGGCGGAGCCCCCAACCGCGACGCTGGCTCTGCTCCCAGCGGAAGCGCACTCACCTCCTCAGAAGGCGGCGTCTCAAGCCACGCGCCCCGTCCCTTTGACCTCAATCTCCTCCCCTCCACCGAACTACAACTCGGGCTCAGCGTTGACTGCTCCATAAAAAGTCAACTCTCCGGTGATCAAGAAGTCGAAAGCCCCATGCCCGCCAAGAAACCGCGTCTATCCTTCCCCTTCGACTGGGATTTCCGACCAAACAATTCTTGAAAAAAAATCAAAAATCAATTCTTTAATTTTACCCTTAGCCTCCCCAAATCCCAATTAATGATTGATCTCATATACTTTCAATATTAATTAGCAGCACCCTTTTATGTACAAGGAGTTAATTACTCATCATATTGATTCTTAACTCTCTCTTAATCTCTTTGTTAATCATTCATTAATTCAATTCTTATTGAAATACTATTCCTTTTTTTATTCCCATTTATTTATAAATTTATATATGTGGTTGAAATTAAACTCAAGATTCAAGAAGGGTGGTGCACGAAACTGCACGACCTAGTGCTCCTTTGTGGTTGGGTTGTCCATGTGGTTTGTGCCCGGTTTCCACGTTGTATTCATTATTATGATTAGCACAATTATTAGTTGGCACTTCCTTTTCTAGTATTCTCCGAGTGCTTATACTTTTATTTTATTTGTTTAATTTATTTTAGAGTTCACGCAACACAATTAAAGTTTGAAAATTCGTTCTCACTTGTTCAGTTTAATTTGCATTTTGCTAGCTTTCCTAGGATTCCTATCTTGGGTGGTGTTGTTTGAAGGATTGTGTTTGAGTTTGAGAATGCTTTGCTTGCCGGGTTGATAATGTTGTTGGAATTGTTTGATGAGTGTAAGCAAACACCTTAATTTAAGCCACAAGTGTGAAGGGAAAAGTATGGTTTTAGGCTGATTTCGAGTAGCGTTTTAAAATTGGTGTTGATTGATTGTTTTTTTACTTTGGATAGGATTTTAATTTATATGAAATATGAAATAGTGGTTTGGATAAGTGTTGATTGATTGTGTTTTACTCGGGGTAGGATTTGGATTGATGTTGGTTGGGTGTAGCTTAATTACGATTGTTCTCTTTTTAGGCTGGTTTCAGCAAGGTTAGGATAGTGTTTTGAAATACATGAGCTGAGTGTGTTTTAATTATGATATGATTCCACTTTAGGTCAATGTTAATCGAGGGTATTTTAATCATATTGTTATCTTTTTAGGTTGGTTTTAACAAGTTTAGGATATCATTTTTAAACTAGGGTTGACCAAGTGCGAATCAAGATAGGATTTTAACTTTGATGAAATAGTTGTTGGGTGGTTGTGGGTTGAGTGTAATTTAATCACGACGGTTTTCTTTTTCAGGTCAGTTTCAACAAATTTAAGATAGAGTTCGTTTTAATCATGAATGAATTTGAACTTATCTGAAACCGTCGTTCAGTTTTGACCGATGTTAATTAATTAAGTGTAATTACTAATTAACTATGATTGTGTTTGTCCATTGAATACAAGAAATGAAGTTGTATTAAACTACTAAATTTGGTTTGAATAAGAATATAATAAAGGGGGTTTGAAATTTGAATAGTAGAGTTGCGTGTTGAGTATATGCTAAACAAGGAAAAAGATGAATTTGGGAGGAAGTCATCATCTATATATCTCTGGCAATATAATCACAGGAAAAACAGGACTGCATGCCAGGGATGAATCACGATGTTTCCCTGCTTTTCTGCTTTGCTTGCTGTCTTCTATGGCGGCTGTTTCTGAGCCCCTTGTAAAAGTCTAAAGAGAATATGTATATTTATCTCCAAGAATTTCAAGTTACAAAAATAAAATTCTGGGTGTCATAAATTAGAGGACAAGTTAGAAAATGATTAGTGAGATTTGGTGAGTAACCAAAAAGATATATGGTTGTGGTGAATTGCATTAATGCATAATTATAGTGTTAGGCCTTCATTATATTATATAGTATTGTCATTAGTCAAACTCATAATTTTTGGTACAATACCAAATACTATGTGCAACTTGTGGTGTTTAGTTTGTGTATGGCCAGTCTCTCTTCTAGACTTTTTCAACAGCCATTTCCATCCCAATTGAGCAGTTGCCACCTCCTTTCCTTCTTCTTTTTTGGTATAATTTTGGTTTTAATCATTTTCAAGAATGGTCAGTTAAACCACACCACTGATTGGAGATGATTCAAAAATGTGATGAGTTGTTTATATTGCTATGCTATAATGACACCTTACAAGTTATCTAGTTGCTGTGACGTTCTCTAGTTGACTGATCAAGCGGTGTGATAATATTCTCAAGACAGATATAACGAGTTATGTATTTAACGTTTGCAAATATAGTTTGACTACTTCGTGTTTTGCATTGTGAACCCTGATACAAAAATTCAGTACTTTAAGTTTATAGGTAGAATGTGTCAACTATAAATACAGAATCTAAAAATTATTTTTGGTTGTTCATGTTGCATTGTGAACCCTGATACAAAAATGAATGTGTAAACTATAGATACAGAATCTAAAAGTTATTTTTAGATCAAGATTTACAATGTAAGGTAGACGTTGGTCCATGGTATAATTTGGCCACACGGTTGGTTCACCTAATAAGCATCCCACTTGCATTTGATAGGCCCTGAGATCTACGCAACTTTAAGTTATGAGCCTACTTCAAAGAGCACCATTACAATACTGGGAAGTATTATGGCAGGCTTGGGCCCAACACTTTGTATCTGTAAAAAATGGTCCAATGTTAGCTTCCCCATAACTTCAATTCATCCAGGCTGCCATGCAAGATCAATCTGATACTATTGAAATGAGGTATCTGATTGAGTGAAGTATACTTCTCGTAACAAAACGTCTGAATTCAATTTCTATTAACACTTTCTTAATTGAATCTACTAAACAGATTGAGTCACTTTTGAACCCACCAAACGTGGTCTTCTTAAGTTTGCTTGCATGCATGCATGCAACATCGATCTATCATCACATTGTGTGTGATTTTGCATTGATTGCTTCCCCAAAAAGACAGCCGATTAACACCACCCCCCAGTGGTCCTATCCCAATATAATGAAACCATCTTGGAGCTTAACAATATAATGAATGCCCGGCCATACCATTATCTTCTTCAATTCATTCATATTTCCACGTGATTTTCTAGCCTACCAACGTGCCAACTCTCTCAAAATTTGTGCCTGCATGCGATAATGGAATCTTTTTGCCTTTGCTTTTTTCTTCATTAATTAAGCTTTTAATGGAGCCTATCCATGTACACATCAATTCAAAATGCGCCGCCATGTGCCTCTCTCAAACCCCATTAATGGTGCATGCATTTGCATTTGGTGTTACACATTTATCAAATCTAATAAAGCACAATCGAAAAAATGTACGGAGTATTTAAACTTGAATACCCTAACCTTATAAATAGTAAATTAAATTAGGTATCTCCATAATTGTGTTGCTTAATTACCGTGCAAACTAGAAGGTGTAGCTTTTTTATTTGTTTTTCTTTTTATAACAAGAGCGATAGATGTGAGAACCAATTTTCTTAAATACTTACATGCCCTTATCTAGTTGCCTATTTGGACCTGACTATTTATTTGATTACTTAATAGTCTAATCAAAATCTTATTGTTTGTAGATTACTTATAATAATCACTCTCCATCTATTAATTACTTCAGGACGTATCATTGTTTTATTGAATATGTAAATTCTTTATTTATTAATGTAGCTAATAGAGTGATTATTATAAGAGCGAAAAACATCATTTTTTTCAGAGAATATCTGAATATGATAACATATGAGAATTTTGAATTCTTTAAGAAACAAATAAGATCATATAATAATATCCTTTTAAATAATGTGAAATTCATTAACACATAACGTGAACTAAACACAACTAATTAATATTCATTATACTCTGTAATATAAACTAGTGGCATTAGTACTTAATTAGTTACCTCTTAATTTTAGTTTGAAAAACTTTCACTTTTAGTCCCTTAGACTATTGTACATATATCAAATTTAGTTCTTTACTAGTACAAAGTAATATTTTCAAATTAGGTGTATGACTATATAATTTGTATCACATTTGATCTTTCTGTCCAATTTTTTGGCCAACTATTGCCAAAATTTCAACGAAAAAAAATAATATGTTCTAATTAAAAGAGTACTTTCGACCAACTATTGCCAAAAACTTTTTTTTTTCTCGTTGAAAATTCAGCAATAATTGACCAGAAAATTGGACTATAGAACTAAATGTGATACAAATTACAGTGTCATGAACCTAATTTAAAAAATTAATAGTCAAGGATCTAAAAATAAATTTTTTGTTTAGTTTCATCTAATCTTACAAACAAATAATACTTGCAAGTTAATTATTTCAAATCCATGCGTTTGGCCAAATGGCTCCCAACATTTGGTAAGACCATGCACGTGTTGTTCCGTGTCTAAGATGAGTATGATGAATCAATGGATGGAACCATTCTTGTCTATTACTAAAATCTTTGACACAAAGATTTTTTTTGGAGTTGTCTAATAAATCTGGAACTCTAAGCCATATTAATCTTTATTAACTTAAAAGTTAATAAGATTATATATCAAAGAGAAAATTGAACTCTAAACTTTAAAACTCAACCCAATTAAACTAGTATACTGCATATACTTAAACTCTCATGTATAGTTAATTGTGTAAGCATACTTAAATTGATTCCGTGTATGATTGATCATTTGAATATGTAATTTTTTTATACAATTGATTAATTTTTGAATTGTGTACGTTTAGCTAAAAAAAAAAAAAACCATAATTATCAAGTTAACTGAAAACCTATAATTATCAAGCTAATTACTTGACCATCTCGAGCAATTGTACAATGGATTCCGTGCACGACAAGAAGAAAATTAAGTGTAGGAAACAAAAACATAGGACAAAATGTAGGACATGAAAACTAAGCACTATAAGGCATGTGGTTGAAGCCAAGGGGCTCCTTTTTCCAGCCACGTGGCTACATCCACAAGGTGTCATAGTCAGCTGCAAACCTTGATTTGAATGGGCCCCACCAATGTATGACTAAGACCGTTGACCATTCTTGTGGTCAAAAGCCCCACCACCCCCCTCATTGACCAGAACAACTAGATCTCAGATCACCATTTCCCCTAATCTTTTCTACTTTGTAGTATATATCCATTTATTATATTATTATTTTTTTACAAGAGACATCTCTTTCATAATTTTTTTTGGTCAAATTTTAACTTTTTACTTTCTCACACCATATTATTTTTTGTTATAAATATATCATTTATGTGGACATTATTATAGATTATATAACAGTTGTAACGGTTCTTGTATTTATGTCTCCATTATATCTTCCGTTACGTTTGTGTTCTATATATATAGAGGTGTTGCGGTTGTATGATGATAGACAGATGAATGAATAAGAGATTCCTCATTTCACCTTTTTCTCTCTATTCTGTTTTCCTTTTAACACGTTATCAGTACTTTGCTCTACATACACATTATAATCTGGTTTAAATCGAAGTTCCTAGACAAAACGGAAGATTTTAAACAATAACCTAAGATAACATATATGATGTAACTAAAAATAAAAACATAATCTAACAGCTTGTGGTAGTTAGTAAACGAATTATTAATATAATTATAAGATCGAAAAATTAATTATTTTATATGTGTACATGTCGATAGTAAATATTGTATAAAAAAATTTGAAAATATATAAAACCCAACATATATATTAACTCTCAATTCTGAAAAAAGTTGATAACTTTCTTTTTGTTAGGTTGAATTGGTATACTGTACTGTGACTCTATCCATTTTCTTGGTAGAATTTTCTGCTTTTATACTCAATATATATTAACTGAAATTTGAGATTTTTCTTCATGGTAATATTAAAATTAGTGTATGAAGTTCCAACACAAAATCTTGTATGCTTTATAAGATCAGATCATGCCATGGCTATGGCTCTGGCTTTGGAAAAGCATATATATATATAGGGTCTTCATCATCAATTCATTCTCCAACCTATTACAAGCTGGTTTTTGCCACTGTTTGAGACCCTTTTCTTGCTGTTCTCACTGCCCACACCATCATCATCACCTCTGACAAATCTCCTGCACTGTACTATATATAACAAGGATGTATCTTAATTAATCTTGGAGGTCTTAATAACCTTAATAGCCAAAACAATACCAACTTGACATGAAATGAAGGCACAAAGGGTTTAAGAAGAAACAATGGTTACCCAAGTTCTTAGACGACAGACTTAGTAACTATAAGGTTTCACGTTCGACTTTTAGTGGGAGTGTTCTTAGTTTAAGCTGGTCAAATATGGACAGTCTATAAGTTAATTTATCTTCTTGTGTAATTTGTCAGCTAAGTTACAATGCGAGATTTATTTCATGCACACCCTTTGATAGTGACAGTAAATTCGGTTGCGATCTAAAAAAAGATAAGAATTTGAAATGAGAATTTGGGCAACTCGTGATCATGTGATGATGAGATTCGATCTTGCTAATGATAGCAGTAGAAGCACAAGGAGATGAGCAAGAATGATTCGAAACAGGAAAAAGAAAGAAGGGGGGAGAAATGAATTGATTGACAAGCTGTTTTATGGTACAGGAGCGGCATTATAAGACTTGGGAAATGCCCCGCTAGAGCACTCCACGTTAAAGCAACAAGGCAAACAAAGAAAGGTGAGTGTCAGTGTGGCGTGCAAATAACACAACAATTTGGGGTGTCTGAACCTCCCTTTCTCTCTCTCTCTCTCACTTTCTCCTCAGAGTTATACTAGTGAAACACAGTAACTTTGTGAGGTATAATGTGTAGAGCTGATTCTAGCAAAACTGGTAAGTATAAAGCAGAAAACTCTTGGCTTCTTGTGCTATCTTGCTGTTTTTTTTTTTAAAAAAAAAAGTAGAAAATTTCAGAGACAATTTTCATTTCTTGGTGGGCACAGTATGGTGGTGGCTTTACTCTTTGCTTTGTTGGGTTATGCGCAAAATTTGATCTTGATAGTTTTCCCACAAGTGGGTTTGGCATTATTCTATTCCCATCACTACCCAATTCCTCAAAAACTTTTCTTTAATCTGTTTTGAGGTGACATTTTAGGTATTCAATTCTAAGTCTCTTTGAAAAAGAATTTCTTGTGTTTCTAAATGCTAAAAAGTATTGGGTTTTGGGGTTCTGTTTACAAGGGTGATGCTTTCATTCTTGCCAAAACTTCATGAAGATCATGGCTTAATATTTTAATTGCCCGTTATGTGTTCGCTGAAATGATTCTTTGAACTCCCTAAGATCTTGCTGGTAGCTGATGCCTGGTATATCCTTAATAATAATAATGCATTAAGCATGTGGATTGTGGATATCTCTATTCACTGATATACTCATCCAATTTTTCTTTTCCAGCTTTGCAAAAACTATGAAAGATGCTTGCTGTCCACCGCTGTGAGGGGTTCTTCATCTGACTCTAAGATGCTGTTCTGTGTTGCAGGTATGCAACCGTATCTTTAAAATATTATGGATTTATTATTACATGTGATTGAAGTTTGAGCATTTCAGTTTTGTAGAGCAATTTAGTATTGTTTATGCTGGTAAAGATAATGGGGGAAATATAGAAAATAAGAAGGGAAAGGTGATGCTAGTGGGTGTTTCTCTGGTTTTGGGAATAATTTAGTGTTCAAAGTCTGTTGGTTGTGTCTCCTTGGCTGACTGGGCGCCCCGGGGTCCTAGGGCTTTGCCGCCAACCAAGGAAACAATCTCTTCTCTTTCACTCTCTTCCCATTTAAATCAACCATTTCTTTATAGAAAACAGACAGACTGCAATTAACCAGTTCTTTCCCTTTCTTCTTTTCTCTATCTGCAAGATATCTCCTGTCAATATTCGGTCATACGAAGCATATATCCTCCCATTTTCGAGATCTTATTACCCTCGCATTGAACTGCTTGTGCTGAGAGAGTTGGTCCCCACGCTGTGAGTCCTTATATTCTTCATTTCTCGGGCTCTTTAGCTAGATTTTGGGGGTTATGTTTGAGCTTAGGGTTAGGGGATGCCAGCTAATGAACACAGGGTAGTTTAGTTTTACAGTGTATCAGTTGAGTAGCGTGGAAGCATAAAGTTTCAAAGGAGAAGCTGATTTTGGCAGGATGAAGTTCATGAAACTTGGATCCAAGCCGGATTGTTTTCAGTCAGAAGGAAAGAATGTCAGGTGAGATCTTTCTCCAACGCTCTTCATTGATGTTAATTAGCAGAAATGTAACGAGGGACTATTATACCTTTTCTAGATTCAGTTCATTTTGTTTAGCGATACCTTCCTAATCCTTCCTTTTGGTCCTTGAAACGACAAAAATGTCAAGCCAATTGAAGATACGATGTTTGTAAATGATTACAGATTTGTGAGCTAGGCTTCCTCAGAAGTAGCTTGTTCTGGTTCATAACATTTGATGAATGAATATTTGCACACTCTCTTGTTTTGTTGGTTCTATTATCTCCTCTCCGTTTTTGCACGAGCAATTCTTAGGTGATAACACACGAAATGTCTTTTCCATTCCAAAGAGGAATTTGCTGATTCTGATATTGAGACGATTGATCTAGATCTAGCATAGCATTTGTGAATTGTGATTATAATGCATTTTGCAACCAGTTTTTATCATTGCATTACAACCCTTTTTAGTGAGATCTCGGTTAAATTCCCTAAAACTACGAACTTTGGAATAAAACTCTATGGTATGTCTGAATTTTCTCTCCTCTTCTAAAGCTAGAAACTTTGGTGCAGATATGTTGCTTCTGAGTTGGCTTCCGACATCGTGGTTTTTGTAGGAGATGTGAAGTTCTACTTGCATAAGGTACTAAAACACTGAAACTGGAGTAAAGCCCTCGTTTTTACTTCTTTTTTGGCCGTTTGATTCATCGCCATCTCTCTGTTTTATGAATCTGATGGACTGAATAAACTGGTTCTGCAGTTTCCTCTTATGTCCAAGAGTTCTTGTCTGCAAAAGCTGATCGCAAACTTGAATGAAGGAAATGGTGATGAAGTTCGCATTGATGAAATCCCCGGAGGGTCAATGGCGTTTGAAATATGCGCCAAGTTTTGTTACGGTGTGACTGTTACGCTGAATGCTTACAATGTGATTGCAGCCCGTTGTGCTGCAGAGTATCTAGGAATGAACGAAAACATTGAGAAAGGGAACCTCGTTTACAAGATCGATGTTTTTCTGAACTCGAGTATTTTCAGGAGCTGGAAGGATTCCATAATAGTTCTGCAGACCATGAAGCCTCTGTTACCTTTCTGCGACGAACTGAATCTGGTCACCCATTGCATCGACGCCATAGCTTCCAAGGCATCCACAGACGTATCCCGGGTGGACTGGTCCTACACCTATAACAGATTCAAGATTCCCGAGGAGAATGGCAATGATCATAACATGAATGGTTTGAGAAGCAGAGCGGTGCCAAAAGATTGGTGGGTCGAGGATTTATCTGAGCTTGAAGTCGATTTATACAAGCAGGTTATTGCCAGTATCAAGAAAAAAGAAATTGTTTCTAATGAAGCCATTGGAGAAGCTCTAAAAGCTTATGCTTCGAAATGGCTGCAAGGCTATGGAAGCATCCAGAACAACGACGCTTCCAAATATCAGTCTGTATTGGATACGATCGTGTGGCTTCTACCCCGAGAGAAAGGTAGCATCTCCACTAGTTTCTTGCTGAGATTGTTAAAAGCGTCCATTTCACTCGATTCTGGAGAAATGGCACAGAGGGAACTGATAAAAAGAATAGGCCACCAACTGGAAGAGGCCTCTGTTAACGATCTTCTGATCCGAACCTCAGATTCAGAAACAACCTTGTATAATGTCCATGTAGTCCAGCAAATACTACAAGAGTTCATGATGAGCGATCAGGACTCCGAAACGAAACTAGAAAATGGCAACGAGATTCAGGAGGTTAGAAAGCCACCGGGGATTTTGTCTGAAGCTTCGAAGCTGATGGTGGCAAAGTTAGTGGATCTCTACCTTGCTGAGATTGCAAAAGATCCTAACCTGACTTCCTCAACGTTCCTCGGTTTAGCAGAGATGGTGTCTAGCTTTCCACGACCTTCTCACGATGGTCTTTATCGTGCAATTGACATATTCCTCAAGGTGAGGTTGCCTATTGATGTGAACCCAACCCAACCCAACCTGAACAACTATTTTTTTATCGTTGAGCATATAATATATAAACATAAATGTGCAATCCAACTAACAGCTTAGACTGTTAGTTGAGATGGATCACATGCTTCAATTTGGTATCAGAGTCAACCTCATGACCTCCAAAGGTCATGGGTTCGAATTTTAAAAAAAATTGGAGCCCATCAAAAAGCCCTCACACGTGAGGGGCCTGTTGAGCATATAATATATAAAGTGTTATTCAACTAACAGCTTAGGCTTTTAGTTGAGATGGATCACATGCTTCAATTCTGATCCCTCGGCTTATATTTTTGTTGCAGGATCACCCCGGGATCAGCAAGAGCGAGAGGAAGAGAATCTGCAGGTTGATGGACTGCAAGAAGCTTTCTGCAGATGCATGCATGCACGCAGTTCAGAACGAGAGGCTCCCTCTGCGTGTCGTTGTGCAGGTGCTGTTCTTCGAGCAAGTCCGGGCTAATGCATCATCCGGAAGTAGCACGCCCGACCTGCCAAAAGCCATAAAGGACCTCAACTGTGCCTCCTATGGCAGCTCGAGATCTGCAACGACTACGACCGAGGAAGACTGGGATGGCGTCGCCTCTGCTGACGAGCTCAGAGCTTTGAAAGGCGAGCTGGCAGCTTTACGGTTGGGAAATGCAGGAATGGCTGATAGAGCCAATGGAGATACTACTAAGACTGTCGCCTCCTCCGACAAGGCTGCTGCCATCAGTAAAATGAAAGGCTTACTTGTTTCGAAGAGGATCTTCTCCAAAATCTGGTCTAGTAAAGGTGGAAATGGGGAGAACAGTGGCTCTGATTCGTCGGAAAGTCTGGGCTCTACCACCATGGAAGAAGCAAAATCCACCCCTTCAAGGAAGGGCAGATATTCTGTTTCTTAGTTCAATATCTGAAGATGTATAGATATCTAAGCTTATAGCCTTATTAGTTCACAGAATGACAGTTCCATTCCAGGTCAAATCCAAAAGGAATTGCCATTCTCATTTTCACTTAGACATGTTTTCTAGGGCTAGTTTGAGCCTAACCATTAGCAATATGGTTTCACAAGGAAGATCACTGTACTTTGGACCCATAATACAAATTGCATGAGCCAAAAAACAATTAAGCGGATTGTTAATATAATTGCAAGACTAGAAGATTGATTATGTGCGCCTCTTGTTAAAGAGACCTCTAGGTTAAACCTTATTCCCGAGTAAAAGTTAAATCATATGACTGTGATTTGAATAATCGGATACAGTTAACGTATTATGTGCCTTCAGTTTATTTCAAGGTTGAAAAAATCGCTAAGCACCCTCTAGGCGCCTGGGAACCACCTAGGACACCTAAAGCGTCTAGGTGGCCGACTGCCTAGCACCTGATTGGCGCTTAAGTGCGATTTTTGCAACATTGGTTATTTACAGTACATAATATATTAACTGTAGACATAATCTAGACCAAGATCCACTATACGCATTCTGAATCCGGGTCTACAATATAATTTTCGCAGAAAAAAAAAAATCTATAAACCAGACATGTAGTGAATAGACAAACTTAGAGACAACATTTCTTAAAGAATAGTTTCATCATATTAGCCAGAAATGCAATTAAAAAGATAACTTGCAGGAAGCAAAGGAAAGTGCTCAAGAAGAACACTGGCAATTCTCCACTAGGTAACATTCTAAATAGAATTGTACATATATACACATCAGTTTTCTTCCTTTTTACTAGACAGTTGATAGCAGGAATTAGGGATACGTTAGATCGCGTATACAGAGATTAGTGAGAAGGAAAATCGCTTGCAGAATATTCGGGTGTAGAAGTACATGTCATGCAAGGGGAAGAGACGTGTTCCAAAAATGGCGATGAGAAGCCAAAATTAGTTGTTTGGTGCAACTCCGAAATGACACCTCCACCGGGTTGAAAGGTTTGATGCGGTGTTAGAATTTAGAGTCGGTCAAATGAAGATCAGATCTACAGAGGTCTTTGTCAGGCTGTTGATACACGTCGATGTTGTAATACATGTGTTCTCAAACTACAATCCTTAACCTGCGCAATTAGGTTCGAGATGGAAATCGTCACAAAGAGAAAAGCATAAACCAACGTCGAATAAAAAGGGTAGAGGTGGGTGCATATTCACCTGCATCGTTGCTACCATAGACAAGAAATCTTTGCATTGTTCTAGTAAAACCCGCTCCTTTGCAGTTATTTTAGCCAGTTCAATTACCAAAATATTCGCTTCTTCTACCTGAAAACGTAATAACAACTTATTGGGAACGAACACATATATAGTAAAACATTTGGATTAATCAAATCTAGAAAAGTACATAGTAACAAACTAATATGTTTCTCTTTTTTTTTTTTTTTTTTTTTTGAGTACTATTAACTATGTTACATTGTAGTATCTGTCCATACATACTTTCTCAACCTACTGAAGCACAAAGAGTCCATGCCCCCACTGGGGTTCGAACCTATGAGTCAGTAATCTCCCATTTGGGAGAGCCATAGTTATGCCGCTCGACCACAAAGTCTTTGGCAAATATAAGAAAACGTTTGAAAATTGACTACTCATAACGGTCAATGACAAAACTACTAATTTAGGAAACCTGAACATAGGATTACCTTTGCCAAAAGCGAACAGACTGAGGTTACCAATGCTTGCATCACATCAACTGTTGAACCAATAGCTTCCTTCAAGCTTTGAATGTCAACCTATCAAAATCATCGAAAACTATTGAATCAATGCCATCACCAAACATCATAACTACTTATGAAGTTTTTCCAAACATTGTAGATAGAAAGGGGGATAAAGTAAATTCATACAATTGCTCCGGCAAGAACAGGAAGACGTAGAGTGCTAGCTTTCAAAGCTTCAATACCACCCATTAAAGCAACAGAATGTTCTTTATCCAAGGAAGCCCAATCTTCTAAATAGGATATCTAAGGAAAGTATTAACTCAACTCAGCAACAAGCAATAACTTCCGATGTTCAGACTTGTTTGAACTTCAAAGGATAAACTCAGGAAAAAAAAAAAAAAAAAAAAACGAACTTACTTGTCCCTTAAGAATAGATGCTAGCTTCAATTTTTGTTTCAGCAATTGCAACCTGTGTCGTTTTTTGGTGACTATATCACGCAAATCTGAGATTTTGATCCAAGCATTCCAAAGAGTTTTCTGCACAAGGTACAACAATGATTAAGGGGGAGGTTTGTATCCAATAACAAATTAACAAGTATCATATATTAAGCTTTCTGACCATCACTTTTCTTAAAATAGAACTTAGTAATTAGTATTTCTCATTTCTGATCCTATTTTACATGTTGAATGAGTAATCAAATTCGTATTTCAAAAGCAATCTTGTCATTTCTGATCTGATTACCAAGACTGCTACTTCATCTTTTGATGCAAGAAGACCATCTAAGTGTATCAACTTATATTACCAATGATCACAAACTTTTGTACAACAATTTTATATAACACGGTTATTTATATGAGATGCCAACAACTAACTTTATACAGTATTACTAAAAACAGTGAATTATTGATTTATTTCCACATTTTTTGCTGTGTTGGAAAGAGGGATTCAAGTACACTTGATATCCTATCAAACTATTCAAATGACTACACACAATTCATTCAAAGTCCATTAACACAGAATAAAGGGTTTGACCGAATTCAACTCAACTAAGCATTAATAAAAGGTTTGACCGAATTCAACTCAACTAAGCATTAATCACGGGATATTATTTCACCATTCAAATTTATTTTAAGTGTGAATTTGTGGTCAGTAACTTTAATCATGTAACTTTTGGACATTTTCCTATCCACTCTCCCGTAATGACCACTATCACTTTTCCAACTTCAATCAGCAAGATCCTTTCTTGTGTCTGCACATCCATCTTAGAGTCCTCACCTCAGAAATGACAGCCAAATGATTTTTTTACTCTTTTTTTTGGGGTGGGGGGGGGGGGGGGTGAAGGGGTTAGGTGAGACTTGAGAGGAGAAAAATTATTGGGGGTTAAAATCAATGGACACTAAATTGAATAAAAGAAGATACTTTGTTTGATAAAGGACAGAGACAATAACAAGTAGTTATTGGTTTCTTTTAAAAGCTTTCAAGATTCTTTGAATACTAACAATATGTTGCATTGTTGCCTAAAAATTCAATTTCATTTCGAATTTTATGCCATAAACAAACGTGATGTACTAGCTTAACTTATTGCTTACTTTCGCCTATTCTTATTTTATTTCCTGTCTAAGATCAATGCATATGCACTTATCCAACCCAATATTAGAACTCTTTAAACACAAGAGGTAGGTAAGAGCTGCGGCATTATTGAGTGTCTGTGTGTATAAACACACACATACACATAGCATTATAATTGTAATTGTTAATCAACATCGGTGGAATTCACCCCAAGTTAAGATTTACATTAGGTTTCTCCAACACAGAATTAGATGCGAAAGTAATGCTGCAAAAGATCTCATCTGGATAGATATCTAAGTGGGCTGGAAATATAAAGCAAGAAATTACACAAAACGCAAGTAAATTAGAGGAGTAAAAGTATACGATCTTACCTGTGCAGTGTGCATCTGCACATGCAAGGCTGCTTCTGTCCTAGCATTTACAAAGCGCCATTGCAAGTGTCGATTATAAAGAAGTCGCAACAGGTGAGCGTCAACGATTCGGTTTTCCCCTACCTTCCCCCTCCGAACATCCACAGCAAAACTAAGAACTGAAGGTGTCTCGACGAAATTATTGCTAATGGTACTAACAGCGTTTCTCACGCGACTTGGACTAGGCATTCCTCGCGAGGGAGATGACCGTGAACCCACCGGTGTCCCCAACTTACTTGGAGAAGCAGGCCTAATGCCACCACGAATAGGCGATGAAATGGTTCGTTGCAAGGAAGCCGGGACATCACTTGGGTACTTTCGCAGTTTTGGTGGCACAATCAACTTCGACCCCGGACTCGTGGATAATGGTGAGCCTGGATCCTGTAACCTCCTCAACCTAGTATTTGTTTCTTGCCAAAACCTAGCCGAAACAACGATTCCTCGGGGTGCTGTAGGCCCACGGGAAGTTCCACTTCCACCGCTCTCTTGCATTCCCGAAGTACTACCAGAAGAAACACTATCAGTATCAGATGCAGTGCGATCAGAAGGCACAGAAGACTCGTTATTTACTGAATTTTCATCGAAACCACGTTGAGCAGCTTTTAATGGCTCAGCATTTCCCAAATCGATACTCAGTCTGCTATCAAGTGAAACCCTTCTCTCATCCATCATAGAGTGCTGAAGTACCCGAATCCCAGATCCAATAAGCTTGTTCCTCTCTGCATCACTACAGTTTAAACTCCTCGACAACGGATTTGCTTGCCTAGACCTCGCAGGCCATCGGTGCTGATCAAGGGGCCTAGAATTCTCCACCTGATCTCCTCCCCCATCGGGCTTCCCTCTCAGAGGAGTAGTGGTCCTCCTCCTCTCGGGCGTATTCTTCCTAATACTACTCAAATTAGGCGAAGGGGGAGCTACCTTAGTCTTACTAATTGGCAAAGAAAAGGCCTCCCCTTGAAAGGAAACAGATAAACTCCTAGTAGAAGTGACCAGAAGCTTGGTGGCAGCTGAAATCTCACTCCCATTATTCACTTTCAGATCGAGATCGGGTGTTAGAGGCCTCGAAACCGCCGGCCGCCTCCTGTCGACGGAAACGGACCTTTTGGGCCCGGAAGAAGGCGGCGCGGTGGAGAAAGGAGTCGAGTTTCTGGAGAGTAAAGGGGATGGGAATCTTCTGGAAGTTGAAGTCTTTGAGGATGAGGAAGACACAGAGGATGAATTCGAAGAAGAAGTTGAAGGAGAAGGGGACATGTATCTAGAAGAGACCACTCTAGCTTTGGGTCTCTTAGGGTTATTGTGAACTCCATTATTGTCCTTCTCAGACGGCAATAATGGAGGTCTCCTTGTGTTAATTTGAGGCTCCCCTTGTGAGCTGGTTTTGGGGTTTTGAGCTGAAGCTGCACCAGAAAACGCAGCCACCACCATCATCACACTCACACACACAAAATCACAAACACATACACACACACTACCCCCAAATTCGCCTCTCACATTGTAATTTCACACCAAAATACACTTACCCAGAATCCCCTTTCGCCTCTGCATCCCCTAAAACCTGCAACAATCAACAAATCCGACCATCAATCACAATCCCAGTCCGGGTCTTTCAAAAATCCCACATTTCCTCAAGATTCCTGCTTTTCCTCTCAATTTTTCCCTCGAAAGACAAATACGAAGAACAAGTAAAAAACTGATTTTTTTTTCCGGGAAGTAGTAGTAGTGGCCTCAGAGAGAGTGTCTGTGCCCGTGAGAGAAGGGTGAGATTTGGGGGCACAGAGAATTCGTACATCCTTTAGCGAGGGTGGTTTTGGGGTTTTGTGACCCTTAGGAGAGACGTCACGCTAACCTACATTTTTAATTACTCTGTATTTCTTAAATACTCCATTTTTAACTGCGTTTTGGTGATAGAAATAAATTTGTTCTAATCTTCTTAAATGAATGGCTAAATGGGTATAATATAATTTTTATACCTGTAATTTATGAGTTTGATTCTTGTTAACGTTTTTTAGTCAAGTTTACCACACACTAGAACAGAGTTTATTAAATACATGCTTCCTGAGTAATATAGTTGCAGATTTATATTTAAAAAATGAGTTAATTCTATTTTTGGTCTTAGATTTATAGGTGACGGTCCATTTTTAGTCATTTTTTATTAAAATATCCTCATTTGATCTTAGTATTATTGTGACATGATCAATTTTGGTCCTCTGCCAACAAAATCGTTGAAATTTCATTCAATTGAAGGACATTTTGATCTTTTTAATACAAAGAGCGTTGACCCGTTATATTTTTTATGTTTATTTTTTAAAAGAAATTATAATTAAAGAGTGAAATGTTATTGTATTTAACGAAATTTCAATGTTTTTTTTATAAAGGACCAAAATTGGTCATGACACAATAATACTAGAATAAAAATAAAATGTTCTGATAAAAATGACTAAAAGTGAATTGTCACCTATAAATTTAGGACTAAAAATGGAATTAACTCTTTAAAAATTAAAGATTGCTGTAATTATTATTTTAATTCCTATTTTGTCCATACCGGCCAGCCCCCTATATTTTTTGAAGTCAGAAGTTTTTACCACTTCAATATAAACTCTTGAGAAAACATGTTTCATGATCTAATCATTTTTACTTTAATTGTATAGATTTGATAAACACTATTCCATTGAGGCATTGACCATAGATAGATTGTCTTATCATCATTAAAACTTAGGCATGTAATATTCTAATATTATCAAAATTTATATTTGTTACGATAATAATTATGTTGTACACGATTAACAAAAAATTAGAGATTAAATTCATCTATAGAAATTCGTTTATTGGAATTGCAAGAGATTGAAAAATGTATCTAGAAAAAAAAAATAAATTGTATGTGTGTATATAATCCTATTAAAGAATTGAAATTAGTATAGAGAGTCTATTCATGTTTTTTAAAATAGAGAATGACACCTTTTATCTTTAAATTATAGGAAAATAATGTTTTTTGTCATTGAATTATATTGTCGTTAATTACTTACCGTCCTTCAATTGTTTGTCAAGTGATTTTTTTCCGTCCTTCAATTGTCTGTCAAATGATTTTTTCCTTCCTCTGATTGTTTGCTAATTGAATTTTTGTTAACCTCTCTAATAAAACTCAAGGACGAAAGAAGCCACTTAGCAAATAATTGAGGAACAAAATTTGACAAGTTTCGTACCACAAATACATGTGAATAAAACTTACTGACAAATAATTGAAATGACTTTTTAAATCCAATTGAAACTTACTGACAAAAAAAAAAAAAAAAAAAAAAAAAAAAATCCAACATTTGACTATTTGAGTGACAAAAAGTGAAAATAGATATAATTAAAGTGCAAAAACAAAAAAAAGATATTTTCCTATAATTCAAAGACAAAAAGTGTCATTTTTCACTTTTAAAACTTTTCATTCTTATTACATAGCTTGTTTTTCAAATTGGAGAAAGGTATATAAAAATATTTTTTTCCAGAAAAATAGAAAATTCCTCCATTAATTTATACTTTTAGCTAAAAACTTCATTGACAAATTAAAACCTATTTCAAATTTTCTATAAATTGTTAACAAAAAAAAAAAAAAAAAAAAAAAAATCCTTAGCAGTTGTTGTGTTGCATGCTGCAGTGCAGATTCTTGTTTTAGGAACTCACATGTGAATGAACGCAAGCCAAGTTAGGAATGATGTTCATATTATATTTTCTTAATTAATCATAAACATATTTATAATAATGATGATGATGATATATATGTTAATTTTAAAGGTCACAAGCTTTCTTGAACTGAATAAACTAATAAAGTAATGGTAGAATTAGGAATGAACATCATATATATAATACTAGAATTATATATGTTTTGTTGGTCATCACAAGCATTCTTAAACATACTTGCTTTAATTAATTGATTTCCTTGGTGATGATCAGATGTCCTTTTCTGGGTTTCACCATCATCATTAGTAGTCAACATTCATACATACATAAAATACAGGAATATATATAGAGAGAGAGAGAGGGGTAAAAGAATATATGTGTACATCAAACCTGCTGGATCAAAGGACAGGCTTGCCTTGCAAATTTTGCAAGCTAAGCTAGCTAATTAATTAAAAGCATTGCTATATATGCTAATGCCCATATATATAGGCCTCGCTTGAATGGGTAGGCTAGTTTATCTCGTTAATCTCCGATTGCAAGTTCTTCATGGAATAATTTCAAGATATCAAGCTCATCCACGTGTTCTGGAAATGCAATCAATGTGCTGACTTCTTAGTCAACCTGGGGCAATCAAGTGCTTGGGGTACATCAATATATACTGGATCGCCCCCCTGACGGCCTGAGAAATTTGCTGGATCGGGACGCTCGCAATATTGCTACGAGTAGGTTTCGTTAACTACGGGACCCGGTGGGTCCTTCCCTTTCACCAAAAAAAAAAAAAAAAATGATCATTTCACAATTAGAGTTACAAGACCTGATTTGCCCAGAACGCATATGCAGATAATAACAACAAGCTTTCCAGTAAATTAAAGGGAAAAGAGTTCGCGTAATAGTTTTGTTATGTGAACTCATAATTGACAACAACACATACTACTACAAAACATAGAATAACTACACGTTTAATTACACATAGATTTACTTATAGATTTGTGGGTAAATTAGATTTTTGTTATAGTGTAATAAGGTACTCCATATTAGGTAAATCACCTAAGATTTTGACTTTGATTTGAGAGAATAAACACTATGTTTGGTAGAGCTTATTTTATAACTTATAATTTATTTTAAGTTACAAATAATATATAACTAACCCTATTTGGTAAAATCTTTAAAATCATAGTTTATTTTGAAACACGTTTAAAAATAATTAAGCTATTTTAAGTTTTTAACTTTTGACTTTCCCCTTCGGCCCTCCTCTCACCTTCCTTGCACCCCGACTTCCAAACATTCCCTCGTGTCTTTTACAATTATGAATCCCTCGTGAAGTAATGTTTGTGCTCTGATCTGATCTCCCAATAAGGTTAATGTTCCATATACAATATGGATATCTGTTGAACAAAAATGGATAATGGATGGATACACGAAATGATCATTTAATAATACTTAGTTGTGGTTTGATAAGAATGGTCAGAAATGCAGTAGTTTTAACAGTTAAACGTAACCCCTCCTAGTCTCCCTTCATAACTTCTTTCTTCAATAGGCAATATGGCAACCCGTGATGAGTATGTAAGGTGTGGTGCATGATCAATATATGCTTGCCTAGCTTTATTATATATATATTTTTTTTTTTTATGACAAGAAAACTTATAAGCACTATTTAAGTGTGTACACTATTTTACAATTCTAATCATAAATATTACAATGAAATAAATTAGCAATACTAAAAAATTAATAGATCGCTTAATTAATAATCATACCAAATTGAAACATGTGTTTCATCTCAACTAAAAGCCTAAACTTATGTGTTTCATCTCAACACTCGTTACATTGTTTTGAAGAGGGATGAGCTTTACGTACACACCCAATTCAACCCCATCCGTCGGTCAAACCTGCTGCTACCTTAATATGCAACATTTACTGTACTGTCTGTCTCGCTCTACCTATTTACACGCCGACATTTATCTTTAATTACCCCACTCATCTTTAATCCTGGACAGTTGAAAAATTCAGGATTACTGCCCTAGAGTTGTGGGGAGGCTTGTGGTAAAAAATGATCTTTTAAACTAGTTTTCAAATCATTTTGAGAATTTTAAAAACTCTTCATTGCTATTAATCAATAAATTTTTTTATTTTTTTTTAAAAAACCTTGATATTTGGACTTATCATGCCAATTAAAGTACGAGTAGAGCAGAAAAATGAAATAAATTTGGTTCCTATTTATGAAGGACGACTTAGGATACTTTTGTGGGTGGTGGTCTGAACTTGATGCAGGTTGGAATAAATAAGAGTGATAGCTATGGTATCGCAGAAGATGCCTGGAAGAGTGATTAGTGAGATGGAGACAGAAATACGACATAGGATTAATATATGTATTTTCTTAATCTTGGTTAATTGTATTGTTATTATTATTAATGACTGACAAATCTGGTTTACACGTACGAACAGTAATTAAGATCCTTTCTTCTTGCCGACCCATGCAATCTACAGTACTATACAGTGGAGGAAAAAGATAGATTGGCCGCCATAGAAGTACTGATGATGTTGGGAACATGAATATAATGTTCACCACAATATATTTGAATGTATGATTGCTGCGCTGTAACAACTATGTTTTCCTTAAAATAAATGTTTAATTTGTTGGTAATTAAGGATATATGGCTTAGATACAAAGAAATCAATTAATGAAGATAACAAAGTTAAGGAAAGATAGAATATTAGAAAAAAAAAAAAGTTTCGTGTATATCTCATATGTTACTAGAAGATTAGATGACAGGTGTTAAAGCATAGTCGAGCAGTTAGGTCGGTGCAGTGGCACAGTGGTAGTGCCCTATGATACGATACAGTGATACACGGATTTAATTTTGTAAATATATCGTAGATTAGGATTACATGCATACAAATACATTTAATAAAAAAAATTGTTTTGCTCGAATCCCATGCACATTAGCACATTGTCGAACCACGTAAATATATACAGTGCCCTTCTTAATTTTTTGTTTGTTCTTGATTTCTTGATCTTGAAAAAGGGGAAGGGATTAATTAATAATTAAGTGAATAAAGTAGAGTAATTAGTTGATGATTAGTTAGGATTATCAATCCAGTGAACTGTGTTGAAAGCATAGTTATGGTTAGAAGTAATGTTGTCGCCCCGGTTTAACGGGTGGATGATCCATCTTAACTAATGCTTGTTATGTGTAAACATCACTACCCCCTCTTAATTTAATCTTTATTTCCTTAATTTTAATTTGTGGGTTATAGACATAAAACTAATGCTGCTTACAAAGTTTAACTAACACATAAAGACCACCTTAATTAACTTCAGTTGTTCATTTGTCATGTTTTCATTGAAAATAAATAATGAAAACAATTTCAAAAAAAATATTAAAAGAATAATAAGGTTAAATAATCAATTTTTTTTTCTTAAAAAAATATAATCAATGTCCAGTGGTTGGTTTTAAAATAGCAATAAGTTAGCATTTGAGTTCCATCATAGAAAAAGAAAAAAAAACATCATAAATTCTTAAAGTAGGTTGATTATGTCTAATCAAGAGTTGTTAATCCACTCATAAGTGTCACAAGTTAGACTTTCATAAGTTTTTATTCTCGTTTTAATTTAATAACTCAATAAAATGAATCCAAATGTCATTTCAATTTTCAAGGAGTACTCAACTTGTATTCATTAAAATTAAAAAAAATTAATAAACACAAAAAAAAGTTTCACAAGGTAAACTTAAGCGCATAGCTAATTGACTCAAACTAAAAAAAATTAATAAACGACAATTCTCATAAAGATAAAATCTAAAATTTTATAATTACTAAGTTAATTATCAGATCAACTACTTGATTGAGACACTGTTTGATAACATAATTAGTTTATCAATCAATTTTGACTTATTTAATTATTATTAGTTGTTTGACTTAATTAAACATTCAATATAAGTGTTTGATTAATTAACTCGTTGTAATAGCTTATTGTTCCAAAAAGTTGATCAAAACAACTTTTTCGATTAACTTTTTGAGTAAATCATTTTATATATATTAACTATCAGCTAATTTACTAAACATTTTTTTACAATCAATTAATTATATCAATTAGTCAAACTCACTAACCCAATCAACTAACAACTATTTACCAAACAACGTAAAATTAGCAAATCTCGCACGATGTATTTGTGACTTGCAGAGCCTTAAAGCAAATAGGATTGTAGATTTGATGTTTCCCTCAAAGCAAAACCCAGTTCGCTATCAGTTCGGAACAGATGGGCTTCTACTGCAGTATGGGCCCATTAGAACATAGGTTTAAACCTTTAAAAAAATTAATTAAAAAAAAAACAAGATTTAATAATATGTTAATAAACATATCCATTTGAACGGGAACGAACTTCTAAGTCTAGGGATGATGAATCCTAGGAAAGTCCGAGGAACCGTGAAAGAGGCGGTCGGATGCTGTTTGAAACCTCTTCTCCAATGTGCCATAGAGAATCAAAATCTGCAAGGTGATTCTCAGTTAGTCAGACGACGGCATTGGAAAATTAGCGGCGGCTGAGCTCAACACGGTGTAAAAGTCCAAAATGTTTAACTTCCATAAATTTATTGTCTTTTTTGGGAAAGTCAATGATGACATATAAACGTGGGAAAAATCATTCGTATCAGAAACCAGATCGCCGCCGTGTTGGGTTGACTTCTCTGTGGTTTTTGGATGGGAGATGAGGGAATGGTGAAGAAGAAGTTAACCCTTTTGCCTTTGATTGCTCTGATTTTCTATGAAGTTTCCGGCGGGCCATTTGGGGTGGAGGATTCAGTGAGGGCAGGCGGCGGCCCTCTTCTCTCCCTTCTTGGTTTCTTGATTTTCCCTTTGCTTTGGAGCATCCCGGAGGCTCTGGTCACGGCTGAGCTTGCCACAGCCTTTCCTGAAAATGGCGGATATGTGGTTTGGATATCATCAGCTTTTGGCCCTTTCTGGGGATTCCAAGAAGGCCTCTGGAAATGGTTGAGTGGAGTCGTGGATAATGCCCTTTACCCACTTCTGTTTCTTGATTACTTGAAGCATTCCATTCCCATTTTCAACCATTTCTCTGCCAGGGTTCCAGCCATGTTAGGGATCACAGTTTCCTTGACTTACTTGAACTATAGAGGCCTCCACATTGTTGGCATTTCCGCTGTTTTGCTTGCAAGTTTCTCTCTTTTGCCGTTTCTCGTGATGGGGATTCTCTCGATTCCTCGGATTCGGCCTAGACGATGGCTCGCTGTGGATTTCAAGAAGGTGGATTGGAGGGTATACTTCAATAGCATGTTTTGGAATCTCAACTATTGGGATAAGGCCAGTACACTAGCCGGGGAGATTGATGACCCGAGCACAACATTCCCTAAGGCGCTGCTCGGTGCTGTTGCTTTAGTCGTTTCTTCGTATCTAATCCCACTTCTTGCTGGAACTGGAGCTTTAATGGCTAACCCTTCCCAATGGAGTGATGGGTATTTTGCAGAAGTTGGAATGCTAATCGGTGGCGATTGGCTCAAGTGGTGGATCCAGGCGGCGGCTGCAATCTCTAACGTGGGGCTGTTCGAGGCTGAAATGAGCAGCGACGCCTTCCAGCTGCTCGGAATGAGTGAGATGGGGATGCTTCCATCTATATTTGCTTCGCGGTTAGTCCCTAAAAACCATCAAAGTTCTTGCACAATTGTTAACTTTCATGGAAACAACAATGTTCTTTCATTGTTCACATTTATGCAGGTCAAAACATGGGACACCTACTTTTAGCATCATGTGTTCTGCAACTGGGGTGATTTTCCTGTCATGGATGACATTCCAGGAAACCTTGGAGCTTCTAAACTTCCTTTACTCCATTGGAATGCTTCTCGAGTTTGCAGCCTTCGTAACGCTGAGGATCAAGAAGCCCGGTCTTCGCAGACCGTACAAGGTACCCTTGCAGACATTTGGTGCAACAATGCTTTGCCTGCCTCCTATGTTGTTGCTTATCCTTGTAATGTGTCTGGCTTCTCCAAAGACATTTTTGGTTAGCGGAATGGTTATCGTCGTGGGGTTTCTCTTGTACCCTGCTGTGGTTTTATCAAAGGAGAGGTTTTATTTCCATTTTAACACACAAGATTCATCAGTGATCACTTCAAGTACTGGTTTTGAAGGCCAAGAAATCATGCCAGTGAACAGTCAAGAAGTATCTGATGAAGCTTCTCTCTACCTTCTATCAGATCCATCCCCTTTGAAGGACCAATCAGAGGTTGAAATCATATCAGGAGTTTCAGAACTTCAGTCTCAAGACAACTAATTTCTTGCATTGCAAAAATGGTGTAAAAATACAATTTTTATATCACATATTCAATCAATGCATTAACAAGTTCTTATTGTATGGTTTTCCAGTTGTTCTATGAAGTCTAACAAAACCATCTTCTTTAGGTTCCAAATCTGCAATCACTACCTGAAAGTGTGCATTACGTAAACCATAGCTGATTAGCTCAATGGACCATAACCAATCTAGCCAGCAAAAGTCCACAAGGAGATAAACCAGCCTAGATTACCCATAGTTGACCAACTAAAACCAAGAAGCTCAATAGGCCACTCCAGTTGGGAGTTGAAGTGTAAAACTTGTTCCAAATCTACAGTCACTACCTGAAGGTGTGCATTACGTAAACCATAGCTGATTGGCTCAATGGACCATAACTGATCTAGTCAGCAAAAGGCCACAAGGAGATAAACCAGCCTAGATTACCCATAGTTGACCGACTAAAACCAAGAAGGCCAATTGGCCAATCCCGTTGGGAGTTGAAGTGTAGAACTTGTAACCCTGTAGTTGCTAAGTCAATAGCCTGACGAACTTGGTTAGAAATATCCCCGCTGTTCTCTCTTTTTGTTCATAGCAGAATGAGAACCAGTTTGTAACAAATTAAGTATTAACATCAAATGGAGCTTACAACAGCAAGAAAATGGTACAGTAGAAATTCAGATCAAAAGTTAACAAAATGAAAGGTATGAAAAACAATACAAAAATGTAAGTTTTGTTGCTCCATAGATTGGATCTGCATTATAACGGGTATCTAAGTATCCTCGTAGCTGTTCTAGGCTAGAGCGTTGCGTCTTCTGGCATCAACTACCAATGTAACGTGTCACTAACAATTCCGCTTCCAGAATGCCTTCGAGCAGACAGCCCGAGAGAAAGAGGAAAAAACGAACTCTGATGACTACTATTAACAGGATCATGCTGTGGCTACCTTCTCTTTGCTCGCTGTATAAGTCAGGTATACATTCCATATATACGAAAACGAGTTGCTAACAAGTGGCTGTCATTGAAAAACTAACAACGATTAGCTAAACTTTCTCATTATTCAGTAAGACGAGAAATGAGAATGCTTGCCTACCTGTAGATGGACGGGGATGAATCTGAATGTGATGAAATCACACATTGGCCAGAACATAAAACCGCTTTTCATCGTGGGAATCACATCCCGCTTTAGTCTGGCAAGAATCTCAGCACCATTTTCACCTGTCGTCCCAAATAAAACATTGCTCATTCACCAGAGTTAAAGACGATCACACAGAATTTACTGAAAGGCGTCCCAATACCTTGCAAAGCAGAATTTACAGAGAAGAAAACAGCAGTCATGATAGGTCCAAATACAGTCTGCCCCATAGCCATCTTTGTCAATGTTGATCTAAGATCGCGCTTTGGAAAAGCCATTGAAATAAAGTTGAACCAATAATGCAGGGAAGGCCCTAAAATCACCATCCCATAACCAGCCATGCGTAGTGTCCTTACAAGATCATACTGCTCTAATGATGAACCTGAAAGTATCTGAAGTAAAGCCAATTCAGAAATGTAAAATGTCACAGATCCCTTACTCCCTAACACAGAATTGTTGAAATGGGAAAAAAGAAAAGTTGAACATAAATGGTAATCATATATAATCTCAGAGTAAACTGATTTTTCCACCTTTCTTCATCTCTTCAAAGTACCTCATAAATGGTAAAGATGGAAACTTTCTGCCATTATACTTCAAGATTTCACAACTTTAACTGAATAATGAACCATTGTTTCATATATATAGAAACAAACCAAACTACTTATCTAGTTATCTACCTAGGCAATTTTTTTTGGGAGGAAAAATGAGAAAGGAATATTCTTCCAAATGTTTGGTATTAGGTGAGGAAGAGAACCTGAGATGAAAAATCGGCGGCGGTGTAGATAACAGCACAGGTGATGCTCTTGGTGAGAATAGGCCGCGTCTTCAACAATTCTAAGTACCACCCGACCAATCCAGCCTTCGCGGCGGCGGCGGCGGTGGAGCTACTCCGGGAGGAGAACGGTAGAGAAATTATGCTGGGAACCGAGAGCTCAACCTCCTTGGTCTTTTTTAAAATGGATTGAGGGAACCGATAATACACTTTAGCTTGCTGGTGGCAATGATGGGTCCGAAGAAGCTTCGACGCTCCGACCGAATCTACGGCGGAGGATTCCTTCCATAAATGGTACAGAGATCGCCGGGCCTTGAAGCCATTTCTGAGGCTCATTTTTCTCAAAAGCGGAAACTTTACCAACCCCTTCTTGATTCTGGGTTTGGGTTCGGGAGAGGGAGAGGCGTTCTTTGAATTCTGGTTTTGTAATGCTGAAAACTGGGAAAGGGCCGCCAAGAAACGAAAAGAATAGAAGAGTTGGGTGACAAATTTGATTTCTTGAGACCTAGAAGTCTCTCTAATCGCGCGAATCGTAACGCCGGGTTTCCAGCAGTCATGGGAACACAATTCTCACGTGGCTATTCAACCCTTTTCGAGTTTTCGACCAAACAAGTTGTTTGCTTACCTAAAGGCTAAAGCTTACCCGCAAGACAAGAACTTTTGTTTGTGACACATGCGAACTTTCAGGAATGCTGTCCTCGTTTGTAACAATTGGTAATTTGTAAGTCAATTACTAATGGTTAAATTTGACTTGAAGTTATGTAAATGTAACATTAATTAAACTCTGTGTTGATTTTACAATTTAAAGCAGTCGAGAGCAAAAAATAAATGCAAGTAATAATAGAATTATAAAGTGTTTATTTATTTTATAATACCCAAAAGTCATCTCATATGATCTTTTTAAAGGATATTTATATGTGTCACCATAATTAAGACATTAAATTCTTATAATTAGGTTCTTATCAACATAAACAAGTAATCACCAAATGAAAATTGCATTTAATTATGTAAGTGTAAATCACTACCATTCTAATGATTCTAAACCAGTCATCAATTATCATTCATTGTCAAGACTAAGCACCGATTCAACTACTCTAATCTATCACCATATTATAAATTTTTTATGTATAATCAAAAGATTCAAACTTTATATACTTTAATATAGTTATATGATTTGAGATTCAAACTTTATATACTTTAATTATGATTTTACAATTAGATTTGGATAATGTCAATTCAAGTAAGTTGCAAGATAAACCGGATGACAACAATGAAATCTATTGATAATTCAAGGTGTTTATTCATTACACAAATATGACAATGCACGCATGCAAACAAACACAAGAAAGTCCAAACTAACTATTTTTGTTTTAATTATTTGTATTGAAGCACAAATAGTCAATACCCCATTGAAGTTTGAACTTGTGACTTCCATTTGAAAGAGCCACAGTTATATCGCTTGAACACGAGTTTTTTGCCAAACTAATTAACTAGTTTAGTTAAGGAACAATCTTGTAAGCTTTCATCTTATCAATCCATGAAATGAAGGCTTTCTCGGAGTTCCTAAATCCCAGGAAGCCATGTTCTTTGCTCTTGTTCATATTATCCAGGGGAGATTCCACACTAAACAGAAGATCCACAAACCACCAGTGACCAACATCCTCCAATTTCGTAGACAACAACCCGTTTTCCCTCACAATCTCGTCCCAAACAGGCCCTTTCTCCTTCATCATCACCTCCAGATTATTGCTCTCACTTCTCTCCTCAAATTCCACAACTCCCACCTCAAACTTATCTGCTAAAACTTTACAGAAATGCTTCCATTTGAACACATCTCCATTGCTGACGTTGAAAGCTTCATTCTTGGCGGATGGGTCCACCGCTGCCCAGATTTCTTGCTCTGCAATCAAATCCGCATCGGAGCAATTCGCGTATCCATCCCAAGCAGCTTTTAGCCCGGAGAATCTCAGAGGGATTCCCTCGTGCTTACAGATAGCGGCGTAGACGCAGAGAGTTCCGACGGCGTTCATCATGCTGTACGGAGAGAAGCCGTGGATTAATCCCGGCCGGTGGACCGACCATGTTAATCCCTCCTTCTTCTTTACCTCGTCAAACAGAATATCCTCAAGAGTGTAGTAAAAGTTGGGAGATTCTAATCTGGGCAAATCCTCGTGGTGGGGGGTGTCGTGGGCTACTTTTCCGAACACTTGAAACGCACCGAAATAGTGTTTCTTCCCCGTTTGCAGGCAGATATGCTTCAAATCTGGAGAATTTGGGATTACCGCATTCAACACATTCCTCAACATTTTCCCGTTGGCTTCACAGTTTTCCAGTTCCGTGGGTCGGTTTGCCCACGTCACGTAAAAAACATGCGTGACATCAGTCAGCACAGACAGCTTGGAATGGGCATCTTCCTCGTCGGAAATATCGCACTGGATATACTCCATTGGATGATCAGAGTTCCAGGCGGGTCTGGGGCGGCGGGCGACGCCGTAAACCTTCCATGGGCCGCCGGGTGTGTCGGCGAGAGGGAGGATCTCGGCGAGGCTGTTGCCGACAATCCCGGTGACGCCCACGATTAGAGCCACGCTCTGGTGCTTAAGTGGCGCATCAAGATCATCATCTTCTTCAAACCTTTTCTGGGAATTAAAAAAACATAATCATCATCAGATTCTAGTAATGTGTAAAGACAAACATGTATGTACAAGAAACATACCCTGGCAGCGCCAATAGCTCCAGCTCGCCACCAGCTCATCTTTGGGATGATTTGCAGGGAAAATATAATGGTGTCTTGTTCAGAGCAGAGAAATGGAAAGTTTCTGCAGGCTCATAAACAATCAATCGTGTGATGAGCAATATATATATATATATATATATATATATATATATATATATATATATATATATATATATATATATATATATATATATATATCGTGCACCAGGGCACAACGCATTGTGCATCCTGACTCAAAACGACCTGGTTTTTATAAGGTGGGGGAGTTGATGCTACGGGATACTGTTATGTCCGTCCAATTTAGTTACGGTTTTATTTTTTCTGTATTTATGTGTATTATGTTAAGAGTTTATGTGTATTATGTATTATGTTAGATACGAAATATGAAATATTTATGGTGTATAATGCATTGTGCGCCCTTATACATGATATATCGACTGAATAATAAATAACCCCCTGGACCGGTCCTATCATTTTATAAGCCCGGGGCAGGATAAAAAAAAAAAAATTGGCCCCAGTTAATATATATTTCATGTCTAAAATTTAAATTAAATAAGAAAAAAAATATTAATATCAATAACTTTAAATACTTTTATAAATACTTTTTCTTTTAAGTAGATAAAATTTAAACTTTTTTAGAATAATTTGAATACAATGACACACGATAGAACCTTCTATATTACATTGATAAGATATTCATAAAAAGGTAGGAGTAAATTGTCTTTTAATTTTTTTTATAATTCAATCTCAAAATATATCATATAACCCCCTCCGTCCTATTTTTACGTGTCATATTTGATTAACATGAGTTGATTAAAATTTTTTTTAATTCAATTTTTCATAATATCTTTAATATAAGTATATAAAAATTTATAAATTTAGAAACTGCATTAAAAATCTAATATAAAAATTTATATATTTAATACAAAAAATTTTCATTATATCTTAGTATAAATATATGAAAATTTATATATTTAAAAACTACATTAAAAATACTACTTCGTATTAAACAAAAAAAAAATCAATAAAAATAAATTTTTAAAATATACATTAGAATATAAGCAAAGAAGTAGAGTTGAGGAATTCTAAAATGTGAAGTGAAGGGTTGGATCACCGGCCTTTAATTAAATGAGGTTAAAATTCAAGCAACTTACCATCCAAGCTAATTCACCTTACTATAAAGCATATGTATATAAATTACTTATACTCAATACATATATACTACATATATAAGAGATAGGATGGGGCCCTCCCCCAAGCATGGGTGCTGCCTGCCCTTGCCCCAGGACCGACCCTGATAACTTCAATCACGTTAGTGGGATAGTTTGCATAATAATCATAAATTTTCAAGTTCTATTCTTTGTGAGAGGTGTATATGATTTTTTAAACTTGAATTAGTCAATTTTTTGTCCATCAAAATAAGCTTAGCTCAAAATATAGAACAATTGTGAACTTTTCAAGAAATTAAAATATATGTGGAAGAGGACCATACAAAGATGGTCCTACTTTAAATGAATATATGAAATTTGAGATCCACAAGCAACACTGTACTTGAAATGACAATTTGTGGCGAAGAAAGACTTGAGGGTCATTTGTCAACCCACGTACGTGTAAGCTAATATTTATATATCATACTGTTATGAAATTGCTAATAGAGATTTAACACTTGTAATAAGGCCAACTGTCCCAAAGGAAGTATACACTCCTAGAAAATTGAGAATATAATTATGACTTTTCACTACACCTTCTTAATTTAATAAATGAAGTATACGCATCTTAAGTTTTAACAACTACTCACATTAAGCACAAACTCATGCACCTTAAGCATAAGACTCACACACCTTAAATACAAAACTCATGTTTTAAGTTGCAATAAGTATACACACAAGTACTTAAGTACAAAACTCACACACATTACTCGTCGCACAACCACACGGGAAACATGCACCCGCACTAGAACTTAATTATATATATATATATATATATATATATATATATATATATATATATATATAGTGAAAGGTTCCCGTGCGGTTGTGCGGTTATTAATGTGCGTGAGATTTGTACTTAATGTGCTTGAGATTTGTACTCAATGTGCGTGAGTGTTGTGTCTAATGTGCCTGAGATTTGTGACTTATTATAATGTTATATTCACATGGTTTTCGCACCATCTTCAATGGCGACCAGTTCCCTCAACCGAGCCAGCAACTGTTCGAAATCGTCGTCCCTCTTGAGGAGGCTGAGCCGCACATAACGATCCTCGGCGCTGAATATGCTGCCTGCTCGTCCTATGATCTTCGCCGCTTCCAGGACTGCACTGCAATTTGTTTCTTCCTCCCATAAACACTTCACCCACGCATACGCTGCATGCAAGTTCATACACTCTGCGTTTATTCCTAGTTTCATCAATGGAAATCAAGAACAACACTTTGTATGTACCTGGAGAGGGTCATCGAATTTTCTCGAAAAAATTGCAGTACAGATTGATAATCCAGAATCCATGGACAATTCACGCACATTAAGCACAAATCTCACGCATATTAAGCACAATACTTAAGCACATTAAGTACAAAACTCACGCATATTAACATCACGCACATCAAGTACAAATCTCAGGCATATTAAGCAGAACACTCACGCACATTAAGTATAAACCTCACGCACATTAATCCACCGCACAATTGCACGGGAAGCAGCAAATGCACCTGATCCCTTCCCTATATATATATATATATATATATATATATATATATATATTTGGAATAGCATTCCAAATATTTTATTGTAGGTTAATTATAAACGCATCTTATTGCTAGCTACACAGCCCAATCTAAAAGTCTCAAGGAACAATCCTATGAGCTTTCACCTTATCAATCCATGAAACGAAGGCATTCTTGGAGTTCCTAAATCCCAGAAACCCATGTTCTTTGCTCTTGTTCATATTATCCAGGGGACATTCTGCACCCAAGACAGCATCCATAAACCACCATTGACCGACATCCTCCAATTTCGTAGGCAACAACCTGTTTTCCCTCACAATCTCCTCCCAAACCGGCCCTTTGTCTTCCATCATCACCTGCAGACTCGGCGTTTTCTCCTCAAATTCTGCAGCTTCCACTTCAAACTTCTGGGCTAACACCTTCCAGAAATGCTTCCACTTGAAGACATCTCCATTGCTGACGTTGAAAGCTTCATTCTTGGCGGATGGATCCACTGCTGCCCAGATTTCATGTTCTGCAATCAAATCTGCGTCGGAGCAATTGTAGTAGCCGTCCCAAGCAGCTTTAATCCCGGGGAATCTCAGAGGGATTCCCTCGTGCTTACAGATAGCGGCGTAGACGCAGAGAGTTCCGACGGCGTTCATCATGCTGTACGGAGAGAAGCCGTGGATTAATCCCGGCCGGTGGACCGACCACGTTAATCCCTCCTTCTTCTTTACCTCGTCAAAGAGAATATCTTCAAGATCGTAGTAAAAGTTGGGAGATTCCAATCTGGGCAAATCCTCGTGGTGGGGGGTGTCGTGGGCTACTTTTCCGTACACTTCAAACGCACCGAAATAGTGTTTCTTCCCCGTTTGCAGGCAGATATGCTTCAAATCTGGAGAATTTGGGATTACCGCATTCAACACATTCCTCCACATTTTCCCGTTGACTTCACAGTTTTCCAGTTCCGTGGGTCGGTTTGCCCAGGTCACGTAGAACACATGCGTCACATCCGTCAGCACAGACAGCTTGGAATGGGAATCTTCCTCGTCGGAAATATCGCACTGGATATACTGTATTGGATGATCAGAGTTCCAGGCGGGTCTGGGGCGGCGGGCGACGCCGTAAACCTTCCATGGGCCGCCGGGTGTGTCGGCGAGAGGGAGGATCTCGGCGAGGCTGTTGCCAACAATCCCGGTGACGCCCACGATTAGAGCCACGCTCTGGTGCTTCAGTGGCTCATCAACATCATCTTCTTCAAACCTTTTCTGGGAAAAAAAAAAAACAAAAACATAATCATCAGATTCTAGTATAGTGTAAATTAATGTACAAGAAACATACCCTGGCAGCGCCAATAGCACCAGCCCACCACCAGCTCATCTTTGGGATTATTTGCAGGGAAATTATAATGGTCTCTTGTTCAGAGAAATGGAAAGTTTCTCCAGGCTCATAAACAATCAATCGTGTTATGATGAGCAATATATATATCTACAATAATGGACAACCCCGATCAAGTTGGTGGGACAGATGACTTAATAACCTAAATGTTTCAAGTTCCAATTGGTGTGAGGTGTATGTGATTTTCTTAACTTGAACTAGTCACTTTTTTTTTATTGGTTAGAATCACAAATTTTGATTTAAACATTTATATTGAGATTCACATAAAAAAAATAACTTATCAAAGCCGGCAAGTAAAATTGAGGGTGTACATAACTACAGCTCTTTAAGAAATTTCAGATCAACAACCAACACTGTATGGAATTTGACAATTTGTGGCGAAGAAATTAAAGACTTGAGGCTCATTTGTGAACCAATGTGTAATGAAGTGATTGAGGGATGGAAGACTTGACCACAGGCTTTTTCCATCCACAAGATCAAGTGACGTATCACACAAGTGGAGTGCCAGCTGACTAAACAATAATCCCAACAACAAGCCCGCATGGTAGCTCAACTGGTTATAGAAGTGAAACTTTGGAATAATGACCAGGGATCGAATCTCACCAGTGACAGTGTGGGGGCAACCTCTCAAAGTGGGATTTAGCCTTTTGGAATGATAATCCCAACAACAAATAAGGGCATCCCCAATAATACATTTTAGATGGTTTTGGAATAGTGAAAATTTAAGAACAAGATTTTGAGCTAATGGAAAATCTAAATTTGAAGAAAAGAGGTCAGCCCAATTCACAGACCAGTGGGACCACCGTTGGGGTAACAAGATTTTTTTTAATCATGTAACATTTAATTTTCTTTTGTTGTTTTTAAGCTGGCTGTTGTAGGGGTGATTATGGTTCGGTTCGAACCGAACCGTGCACTGTTAAACCGGAATCGGAACCGAATTGTCCGTACGGTTCTGGTTCCGATTCCTAATCGGACTTCCGGACTTCCGGTTAAGGTTCGAGATGAAAAGGAATCGGAACCGGCGGTTCCGGTTCTAAATTGAAAAAAAAATATTAAAAATTATAGTGTTTTTTAAATATAATAATAATAAAAATAAATAAATAAATAAATAAATATTTTATTTGATTTCTTTATGGTTTGTTTTCAAAAGTTATATATTATGTGTTATGGTGTTTACATAGTCCAAATCCAAAGTCTAATATATAACAAAATAACAATTCAAAGTTCATACGGTATTTGGTTCGGTTCGAGTTTTTACTGAGCCGTTCGGTATACAAGAATTTATTTCTGTTCGGTTTGGTATATTATCGAATATAACTAGTTTGGTATGATTCGGTTCGACAAAACTGAACCGAATTGTCCGCCCTTAAAGTTAATTATCAAAATGGTCCCTTAACTATAGTAAAATTACCAATTTGGTTCCAAGTTAATGGTTGACTAACGGTCAAACAAACAGAGAACCAAATTAGTTAAGATTTTAAAAGTTGATGGACTTAATTGGTCAAAAAAATAATTAAATACCAAATTGTTAATTTCACTATAGTCGATAGATCATTTCGTTAATTCACTCTATTTTTTTTTTTTTATAATTAAAGATTCAAATTCTTTTTATCAATAGCTCATTGACATTAATTTTGATTCATGTATTTAGAATTTAGAACTTATAAGCCAAACAAAGAGCTTCCAAAATCATTACAGACAGAAAAAGGTTATATTTTTAACACAAACGTACACTAAAAACAAGGATGGAATAGATCGAAGCACAAAATTTGACTAAAATAATTTAAGGAACAATCTTATGAGCTTTCATCTCATCAATCCATGAAATGAAGGCTTTGTGGGTGTTCCTAAACCCCAGAAACCCATGTTCTTTGCTCTTGTTCATACTGTCTAGAGGATAACATATACCTAAGATAACATCTGCAAACCACCACACTCCAACATCCTCCAATTTCGTAGGTTGCAGGTTGTTTTTCTCCACAATCTCATCCCAAACAGGCCCTTTCTCCTTCATCATCTCCTGCAGAGTAAGCCTCTCCCCCTCCTCTTCGAATTCCCCAGCTTCCACCTCAAACTGCTCCGCCAAGATCTTCCACAAATGCTTCCATTTGAAGACGTCGCCATTGCTGACGTTGAAAGCTTCGTTCTTGGCGTATGGGTCCACCGCCGCCCAGATCTCTTGCTCCGCAATCAAATCCGCATCGGAGCAAATGGAGTACCCATCCCAGGAATCTTTAATCCCTGGGAATCTCAGCGGGGCGCCTTCGTGCTTGCAGATAGCGGCGTAGTCGCAGAGGGTTCCCACGATGTTCATCATGCTGTACGGAGAGAAGCCGTGGATGGTTCCCGGCCGGTGAACCGACCACGTTAATGTTAATCCCTCCTCCTTCTTCTTCTTAACCTCGTCGAACAGGAGATCCTCGAGAACGTAGTAAAAGTTGGGGGCGTCGAGTCGCGGCAAATCCTCGTGATGCGGCGGGTCGTGGGAGAGTTTTCCGGACAGTTCGAAGGGGCCCCAGTAGTGTTTTTGGCCGGTTTGCAGGCAGATATGCTTCAGATCTGGAGAGTTTGGGACGACGGCGTTTAGGACGTTCCCCAACATTTTCCGGTTGACTTCACAGTTTTCCAGCTCCGTGGGTCGGTGGGCCCATGTCACGTAGAAGACATGCGTGACATCTGTCAGCACAGACAGCTTGGATTGGGCGTCTTCCTCGGCGGAAATATCGCACTGGATATACTGGATAGGGTGGTCGGCGTTCCAGGCGGGTCTTGGTCGGCGAGCGACGCCGTAAACCTTCCATGGGCCGCCGGGCGTGTCAGCCAGAGGGAGGATCTCGGCGAGGCTGTTGCCGACTATGCCGGTAACGCCGAGGATTAGAGCCACGCTCTGGTGTTTGGGTGGCGCGTCATCTTCTTCTCCAAACCTTTTCTGCACATACAGATCATATTTAACCTCCAATATCATCACCAGAATCTATCTAGTCTAGCCCGGATAAGAACATGAAAATTAAACAAGAAAGAAACTTGCCTTGGCAGCACCAATGGCGCCGGCCCACCACCAGCTCATCGTCGGAATCTCTACGCAGATCACTTAAAGTGGAAACGTGTGGCAGATTTATTTGTTATATGTCACATTTGTTCGCTGGATATATGCTCCCTAAATCTTATTTTAATGCGGATGGTTGGACTAACTGCACCCTAAATCTTATTTTATTGGGTGGGGTGTTTAGGTTTTTTTTTTTTTTTTTTTTTTTTTTTTTTTTTTTTTTTTAGTTTGATCTTAAATCCCACTTTAAACTCCCAACTTGTACTCCCTCTCACATGTTCTTGATGTAGACATTTTTCTGTGGACCCACATGATAAAAATAACCAATCCTGGATTACCACCTCAAGGAGTATAAATGAGGGAGTAGAATTTTGGGAGTCTATGTAGTAGAACTCTAAAATTATAGGTCGGTTCGAATTGAAAAAGTTCAGTTATCATCTTCTTCGACACTTAAGCAATCACAAATAAAAAATCAAAAATCAAAATTTCCAGATTCAAAGATAGGAAAATCAAAGGCGTAAATCGGAGGAAGAAGAGTACCGTTCGTCGGAATTGATCCAGTAATCGAAACCGTTTGTCAGAATCCTCCGTTCGTGGTTCGTCGCTTGGGGCATACGAGGCTTGTCTGGCGACGATCTTGGCCAAATAGTTACTTTTATAACCGTTCAAATTCGACTCTATGTGAAAGCTATTTATAATATTTTTTATTTAAACTGCCAACGATTTAAGTTGATTTATCTTCTCTTGTTCGTTTATCAACTAAGACCTACAAAAAAATAAATTTTATGCTCACACGGGTTTAGCTCAATAGTTCAGTATGTCGTATTTGGGAGAAGAGCTTAAAGTAGGTAGATTCCTTATGCGAATCGACATTTTCTTCTGAGTCATTGAGTTACCGTAATTTACATTATTTCAAATGCTCTGTCTAGTCGAGTTATAGAGAGCCATTGAGGTTGGAGACTCAACATTTTGGAAAAAAATAAAAAACTTTAATTTCTCTAAAATGTACGATGAGTCCAGTTGTAGGTGGCTTCCCAATAATAAATTAAAATACATGTCAAATATGACCATATATACAAAGATGGTAATACTTTAGTTGGAATATATAATAAATTTAAGTTCCACAAGCAGCTACAATACTGTATGAAATTTGACGTACAATTTGTGGCGAAGACAGACATGAGTCGTGACTCGTGAGGGTCATTCCTCAACCCACTTGAATGGATAATGTCGAGATTTTTCTACTTTTGGTATCACCCAAATATTAAATTATTTTCATATTTGATCTTCAATTATTAATGTTTCACATTTAGTTTCATGATTATTGCTTCATTTTCATATTTGGTCCCACTACTTTTAAAACCTTGTCACATTATATTTAGTCATTCAACTTAATTTTCAGTCATTGGCAACTAAATTTGTTTCCTTATGTTATTAAACATGAGTTCATAATAATCAAGTGATTAACTTATCTTGAAAAACAAAGTTATCATTTCTTAGTGTGAGCACATAGCCATTAATGTGCAATCCAACTATCAATCTAGGCTTTTAGTTGAGATGGAGCACATGCTTCAATTTGGTATCAGAGCCAGACCAAAGGTCATGTGTTCGAATCTTAGCGCCACTCATAAGCGACTATGATTTACTGGTCCACGTGTTGCTTGGAACCCACCAAAGATCATGTGTTCGAATCTTAGCGCCACTTATAAGACGGACGGACTATAGTTCGTGTTGCTTGGAACCCACCAAAGAATCTTAGCGCCACTTATAAGCGACTATAGTCCGTGTTGCTTGGAACCCACCAAAGATCATGTGTTCGAATCTTAGCGCCACTTATAAGCGACTGGTCCACGTGTTGCTTGGAACCCACCTCACACGTGCTGGGGCGTGTGAGCACACCGGTCCACGTATTGCTTGGAACCCACCGCACACGTGAAGGGGCGCAATCTAACTATCAGTCTAGACTTTTAGTTTAACTATCAGTCTAGACTTTTAGTTGAGATGGAACACATGCTTCAATTCTTAGAAAATTTCTTAAGGAACAATCTTGTGAGCCTTCATCTTATCAATCCATGAAATGAAGGCTTTGTGGGTGTTCCTAAATCCCAGAAACCCATGCTATTTGCTCTTGTTGTTCATAGTATCCAGGGGATAACTTACACCCAAGGCCAAATCTGAAAACCACCATAATCCAACATCCTCCAATCTCGTAGGTCGCAGGTTATTTTTCTTCACAATCTCATCCCAAACAGGCCCTTTCTCCTTCATCGTCTCCTGCAGAGTAAGCCTCTCCCCCTCCTCAAATTAACATTTCACAATATAAGATACATAATTAGACACATAATTTATATTTTTAAGATATATAATTTCATAACATAAGACACATAAAAACACTCGCAACATAAAACACATATAAGTTCATGGACAAACACAAAAGGTTCAACCTTTATATATTTGAGATATGGTTTTTACTATTCACCAGCATTTGACCCTATCTACTGAACCATTGAGTCACCGTGATTTACATCTTCTCACATGCTCTGTCCGATTGGAATGTGAACCCTCTGTTGGATCGGTGTGTGGGGCCTTTAGGGTTGGCGATTCAACTTTTTTGGAACAAGAGATATGGCTTTTACCACAAGAGTACAACTAGATATATAAGACTCCATTCATGTATTATTCCCATTTCTTCAAATACATTACAGAGATAAAGATGACATTTTTAACACTAACATGGCACACAGCCCCACACACACACAAAACTAAGGAACAATCTTATAAGTTTTCACCTTATCAATCCATGAAACGAAGGCTTTCTTGGAGTTCCTAAATCCCAGAAACCCATGTTCTTTGCTCTTGTTCATAGTATCCAAAGGACAACCTCCACCCAAGATAAGATCCACAAACCACCAAACTCCAACATCCTCCAATTTTGTAGGTTGCAGGTTGTTTTTCTTGACAATCTCATCCCAAACAGGCCCTTTCTCTTTCATAATCTCCTGCAGAGTAACCCTCTCCCCCTCTTCGAATTCCCCAGGGGCTTCCACCTCAAACTGCTCCGCCAAGATCTTCCAGAAATGCTTCCATTTGAAGACGTCGCCATTGCTGACGTTGAAAGCTTCGTTCTTGGCGTATGGGTCCACCGCTGCCCAGATCTCGTGCTCTGCGATCAGATCTGCATCGGAGCAATCCGAGTATTCATCCCACGCAGCTTTAACGCCTGGGAATCTCAGCGGGGCTCCTTCGTGCTTGCAGATAGCGGCGTAGACGCAGAGGGTTCCGACGATGTTCATCATGCTGTACGGAGAGAAGCCGTGGATGGTCCCCGGCCGGTGTACGGACCACGTTAATCCCTCCTTCTTCTCCGCCTCCTCGAACAGAATATCCTCAAGAGTGTAGTAGAAGTTGGGCGCGTCTAATCTGGGCAAATCCTCGTGATATGGCGGATCGTGGGCGACTTTTCCGTACAATTCGAACGGGCCCAGATAGTGTTTCCGGCCGGTTTGCAGGCAGATGTGCTTCAAATCCGGGCAATTGGGGACGACGGCGTTTAGGACGTTCCTGAACATTTTCCCGTTGGCTTCACAGTTTTCCAGCTCCGATGATCGGTTCGCCCAGGTGACGTAGAAGACGTGCGTGATATCGGTGAGGACGGAGAGCTTGGAATGGGCATCTTTCGCGTCGGAAATATCGCACTGGACATACTCGATTGGGTGGTCGGCGTTCCAGGCCGGCCTTGCGCGACGGCCGACGCCGTAAACCTTCCACGGGCCGCCGGGGGTGTCAGCGAGAGGGAGGATCTCGGCGAGGCTGTTGCCGACAATCCCGGTGACGCCGACGATTAGAGCCACGCTCTGGTTCTTGGGAGGTGCATCGTCTTCTCCCAACCTTTTCTGCAGAAATTATAATCAAAACTTACAATTAAGAACTTGGGAACGGAATATGATAAAATTCCCATCAGAATCTGAACAAAAAAAATTGAAACTTGCCCGTGCAGCTCCAATAGCTCCGGCCCACCACCAGCTCATCTCTGGAACTTCTTCTCTTGTGGAAATGGATTCAAAAGAGTTGGATTTGTCAGGTTAAAGAGTTCTGAATCAAGTTTATAGAACTTCGAGAACACAATCTAGACCAAAATGTAGAATCTTCAAGTGTGAAAAGAGCTCAACACAAACACTAAATGGTCATGACAGTCGGCAAATGTGGCATGTAGAATGTCATTGTCATCCACCCAAAAACTATGACTACATGGTCATGTATCAGCCACAGATTGGATTGCTAGGGGTTGAAATTAGTTAGTACAAGTAATCCATTTTTTAGAGTTGATTAATGATCAATTTACAGTAAAAAACAAACATGATTACATGTTTAAAATAAGATTCTGCAAGTTACTGGAGACCTTATGGTCAAGCGGTATAACTGTTACTCTCTTAAATGGGAGGTTATAAGGTTGAATCCCAATAGGGGTATTGACTCTTTATGCTTCAGTAGGTTGAGAAAATATGTATGGACAGATACTACATTATAACAGAAAGTGGAATTCACGGCAGCTCTCAGATCTAGTTCAGGAAACATGGGGAAATACCCAGAGCCCAACATGGCAACATAATACAATCCTTGCCATTACATGTGTTGTTAACAACTGGCATAGAGAATTTTGCAAGCTCAAAATGAAGACCTAAAAGCAAAACTATGTTGGCACCCTAGATTCCTAATAACATGTTTCTGGATGATCCATCAACTCCATTCCTCCTGAAGCACAATACTTAAAGAAAGTGGGGAGTTATCAATCCGGCAATCTCGAGGAACCCAACTTGATCCCTTCCTCCAAAAATTTTCTTCAGCTCATCATCACAGACAATCACCTTCTTGTCTGCAGGATCCTGCAATTGTAAGAAACCAAGTAACTGGTCTGTGTATGCTGTAGCTCAGAGTCACAAAAAAAGGCTCATGCTTTTCGGCAACAACACTATATTTCTTCAAAGATGTTATCCACATGAACATAGATTAATGAAGTAATGAAATTAATAAACTGTGCATGCCTCATCCTGCATTTCAAGAAAGAACTAAAGTGAGGCAGCCCAGCTCCTAAACTTGGTAACCCCAAGATTACAAGTTTAAACTCCCAATGAGAACGGCCTATTAGCTTTCTTAGTTTGACCCAGTCAATTATAAACAATCTAAGCTGGTTTACCTCTTTGTAGTTACCTTTCTTAGTTTGAGCCCGACAACTATAGACAATTTAAGTTGGTTTACCCCTTGTGATTTTTTGTCAACTAGGGTAACTTATATACACCTCGAGTAGTGGTGGAAGCTAATTTAGGCTAAACAACTTAGAACAAAAGAATAAAAAATGACATTTTGTATACCAAAATCATCAAACTAGCAAAGGTCTCATGGCTTTCTTCCTACATTAATACCATCTCCAGAGAATATATCATTCCAAAAGCCCAGGGAAACAAGATGGTGCCATTATAGATATTCCACAAGAATGAAACAAGTTTACAGATATTGCCAACTGAAGTAAGAAAAGCTTCAGCTTAATCTAAATCAAACTAGGACAACATGAATATGCATATGCATTCCAAATATACCCAAGGTAAATTTTCAAATTTTGAATTTTTAGTTCCAAATATTTAATTTTAAGTGTAAAAACTAAATATTTCACTTTTTATGCACAATTTTTTGTAAAAAAGCACACACACACACAAACACACATAGCCCAATTTCTTCAATTTTTCAAGCAATAGATTCAAGCCAAAATGCTTGGTGCCCTAATATCGAGGAGGGAGAATCGCATATGTACCTGAAGATTATTTTGTTTAATGTGAGCCCAAATCTGCTTGACAACTTCAGTGCGAGGGATCTCAGCAACGCCGCCGAGGAACGCCTGCATTTCTGGGGAGACACGGCGTGGCTTCATGATACCTCGGGTAGGGCTCTTCTTCGTCTCCGATGCCGGATTCGAAGAAACTGCGAAGCTCACTGTACGCGCAGGCTGCAGGTTAGCAAAAGGAGGAGCAGCAAGCCTAACAGAAGACGGCGACCCCGACGGCTTCAACAACGTCGCCGTTTCTCCGGTAACAAAGCCGGAAAACATCCCCAAAGACAGAGCCATTATGCCGGAACTTTGGATTGGATAATGTTACTAGAAACTTCGGGAAATTTAAAGCCTTTGAAAATTATCTGAAACGCCGTGGAAAATTGTGAGACGGAGAGAGAAAGAGATAGAGTTTCAGAGGAGAAGATGTGTTCGGCCTACTTTTGGGCCGACCCAAAATTATGGGCCCATACCCCAAGCTTATTAATAAAGCCTTTCTTGCAGGCCCGATTCTTATGGACTTAAAATCACTCATTTTGGGCCGATCCAAGATGCAAACAATCGTTATGCCATGGAACCGTGTTTGGTGAACACGGTTCCAACGGTGTTAGTACACTGTTATCTTTTTTTTTCTTAATTAATTGCGTGACTTTTCTTCTACATTTTCACATTTCGCGGTTTCACTTTAATTTGAGGTGAGCAATGATTTCGGACATTCATAAATTATGAATTCATGCCTGCACATTCACTTTGGAACCATGCCTACACATTCCCGTCTGAAATCACGGACATTCATAAATTATGAATCCATGCCTGCACATTCACTTTGGAACCATGCCTACACATTCACTTTGGAACCATGAGATTATGAATTTTCTGTTATGAGATTATGAATTTTCAGTTATGAGATTATGAATTTTCTGTTATGAGATTATGAATTTTCTGTTATGACTTATGAGATTATGAATCTTCATTACATTCATAATCTCATTCTCATAACAGAAAATTCATAATCTCATAACAGAAAATTCATAATTTAATAAATATTTTACTTTTATGCGATTATGAATTTTCTGTTATGAGATTATGAATTTTCATTACATTCATAATCTTATAACAGAAAATTCATAATTTAATCAAACGCGCGCCGTTAACTCCACATCCACGATTTTTTTTTTTTTTTGCGTAAAAATGACGTCGTTTAGACTTGTGTTCACCATTCACAGTGAACACGTTTCCAGGGCATAATTTGCGAGATGCAAATCTTATTGCAAACAAACTACATGTTACCTTTCACATTTCTAAATTTGGCCCAACATGGCCCAAATTGTCCTTTCACTAATTTTCAACAAAACAATGGACAAATAACCTATATAACGGAATATTGTGTATCGGATTAGCCCAATAAGCTAAACCACAATCGTTAGGATACGGTTCCATGTTCATAATTACTGAACTAAACGTTTATGGGAGAAAAAAAAAAACGTTTCCGACAATTAAAAAGAAGAAGAAGATTACAACGGTTAAAAATTCATAATGCACTTCAAGTCTTCTTCTTTTCTTCTCTCATGTAAAAATATGGTGGTTTTTGTAGGAGCGGAAGAAAAATTTTACTAAAAATTAAGTTCCCCATCAATTCAAAATTAATTTTGCTCAATTCTTTACTGTTCTAAAAACAAAAACAAAAAAGATAAAAATAAAGAATGTACTGATAGCCTTACTCTTAAATACGAGCATAAACTGTCATCACATCACAACTAGTACGAGAGTTTTCCTTGCCACCAAAAAAACAAAAAATACTTTGGGTTAAAGTAAAAAAAATGAATGCTTAAAAGGTAAAACAGAATAACAAATAAAAGGAAACAAGGTAAATAATAATGAGAAAATGACAGGGCAACGAGAAGAGGATGACTGTGACAGGCAATATCATTTTAAGTCGTTAGTATGCATTATATTAGCGAAATTCTTTTTTCTTATCTTTTTTTTTTAAAATTTTTTTAATAAAGTTAAACTACATATATAAAGGTTTTTTTTTTGCCAAAACATGTATAAAATTGTATAGTAAAATTTAAAGATATTTCAGTAATGTCAATCAGTAACTGTATCAATAATACTAGTTATAGTTATGTCTAATGTACATAATACACACGATTAATTAATTTTGTTTGCATATAAAAGTAACATTTATATATTTATTTTTAAATAATTGTATTTTGATTGTTATTTTTTTTTATTAGGGGTATATTAAAGTGTCATTATCTTGCATTGATTGTCAACAATATTGTGGTTATAACTTATAACATCAAAATTGAAATTGTTGGTGATTAATATGTTTCATGAATGCTTGATTTAAGGATGAAATGACAATCTTTCATCTAGATTAGCTGGTTTTCTAAATAATTACACCTAGATCCTCAAGTTCAAGTACAGATAACACTTGGATCCTTTAAGGCTTTGTATTATTATCAGTATATACTTTAAAATTATACCAATGGCATAAAATGACACATATGATCCGTTGATAACATGATTCTTATATTATAAGATCACAAATTTAATTTTTGTCAACACCTTCTCGATCAAGTCGAATAATCGCACATGATCTTTCTAGTGCAGTTTACTTTTTCTGTGTAGTTTGTGAGTTATTACACAAAAGCGAAGTTTACAAATACACTATCTCAGATAATGACAATGAGTTTCCCTCGTCACTAAAAAAGAAAAACAATAAGTATAAACTTCTAAAAATACTATATGGGTGGCATTTCCTATATTTTGATAAATATGGGGTTTAATTAAATACAAATTAAGGCATATGCAACAACCATAATTAGGATTTGTGTAAAAGGTGATGTGTGTAATCTAAGTACTTAATTAGATTGTCTGTTGCTTAGGAGTATCATAATGGAAGTAGATTAAAAAGGTGAATTGCTTTGCAAGCAATGCCCTTTCCTTTCCCATTATCTTTCCTTTCATTAAAATCAATGTCAACCTATCACTTATTTTTCTTTATTACACCCTGTTATTATTATTACTATTATTATTATTATTTATTTCAATAGGCCCACTACTCATTACAAGGGCTAGGACTAAATATTTGTTATAACAAACAAATTAACTGTGACTAATCAACCGATTAAATTGAGAGAGTATTAATAAGAATTAAACTTGTGACATTCTAATAAAGAAATCATGTCTCATTCACTTAGTCACCTATTTTGAGACAACCCTACATGCATTGCCAATACTAAACGGTGTATAGTAGAAGCTATTCACTATTTTAAATATTGTATATTATGGATACCCCTAGTAGGATATCCAGTCAGGTGTGCCTCTAGGCGATCAAGTGAATATGACTAAAACACTTAGAAGTATAAAGAGAAAGGACCCTAGCGGCTTAGGGCTCGTCTGCCCCTAGTTCAACTCATCAGTTGGCCTGGCCGAGCGATTGTGTTAGGCAGTCGGAGAGTGTCCCGACTGGGTGCTGAGCTCAGTGGCAATGGTTGAAGATTTAATAGAATTGAAATTATTTTCATTAAAAGCGCGGGATCTTCCTTTTTTTCATATTAGGAAGATACTTTGATCCCGCACCTATATATTTTATATAAATACTCTCTTAGGGTCACAGTGCAAAGGATTCCGAATTCAATACAACCACCATTGTTTTAATAATTTTACGATAGTATTGACGACTTGAGCTGTCGTCGACAGCCGTAAAACCAACAATATACATTCTTGAATTGGTAGTCTTGGACATGGCTTAGCACTAGTTGGATGAGCCTCATGTTGGAAAAATTAGCTTAAAATGGCATAAAATGGCATATTAAGTAGCTATTTTGTGGTACAATTATCAGTGGGGTCCACTACCGATTTGGGTCGGGTCAAAGTGGATTCAGATTCTTCGTAGTAAGACGAAGAGATTGATATATTGTACGCTCAAAACGGATAATGGGTGAATGAGATATTGATTCTCAAAGTAGACCCATTTAAGTTGGGAAATGAAGGGAAAATGTAGGACTTTATCCCACATTGGTTTGAAAACAAGATTTGCCCCCCTTATATACATGAGCTCTTTTCAAGCTTGTATAGCATAGAGGCTCTCTCGCGGAAATCAAAATCCAATTAGGGGAGATCGAAAAGGCTTGATTCAAGCCCGAGCTCGCCTGTGCGGGCACGAATGTCGTTCGGAAATGGGCTAACCTTGCGGGCATAAGTTATGCCTAACTTCAGTATCATTGCTCTCGTGCTACAAAACGGGCTAAGTTATGCCTAACTTCGGTATCATTGCTCTCGTGCTACAAAACCCGAAAGTTCAGCCTGTTGTACAGATTAAACTCATCTGTTACGGAATTAATACTGTTACAGGTGTTATACAATTGGTTTAATACCAATTAAAGGCCATGTTTAATACCAAGGTTTAATACCAATTAAAGGCCATGTTTAATACCAATTAAAGGCCATGTTGAATGCTATCCCTTCCAACATCCCTATATATAAAGAGAGGTAGAGCAGTAGCTTTTTTACACAGTGAGAAACGAAGGAATTCCAGTACAGTTTTCAGTCTCAAAACTCTGCTTCTACTCTCTTCTTTAGCCAATATGTGTTCCAGCTTTGCTTTGTTTGCCGGGTTCCTTGTTTAGGTGCATAAACAAGGAATCGTAGCACGTTTTATCCTGAGAAACCTAGGCTACAACGCTCCTAGCACTTGTGGAAGGTAGCAAATAAGGTTTTAAGGAAAAGAACTTCATGTTCGAACTCGTGCTAAACCTTTACCCAAACACTCAACTTTTTCCTTCCCAGTTTTTCTGTTTTCCATATAATATTAATCTTTTCGTAGGATTATTATTTTTGGGAATTTTCAACCATATTACCCAGCACCTCATAATGAAATCTAATCTTCTTCTTCTTCTTCTTCTTTTTTTTTTTTTTTTTTTTTTTGTGACAACGATTTTTGTAATAGTATTATTAATTACATAATGTGCATGATTAAGTAGAAAATGAAAGAAATAGTGGAAAGAGACTAATTAACCAACATCATTAAACTGAACAAATTAATAGATCGGAGATGAGATGAAGACCCCGGACAGGTGGCGGTGGCGCCCGCCATCTCCACCAACCTGCAATCAGGCGCCAACGGAAAATGTCTCAAAAGTTTGTTTGGTAGTCAGTGTTAATAACTCTGTGAAATCGTAAGAAATACTCTATCCATCATCCCATCACCATTCGCCACCTTTATGGTACATTATTCTTTCTCATTTCCTAGATCTCAAATAGTTCATCCAAACAAGGCCCTATATATTCTCTCCGTTGTCGCATTGTTTCATCACAACTAGCTCGATCTCTCTTCTCTTCTTTCCTTTTCTCTCGGAGAGAGTTTTCGAGAAAGATAAGAAAGTTAGAGCCGTTGGATTGATTACATTGTGATGATGGATTTGAAATGCGCTGCCGTGGTGGCATTTGTGTGCTTGATCGTGGCCGGAGTTGTTGGCCAAGCGCCGCCTGCTCCTCCCACGTCAACTCCTGCGCCGCCGACACCTACCACCCCGAATAATCAGGCGCCGCCGACTCCTACCACCCCGAATAATCAGGCGCCGCCAACTCCTGCCACCCCTAACACTCCGGCGCCACCAACTCCCACCGCGACTCCGGCTCCTCCCACTCCCACCGCCACACCGGCGCCGCCAACACCCACTTCTTCTCCTCCTCCTAACACCACACCACCCACGCCGCCAGCTCAAGCGCCGCCGACTTCCTCTCCGCCTCCCGTCGTAACATCACCTCCAGCTTCACCGCCGCCAACTCCACCGGCATCTCCCCCACCAGTCACCACACCGCCTGCCAGCCCTCCGCCGTCAAGTCCTCCTCCAACCCCCGCTAGCCCCCCGCCGTCTCCCCTATCTCCACCGCCGCCAACTCCTTCCCCTCCACCTCCGGCAGCTCCTACACCTTCCCCTCTCGCATCTCCGGCTCCGGCTCCCAGCCTTAAGAAGCCCAAGAAGAGTCCGGCACCGTCGCCTTCCACATTCAGTTCCCCATTACCCCCGTCCGGAGCTCCGGCCCCGAGCCTTGGATCTCTCTCTCCTGCTCCATCGGCCACCGATCAGGTATCTTCATTATCCGCTTTGTTTTAGCTATGGCGTACGTTCATGAATCTCACGCAACTAATTAACTACTTACGGCTTCATTTCATTTGCAGAGTGGAGCAGAGAGCATTAGGACGGTGATGAAGATGGCGGCGAGCATGGTGGCGGCGTTTGGCGCCATGAATTTGCTGCTACTTTAGATATATTATGTGCGGATGGAGTTGCCATCAGGCCGGCCTATCTTACATCTATTTGATCTGCATTTTATATGCATTTATTTACTTTGATTCTTTGAGATTATTGGAGCTTTTTGTATTGAGCTGTTTGCTTTCGAATTCATAATTTCATTCGGATAATCGACTCCATCTATTTTTAGTTGTTTTCCATTTATATGAATATATCCATGCATCCTTGCTTTATGTTTTTAAGACATCTGTCTATATTTTTGTTCCGAAAACGTTGAATCTCCAACCTCAATGGTTTTCCAAAGTCTCGACCTGAAAGAGCATCTAGGAGTCTGCAATTGTAGAGACTTATCCAGAATCATTGTTTCCAAACTTCAACAAACCGAATTGTCCATGCAGGCCAAAACATCTATATCTTATAATAGTTGGACACATCCTATGACAATAGACCGTACCTCATACCACAATAGAGCTATCAAAACAGGTAAACCAATCCATACATACCTAATTAGCCAAAAAAATAATCAAACAGGGTTGATCCATTTTAAAATCAAGTTCCATTTGCTACTCTAAATCCTAACTTGTCAACCCTCTTTTAATTGCGCAATAAATTAAAAAGCTCAGGCTAATATTTGCATAAATCATAATTTGAATTTCCAACCTCAAAATTAACAATAAAAGTTTGTTTTTCAATTAAACTGGTTCAACATTTTGAGATTATATATATATAGGTCAAATCAAAATCGACTAGGGTTTTCTAGACTTACCAAACAGTTGGCAAACCGATCTAAAATGATGAATTGACCCATTTTGACATCTTTATTATACTCCGTAATAAAAGTGTTTTTTTTTTTTTTTCCTTTTCTAACAAATTAACTTTTTTTTTTCTAGCTGATCAATAACAAATTAACATGCATTTACAATAAAGTTATCATTAAAGCTAACAGCGCCAAAGTCATCAATCTAATCAACAAGAATGATGAGTATGGTGGTCCGAAAAGAAATTTAGTTGAAACATGCATAGCTACCAAGACATGGAACTGGGAAGTCAAGTTCAGGCATATCTCAAGGGAACAAAATAGATTAGCAAATTAAATATCTAGCATGACCTCTGATAATGATAAAGAAGAACACATTTACAAGCAAGCTACCATGAACAGGCAAAGGTGGGGCCCCCACACTCCGACTGATAGAATGTAACTCCCATATTACTGTTGGTGAGACTCAATCCTTGGTCATTCTTTTAAAATTTTACCTCTGTGACCAATTGAGCAGTTTCACCTCTATGACTAATTGAGTTGTCCATGCGGGTAAGACAACCCAAATGATGTGATGTCCGGTAAGACAATGAAATTTGTCGTGGCCAGCCTCAAATGATCACAACCAAGATGGCACTATGGAAGCATGGCCCATCAAATGATTAAATGGGCCATGATTGAAGTCTTTAATTGACAGCCCATTTAATTCTTAGTAAGATGTGGCCCGGTTGTTATGGGCCCTCATCTCTTTCACATCCAACATACCTCACTATCCTAGTCCTCAGAATGTCTCTCTTACTTGGTCTCTGCATGTTCTATTGACGATTGTTGTTAAAAATGAATTCTTAATGACATTAATATATGGAATTACGTATTACTAGTAATAGTTTAAGAATGTCTTAGTGTTAAGGTTATAATATTCCTCATATTCGGGTGATCCAATGGGTTTGTGTACCATCCATTCTTTTGTTGCTCACGACTAAAGTTTCTATCCAATGGGTATAAAAATCAGTGGCTCTAACATTTGTTGCCTAGGAAAGGTCCAAAGCGGTCAAAGATTGTAGGGAGGAGAAACACATAGCCATAGTAGGCCTATACCCACAATACCAGCAAATTATTCTGTGGACCCAGTTCTTCGAGTCCAAAAATACACAATTTATATATTAAATGTTCACAATTCAAATTATGAAAATTCAGTAGGTAAATTGAAAAAATTATGTTTAAAAAAAATTTTAAAAATGTGTATTTTGATCCTGGTCCACCTTGCACGGTGGACCTGGTCCATGGCATAACTATTGCACAATACCAAACCACATCATCTCATTGCATTGGTTATAGCTAAAATACAAATTGTTTTCTATATATAAACACTAATAGCATTTTTCATTTTAAGGATTCTCCTTTTGGGAGGGGAGGGAACTTTTCCTTCGATTTCTTTCTTAGCGAGATCTTAAGGAGAATAACGATCTTTCTCGATAGTAGTGAGATTGTCAAATTCTATAATTATTGTATACTTGTAAACATTATCATATTCATAACTTATGAAAATAATACTCATAGACATTCACATTTCACACCCTTATAATTAAAATGATTGGATTACAAGTATTTCAAAAAACAAAACATAATTCACTTGTCCAATCAAAAAAGGTTGTCAAGCAATAATATTTCCACAAAAAGTACTTCATTGGTTTTTCTACTAATAGCAAGCTAAGGGCTTTAATTAGGTAACCTTATCCCTAAGCAACTAAACCTAATGACTAAAAGCAAGTATAAAGAATTGATATATATACACTAAAAAATATGACGCGACATTATATTATCAAAAATAAAATAGCGGGACAACTCCAACTAAATTGGTCTAATTATTGACCTAATAATCACAATGTTACAAATTTGACTCCTAACAGAAACAAATGCAAGTTTCTCTCGACCGCCCCTATTTACCAACTTTATCTAATGCACATCCTCCCTACTCTCTTGATTGCAGATCTCTTTCGTCACCCGTTAAAATTAGTAAACAAAATGGGTATGGGCTCATGTTTCACCCAACCTAACGAAAATGGCAAACCCAATGTGCAATTGCACGTGGAAAGGACACATGAGCTTGGTGGGGATGGGATAATCTTTTCTGCAATTGATGCAATGCTCTCTAATAATGGGAGGTGAGTAAATGCATGGGGCTTGAAAGAAATTAAAGGACCATGAATTTAAACCTAGACGACCATGGGGTATGGTCTAGAATCTCCTCTCACTGTACTCCTTCTTAGCCTCCATTGCACAAATTTTTTTCTTTTTAGGTGTACCCAAAATTTCCAAACACGATTATTAATTCTCTCGCTGAATTGTAAGCATATTTTTGAAGTGAGACAGTTAGTCTGAAAATTTAAAACTGTACCATACTCGGTCAATGATCAAATTCTTGACTTTTAGTTAAGAATAGATGATTCCCTTCGACTCAACTATGCCCCAGGTTAGTCTCCATTGCACCATTAGTTTCACCAAAATGGAAATAAACATATCACTTTCTTTCATTAAATTCCTCCCCTGCCGACAGCCACAGATATCTACGCGTCAAATATTATTGGAACTCGACATCCTACACTATTCTATGTAGTTGATCGGAGAATTTGTTGTATTATATTCAGTCATTTTGTACTAAAATCACTAGTTAGTTCTTAAATTTAAAGCTAAGGTAACTTTGTAAGTTACATGTGTTAACACATTGAAACATTTTTTAGTACGAATGGGTACGAACGTTACCAGAAAATATTTGTGTGGTTGGTAAATAAAGACAAGTAAATTGTATTTCTTGAGGTTTTGTGTACTGTACAAATTTTAGTGTGTCCACGGCCTATTACAGGGGCCTAACTTTCATAGTAGACAATAGCTACAAAACATAACGGTTACAATAATAGGTACAACAGTCTCCTTCATAATTAAGTGCACTAGCTCTCCATAACTACTACTTCTTTATGAGGCGATACTCTAATAAGTTCAACTGCTCTACCTATTTTCTGCTTAGCTCATGATCATTACTATTCAACTGTCTTAATTGTTTTAACGGGTTAAATCAAGAGTGTTCTGAATTAGGTCTAACATATCCAATTATCCCGTCAAGTGTGTTATGGAGGGAGCTGAATTTTGGATCATTGCACATGATGGTAACCCTAATATGTCATTCAAGTGTTTTAATAAAGAAAAAGTAGTAGTGGGAGTAGAATATTTGGCAACAACCAAGCAGCTATGGTAATATGAAATCTTAGTCTATAAAGTCAACATTGGAAAACACAAACAACATGGCCTTAATCTTATTTTAAAGTTTAAACCAACATTTACTTAGGTTTCCCAGAATATACTGTAACAGCACGACTTGGTAAACCCACATAATATATTAGTGCAAACGTGTATGTTACGCTATGTGTTTAGTGATATTATAAGTTTCTAACGTTAACATTCAGAATTAATTATTCCATAAATATCTTCAGAGTTGATTGCAGGAACAAAATCTTGTTTAAACTCAAATATCTATCAAAATCTACTTATTGGATTTCTTAAATCTAGTGAAATGCTTGACTGCTTGTAAACTTGAGCCAAGGATCTTGACTGGGTGGCTCAAAGGTTGTCCTAAATACAATTTAAGACAATTGATAAAGGGAAAATGGCACTTTTCCCCCCTATGTTATATACTTATAGCACTTTTTCCCCCTCAATTATTTAAGTGGCTTTTTTTCCCCCTGAAATGTTAAATGGACATATTTACCCTTAAAATAAATATTTCATTTATTTTTATTCTCCAATAAATTATTACTATAATTTGGTTCAAACCAGATACTATAGTAACCAAACCAAAATATTCCAATTACAATTTATAATCAAAACGCGATATTTAGAGTTTATTAAAATCGCGAACTGGAATGGCCGGTTCATGTTCCGAACTAAAAAAATAAAATACATTTATTGTTGAATTTAAACTATTTTAAAATAAAAAATAAAATTTTAAAATAAAGACGGTTCAAAATCGCGAACGGGATCCGGAACCGCCGGTTCATGATCCAGTTTTTTTTTATTCTTAAATTTAATTAATTGAAATCCAAATATTGGGTTCTGGATCTGAATCATAACTAAAAACTTTTAATTCGATTGCTATAGTGTCTGGTTCAGTTCGAACCGAACCGTGGTAATCGCTACATATACGCAATAATTTGTTGGAGAAGTAAAATAAATAAAATGTTTACTTTAAGGGTAGAAATGTCAATTTAATATATTAGGGAAAAAACCACCACTTTTAAAATAATTGAGGGGGCTAATGTGCTTACATAAATAATTGAGGGGGAAAAAGTGCTATAAGTATATAACATAGGGGGAAAAAGTGCCATTTTCCCATTGATAAATGAATTGTTAATACAATTATAAGGTTGGATTGAATTCGAATTAATACTATAGTAGTGGGATTACTAAATGATGTATGCAAAATAAATAAATAAATAAATAAATAAAAATCATAAATTTTAAAAGATTGCCTTCACATAGATGCCTACAATCCAATCAATTCATCCCTCGTACGACTCGACTGTTAGTCTATCAATGAAGTAAAACTATTAATTTTTTTAAATTGATAAACGTTTAGGCTGTTTGTATTGGAATAATACTACAATCGTCAAAGCAAAACTATTTGACGGGGATATTACCCGAGTAGGCCTTCCCCTTGAACCATATATTTGCTCGGCATCCAATCATATCACTGAGAAGAATTATTTCTGATTTTCTGACCTGGATTGATCACGATCTCGAGCCACCCGACCTCGGGGCTATAGCCAGGCTGTCCAAAGATTGATTTGCCCCCCATTGCCTGTGGACCGGCCCGACCATTCTAGCCTTCTAGGTCGAGATGATAATTCCGAACAAGTACACTTGACAACCTAAGTCCAATCCAATTTTAATAGAGATATCATGAATCTTAGTACACGTGGCAGGTGAGGCATGATTCCTAAGACCGGCCGCTACATGCACAACATGTGCTAGGTATGCCAGAGGCCCGACATGTGTCCCCTTTCCATTCCCTATAAATACCGCATTTATGGCGAGGGAGAACTTTTGGCATTTTCTACCTACCTCAATACAACTCGGAATCTTCTGACCTTACGTCATCTCCCGAACTCAGGATTTAAACCAACAAGTAGACTAGAAAAGGAACTGTATTCGGTCTGACTTCAGCACTTGTACGTATACGTGGGAACCGTCGTATTTACCACATCACTATTATTTATTTGGGGTTAACTGCTGGGCTGTCTAAAATAATAGTATGGTCATTTCTTTGAATTGGTTATCCGTTGGGTTGTCTGTGGTGGAATAATAGTAAAGCCATCCAATACAATCACTGTAGAATTTCTTGCCATTGTTGCCCTTCCCATTCCACATTCCATGAATGCTGAGCTGCAACGTAACCAATCAATCATACACTCTTCCTCTCTCTCATTCAATGCAATGTAGCAGCTTGAGAGTTCCTGGACCACTGTGATCTGATTGAAACGTATGATTGTGGTGCGCTAAACATAGATTCCATTAGGGTTTAATGGCTATACAATTAAGAGGTCCCCAACTGGTTGGTTAGGCTGCCACTTTTAGGTGGTGGTGGGTGATTCATTCACCAAAGAACTTGCCCCATGTTGATACAATTATATAAATTCCATAACATATATAAATATTGTTGGATCTCGGCGTTGCACTATGCTTACTTTCCAACACGCTTAACCACAGAATTTTTAGCTATCTGATTGTCATATCCTACTCAAAACCAATTGATGATAAGTGCATAAACATTAACCATTTAATCACATCTTTTCATGGTAAGTCACAATGTCACGTCTCGAAATGAGCAGGGACTGAAACGTCCATCTGGTCTGTTGTTAGTCAAACTCTGCAAGTGCGACTCTAATCAAATTTGGATTAGACTCGAACAAACACATCTGGTTTGTCGTTAGTCAAACTCTGCAGGTGCGACTCTAACCGAATGTGGATTAGGCTCACAGCGGTGGAGAAAATGGGTGCTTATACGAAAAAGAAGAAACATCAGAAGTGACAAGTGAGAAAATGGGATAGCTTAACAAAGGCTATTTGCCCTGTTTGGTACACAGACTAGTTACAATTTCTCTACCATCTGCTTTCCTAAGCTATGGAGAAGAATCCAGTTCTCCTTCATACAAAACAAGAACCTTTTTTAAACAAAAGAAAAGCCCACACAGATAGCAAACTAGTAAAAAAAAAAAAACCAGAAAGACTATTGTGAGTCCTGTCTGCAATAATTCTTCCAGCTGCCCAGGACTGTACGAGATTTAACGATTTATAACATGAAATGGAAATCAATGGTTTGGCTCGAAGGAAAAGCTTCACCGCCTTCTTTAGTTCATGGAAGGTAAACTAAAAATCAACCTTCACCATCCATTGCTGCTTATATCCCCGCCCCCTAGGAAAATTAAGCTCCAACCCCTTGTTGGATTTTGTGTTCAGAGTATAAAGATTCATCCAAGCCCAGGAAGGACCTGTGAATGATTACGCTCTATTTACAAAATGATAGTAGCATCCCAGACTACTAAAATTCCTCGATAAACCTATATGCTTCTAATTGTAACTCCTACTGGGTTAGTCAATTAGAACCTGCCTATCCATATAAACAATAGTTCAGATTTCCACCTTCCAGACAACATTATCGACACTGCCTTCATGGGTTGTCTCGAGAGCAGCAACCTTAGCACAGTAACTCTTTCCCTTTTCGTCCCGAGGAAGCTCGCAATCTTCGCTTAAAGTTCCTGACCTTAAATCCGCGGGGGGAATGAAACAGTCTAGTGATAAGCCCGGGACATTGAAGGCTACCTCTTCGATAGTCCAGGCTTCCTCCATCCTGGTTTTGGTATGGCTCATGGCCATCTCCCCGAAACGGAATAGTGTCACGACAGAATGCCCGGAGTGGGCAATCATGATCCCTTCGACAGGGCGGTAATCGTCCAAGAACGAGTTTATAGTTGTCTCCCAGTAAACAGCATCCCCGCCATTCGTTTGGATGCGGGTAAGATGCGAATCCTCCATGTGAACAAGAAGCCCGGTCTTCTGACTAAAGTAGCCAAAGAGGACATGCCTTATGATCTCTGCAGGCCCTTCGCTTCTCGCCTTGAGCGTTTGAGGATCAGCACAGAGCTTGAGGATGAAGCAATCCTCCCCGTTGATCTTCTTCTCTCCTATGCACCGAGAATTGGCAAACAAACTAGCTGTGGTTCTTGGATCCAGACCCTAAAAAGAGTAAACCCCAAATCTGAGAATCGACAAACAAAAAATATATATCAACAGGCATCAGTGTTGCAAAAATCGCGCCTAGGCGCTAGGCAGTCGGCCTCCTAGGCTCCCTAGGCGGTCCCAGGCGCTTAGAGGGCGCCTAGCGATTTTTTCAACATTGACAGGCACACATATTTTGGTCACCTGAAGGGCTCTTCGCAATGGCCTAACGGGACCTTTTGCAGTATGAGCTCCAATCCATGGCGTGTGCCTCCAAACGAGCTTTCCATTACAACCCGCGTGAACCTTGCTCCCACCCACCGCAAGCTCCACGTACCACATGTCGGGATTCATTTTCCAAAGCACAAACCCGCCAGACTCAGCAGCTCTCGCAACATTCCTATTCTTCACTACCTTCGTCGGGGTCTCGATTTCTGAAGCCAACATCCTAACCTTCCCCATTGCATAAGCATTCTTCACCGAATGCTGCAACTTCTGCCCCCCAGAAGCTGCAGTATATTGCTGCAATATATATTGAGCAGATGATGTTTCCTGGACAAAAACAATACCAATTAGGTGTCCATCATATTACCAAGTAATAAAGACAACCAAAAAAACACATATGCCATCAACTCAAGGAATAAAGACAAGAAACAGTGTAAAAATTGGCACTTTCTCAGGCAAAATTATTGCCCTGTTTAAAACAAAGAATCTGCAACTTTTAACACCAAAAGCTGAGCTAAAATTTGTGTAGCATTTCTTAGTTTTCTTGAAATCAAGATGAAATTATAAACAAATTAAGATGAACAAAGTAAAATGTGTCTATAAAAAGTTTAACAATTTATATATACAAGAAAACATGCAGGGTGAAATGGTGAAACTTACAATGGGAGTGTCTTTGATACTGAGATGAGGGAGGGGGTCAGCGGTGCTAACGTGCACCGGGGCGAGAGGCGCACCCATGACCCCAAGTAAGAGCCGGAGATCAGACCGGCGGCTGTAACCGTTCAAGGCGACAGAGGGGGTGCGAGACAGCTGTCCCTTCATCCACTGGCCCAAGCCCGACCCGACCCGCTTCGAGTCTCCGACGTCCCCGCCGTCCGGATCAGGGCCCTCCATCAACGGCGTCAGCGTCTCGCCGAGCGGCCTAAGACTTCCCGATCTCGAGATCAACGTGTCGGGATTCACAACAAAATGACCGCTGCTGCTACCACCACTACTCTTCTTCCTCCATAGCAGCCTAGAGAGAGGCGACCCGCTTCTCGCCGGACTCTTCGCCCTTGATCGCGCCGGCGATAAGCTCCTAACCACTTCTTCCTTTAACGCCGAGAAGAACCCTTGCTTCCGCTCCATTTCCCAAACCACCCTAACTCTCTCTCCTTCTCTCTCTCTAACCAAATCAATATAAACACATAACGCTACTACGCTACCTCAGACACACCGAACAAGAATGCGACTAAAGGCCTGCCATGGCCGGAACCATAACCTCGCACTAAAAGCTAAACCCACTCAAAAACAAACCCAGAACCGGAACTAAAATCTGGGTTCACTCGATTCCAATGCCACTGCGATTATCAACAGAGAACAGAGACCCCAATACACGAATAATGCCCCTACACAACAACAACAACACTGTTCTCTCAGCAAAGAAACCTCTGCAAGCGCGAAAGACTGGAAGAAAGAGAAAGAAGATGAAGAAAGAAATTTCCAGTAGAGTGGTGTCAGCTGCTACTTTGCGAGCGAGAGAGAGAGAGAGAGTGAAAGAAAAGGAGGAGAGAGAGAGGATAGTGTGGTGCTCCCTGCTGGCTGCTGCTTTGTGTGACAGTAGGAATTGAGAGTAGCGTGTGTGATTTCACGCGCGGAAGAAAAGAATTGGGTGGGACCCGTTTAGGTTCGGTTAATTTTAAGGTAATGTGGGCTCCCTCTATGAAACCAAAAAGTAAATATACGAAAAATAAAAGAAGGCTATAGAAAGCAATCGTTATGCTGTGCATCCGGTTGCACCGTACTTGGTGCATCCGGATCCACACGACGTCGTTTAGGGAGTAACGGTGCCGTTAGTGGCACCGTTTCACTCCACCAATCAGATTTTTTTTTTTTTTTAAAAATAAAACAATGCTCCTTCGTTTCTTCTCCACTGCATTTCACTTCCCGCACTCCATTCCTTCTCCAACACGATACCCTCCGTAAACGCTTCAATCATCTCCATTTCCTTACCATTTCTTTAGAATTTTCTAGCTTTCAAACACACTCGTCGTTGCTATTGTCGCCGGCGTCCGATCATTGCGAATTCAACAGCATTTTCTCTGTAAACCAGAGCTCATCATCATCCTATAACAGGTATAAATGCATTTTACGTTGATACATAATGCATTTACACAAAACAAGCATTCATTTTGAGTATATATTTATGAAATTTTAAACTAGGGTTTTATACTGTTTAATCTTGTATGAATGTATAGTTATTTGATTATTAACGTGCATGGTTATGATTATGGGTTTATGAGTATATTTATAAGTTTATGGAACTGTAGTTTTACAATTTTGGAAGTATAGTTGTACATTTATGGAATTGTAGACATACAGTTTTGGGTGTAGTACTCTGTTAACCTTACTCTGTGCACCAAACTGCATTCATGCCTTCTTAACATAATTTGCTTTGTGCGTATACTTATGGAATTGTAGTTTTACAATTTTGGAAATATAGTTGTGCGTTTATGGAATTGTAGTTATAGAGTTTTGGATGTAGTACTCTGTGAACCTTACTCTGTGCACCAAACTGCATCAATGCCTTTTTAGCATAATTTGCCTTGTAGGTATGCTTATGGAATTGTAATTGTACAATTTTGGAAGTATAATTGTGCGTTTATGGAATTATAGTTATACAGTTTTGGATGTATTACTCTGTGAACCTTACTCTGTGCACCAAATTGCATTCAAATCCTTTTTAGCATAACTTGCCTTGTGGTATACTTATGAGATTATGGAATTGTAGTTTTACAATTCTGGAAGTATAGTTGTGTGTTTATGGAATTGTAGTTATGAAGTTTTGGATATAGTACTCTGTTAACCTCACTTGATGTTTTTTATTTGCAGAAATGGATCAGTCAGGTGTGGCAGATGATTCTACACTTGGTCAATTTGTGAAGTCTGTAAAAAAGAGAACAACCAGAGCAGTATTGAGCTCACAAGCTGCTGAACTCACCCCTGCCCAGGAAGATCAAGCAGAACCTTCGACAAGGCAACAACCAGCAGCTGTAAAAAGAAAGAGGGCACCACCACAAAAGCAAGAGAGAGTACGGGACCCTGATGTGAACTACTTCAGTACACGAATGGGTCCCAAGCAAATGTATGACCTTGTCCAGCGTCTAACACATGACCAAAAGGATGCTGTGATTGATATGGGTTTTGGAGGGCTGCTGCACCTACAATTTTCAAGCAATTACTCACAACTTGTTGAGTATCTCCTGCAAAGGTTTGATGTTTTCAAATCAGACTTCATATTGGATGGTGACCATCTACATGTTGGTGAAGAGGATGTTGAATACATCTTGGGACTCCCCCGGGGGAAGAGAGATGTTGAGGAAGGTACAAAGAGTGAGGAAAATTCTACAGCTGCATATAATAAGGTCCTGACTGAGTGGAGGAACAGATGGAATGTCAGGTCAGGGTCACCCATAACAACAAAGATGCCTGATGAAATAATCAGGAGAGGTGACCATGGAGATGCCTTCAAGAGAGACTTTGTGGTGTTTGCTGTCTCATCTCTGCTCCGGGGAAATACAGGAAGATATGCCAACTATCGAGTTATCAAGTCATTGCTCAACATCCGGTCAATCTCAAGACTTAATTGGTGCAAGTACACGTACAATTCTTTAATTGATTCGTATGACATTTACAAAGACTCTCCTACCAGATCCTTTGGAGGTCCAATGGTATTCATCCTGGTAATATCCCATTATACATAAAATGTTCTAATTATGTAATTATATTCATGCAATTATGGAATCATAGATATGCAATTCTGTATGTGTGGTTATGCCCTTATGGATGTGTAGTTTTGTAATTGTGGAATTGTGGTTTTCCAATTATGGAATAATAGTTTTACAATTATGGAATTATAGTTAATCAATTATAGATGTGTACTTTATGGATTATGGAATTATAGTCATCCAATTATGGAATTATAGTTATGCAATTATGGAATTATAGATATGCAATTCTGGATATCTAGTTTTATAATTATGGAATTATAGTTATGCAATTATGGAATTATAGATATGCAATTCTGAATATGTAGTTATTCAATTCCTTAACATACTCTTCTGTACTTCTTGAAGCTCTTCTACTTTGACCGAGTACAGTTCAGAGGCATGACCGTCAACCGCACATTCCCAGCAATAAAAGCTTGGACAAAAATCCTTGTACGCAAGCGAGTATCGGCTGAGATAAAATCAGGGGGTTTTGGTAAGGGCAAAGTTATCCCTCGATTTCAGAGACCTACTGCCATTGCATCTACATCATCACCCCGACCTGCACCTCCTCCTGCTGCAATACCAAGGCCAGTGTCCAGCCCTGCTGCTACACCAACTATTCCAGCTCCATCTGTGCCTCTGACAAATGTTGACCGAGTAACAAATGTGCTTCAACGGCTTACAGCAGATGTCCTTGAGTTCGGTCAGGTCATGTCTGACATTGGCAAGCAAGGGGCCCCGGTTGAAATCATGAAGAGGGCTTTTTCAGGAATATCAACAATGCTGAGTGCTGCAAGCACAATTCAACCGACTCCTAGCCCAACTGCCTCGCAATTGGATGACATCTTCTTTGGAAGTGAGAGCTTCACATCAGCAGTTGATTCTCTGGTAGCAGCTTTTGAAAAAACAAGAAAGGAAATGGAAATAGAAGTCCCATCATTTGAGCTACTTGGACGCTCTACACCAACCCCACCACCATCTCAACAGCAGCCTTTGGACACCTTGGTGGATAACATTGTGAGGAGTGCAGGAGTATCAACAGAGAAGGAAGCAACTCCATTGCTAATCAGAGTGCCATTCGAAAAGTCCACCACTCCTACTACCCCTGCTGCCCAAACTGCTGCTGAGATTGATGAATTTGATAAGTAGGTTACTGCTTTCTTATGCAGATTTAGACTATAAATATGGTTTTCAATTCATCAATAATTATGAATATTAAGTTTGATTAATATGAATATATTCTTATTCAACTAGTGACGTTGATTTCTTTACAATTATGGATATGTATTTCTCAAATTATGGACATATAGTTTATAGATTATAGAAATGTAGTTATACAATTCTGGAATTATACTTGTGGGGTTATGAACTGCCTCTGTTTTTTTCTGGACAACAGGGCTATGGATGAAAGTGAATCTGATGTTGAGGATGTTACTGTGAGAAAGAGACCTGTGCGCAAATTCAGGAACATCCCGCTTCATTTGAGGTCACCATATTGGAATAAGAACAAAGGCTCCATCAATAATGCAACTCCCAAAGAAAAGGTTTTTTCAAACTACGCATTTTTGGAAGCCTCAAGTGAGCACCCGGGAGGGTATGTTTCCATCCACCAATTTTACTTAAATTTTATTCATTAATTTATGTTCTTATATTTATTTATTTACTGTATTGTAGAGAGACATTGTTCAAATATGGTGATTACTACTTCACAAGGGATGATTTTGCAACTATGTGCAACGGTGAGCTACTGAGCAGCTTCCTAGATGTCTGGTCCCTACGTTTTACATTGCTGAACATGCCCCGTGCGGTTGGGGAGACAAAGCGGGTCTACTTCTCCACCCTAGTACATGTAAGTGTTCACAAATTATGAATATATAGTTTTTAGATTATGGATATGTAGTTATTCAGTTCTGGATGTGTACCTGTGAACCCCTGGTTTTATAATTTTGTAATTCTGGAATTATAGTTATGCAATTATAGAACTATACTTATGCAATTATGGAATTGGTTATATGCAATTATGGAATTATTGATATGAAATTATGGAATTATAGTTATCCAATTATGGAACTATAGTTGTACAATTCTGGAAATGTATATATATATATATATATAACTCTGTATGTATAACTTTAACATTTTCAACAAATATTATTTGGATTATGACTACCCATTCCTGCATTTGTATGTGCAGCTTCAAATTGATCCCAATGATCAGTGGATGAAGGATCTCCCAACTCACATAAAAATGAAGAATTTCAATGAGAGATTGAGCTATGAAATAACCAGCTTCGGGAACCTAGACATCAGTGATGCAGATCTGGTAAGTTCTATTACCCATGTCCAATTTGACTTTATCATGTCCAAAAAAATACTAACATTGCTTTAACTTTGAATTGGAATTAGATATTCTTCGCAGTTCATCGCCATGGTCACTACTTCTTGGTCTGCTTCAATGTGAAAGAACATAAAGTACAGGTCATTGACAACAAGGAGTTACCAGCTGGTGTTTCGGAGAAGGACAAATATGGCAACTGCCCACACTTATTGGTAATTTTGATAAAAAAAACTTGACATTCTTACCATTACCTATCTATTGACATAAAAGCATTATCAACACTAAACTAACTTTTCTGACCAGATTGAAGCATTCAGTGGTTACCTTAAGGCCGAGTGCCACTCCTTGTATGTGAAATTGCAAAAAGTTGATATAAAGTACCTTAAGTTGGACTGGGCAAACACTGAAAACGTCACTGATTGCGGGATCTATGTACTCCGTCATATGGAGACATTCCGAGGGACTCTACAAGACTGGCAGCCAGGATTCAAGAAAAATATGCGCTTGAATGTAAGACTACCATACATATTATAGTTTCAAAATACATTAAAAAATAAATAAAACTGCGAATGACTAATTACTTAATGTTATTTGTTTATAGGCAAGCTTCATGTGTGAATTGCGAGCGAAATATGCTGCGAACCTCATAAAGTGGAGAATGAATGAAGTCAGGGGGGAGGTTCTGCAAGCGGCCAAAAGAGTTTCGAAGAAGAATTGAATGGATATTCTTCAACATGTTGACTGAATTCTAAACAATTAGAAAGTTTTTGTGAACTACATTGACAATGTGACTTGTATTTTGTGAATGTAGATGCATGATGTTAATAGCTAAATAACAATTTACATCTGATCTATGCACCTCTTTCTCTTTTCTCTTCTTTTCTTTTCTTTACTTTTTTTTTTTTTTTTTTTTTTGTTTTCATGTATCAAATCTATAATTGCATGACTACTATAAATCCAGAATTGCAAAACTATAGTTCCATAATTGCATAACTATAATTCCATAATTTCATAATTATAATTCCATAATTGTATATAAACAATTCCACAATTGCATAACTATAGTTCCATAATTGCGTAACAATAATACCATAATTGCAAAACTATACATCTATACTTGCATAACTAAACACCACAATTTCATAACTACAAATTCATAATTGCATACCTTTCATAATTGCATGACTACAATTCCATAATTGTATAACTATAATTCCATAATTTCATAACTACAGTTCCAAAATTGCAAAACTACATATCCAGAATTACAAAACTAAAACTGTATAATTGCATAAAATCAATGATAACAACTTGTATTTCTCAATCTACACCTACATTGTCATCTAAACCCTTACTAAACTGAACAAAATCTGAACTTGAAGAACTTGGATGTACAAGGTATCCATCCCCAGCAAGCTTGGATATGTTTTCCAACACCAAAGACTGAACAGCACCCTTTGTACTCAATGCAGCTTTATTTGCAGCACTCCTTCTCCCCCTTGCAAGACTGTACTTCTTTTCAATAACACCACTCCTCCTTTTGTTACGCTCACCTTTCAATCTCCGACTTGAAGGATTTTGAACACCACCACTTGAAGATGAAACACCACACTCTTCAATATGCACATGCCCAACCTCGGCTTCAACCTTTTTCTTTACATCATCAACAGCCTCGTCACACAGTTTCCTCGCTACGCTGCTATCTTGACTAGACACAACTAATCTTTGAAATTTTCTACTAATATCGAACACCCAAATTGATGGAGGAACACCAACATTATAAACCATAGAATCAATGTTGACATTCCTACCATCAATAACCTTTTTAGTCCATCTTTTAAGTATATATTTGTCGGGAATACTAGAAACACAATGTACGTGAAGAATGCGTATACAATGACAACATAGAATTCCCAACTCAGACATCAACTTGCAACTACAAGAAATGTCCAAGTTGGCTGCGTTAAAACTAACCTCATGCCTTATAATATCTATATCTGGCCGCCACACGTGATACTTCTGTTGACGGCCATCATTCAACACCATCTCTTGATGACACGCACTGCCTTTCATGAATTGTTCCTCAAACAGAAAATATATCTCAATCGTGTATACCTCTCTAGCATGTGAAAGAAGTTTCACATGCTCCATCATCATAGCGGGTACCCCTTGAGCACACCGAAAGTCTTCACCGTTCTCTTTACTTCTCCATTCAGAAATTACGCTTACAAACGATGAATAGAATGCCCCCAGAAAAATCGAATGATTTGTAGTTTCACTCCTTTGTGATGATAGAATGCCCCCAGAAAAATAGTCCTTGTTAAATGCTGGACACCACTTCTCCCTACAGTCATATAGCTTTTCTAACCAAGTATTCTTGTGACATTTATAGTCAGTCACCAACCTGAAAATGGTAAGACAAAATCCCAAATGATTATGAAGCAGAATATTAACAAGCAGCATCACCACATCTAACACATACTCAGAATTTCTATTGCTCTATATACATAATTGGAATACTATATGTCCATAATTGATAGACTATATATCCATAATCCATACTACTACATTTCCAGACACCACCAGTAAGTTCAACTGCTATATATCCATAATCGGTATACTATATATCCATAATCGGAATACTATATATCCATAATCCATATACTACATTTCCAGACACCACCACTGCTATATATCCATAATCGAAATACTATATATCCATAATTGATGCACTATACATCCATAATTACAAACGTAATGCAATAAAAACGATTAATTACTAACATACCTTGTCCAATAGAATTGAAATTCAGCTTCGGTCTCTGTGTATTTCAACACGTAGTTAAACATATCCAAGAAATCCTTATTGCTCCTTAACGTCTTGATATGCTTCTTTGAATTCTCACCGATATGCCATATGCAAAGACGATGACGTGATGTTGGAAACACTTTAGATATAGCAGCAGCCATAGCTGCACATTGATCTGTCATAATAGTCTGTGGAGACTTGCCACCCATTGATCTTGAAAACACTTTAAACAACCACACAAACGATTCTATCCTCTCATTCATCAAAAACCCGCATCCAAACATTACATTCATGCAATGGTGATTCATCCCTACGAAAGGGGCACAAATCATATCGTATTTGTTTGTGCGATATGTCGTATCATGCACTAACAAGTCCCCAAACACCTCGTAATCTCGTCTCATTTGACCATCCCTCCAAAAAAAACTGCACAACCTTGCATCCAAGTCAAGTTCAAAATCAAAGAAAAAATCAGTCTCGGTAGACTGCCTCCTCCTAAAAATTTCAATTAAAGAGTTAGAATCCGTTCCATCCAATCGCTTGACAGTATCCGCAGCCATTGAATTATAAGCATCTCTACTGGTGAAACCAACTAAAGGGGACCCCCCGATTGGTGTTTTAGGAACCTAATACCATCTGCCAATGCAACACCACTGTCCTTCAAACCTTGTAAATATAAGAGCTGATTATCTCCGACACTCCTATGTGAACGAAGTAGATGACTCTTGTTGAACACACATAACTCGTGATTGTGCACTTTCTCGTGTTTCGTAACTGTCCACAACCCATCATCACCCACGTCAAATTGAACAAACGCTCCACACCCTGTCCTTGTGTCAATTTTGGAATAAGCCTTAACCCCACTGTTAGCCTTGTAACCAGCCTTAGAACAACAAAATTTCTTCATTTGAATTGTGTTCGAAGATCCCTTGTATCGTTGATGACCCTTCCTCACACTAAAACCAAGTGTATATGCATAACTGTTATACACCTCAAAAGCCTCATCAGCATTACTTACTACCAAACCAACCAAATCTTGATCAACTGCAAATATAACACAATAATAACCATTTCCATTAACACATAATTCCTAACCATAATTTGCTAATTAAAAGGTAAACCACTATGAATAAACCTGTAATTGATGAAGATCCATCAACATCTACTGAACCATCCACAATGCCTTCACTAACTACATTATATAGACATGGTGAACATTAATTCAAACAGTTCATCAAACAGAAAAAACAGAGTGTCTACAGATTCTGTATATATAGTTATATGATTATGGAAATATAGTTATACAATTCTGGATACACAGTCGCAACAAACTGCCAAAACAGAGTACCCCTAATTCTGAATATATAGACATGCAATTCTGGAAATATAGTTATGAAATTATGGAATTATTGTTTTCAAATTCTGAAATTGTTGTTACACAATTATGGAAATTACTTACGTGATTTTGCACAACTATTTGCAGATTCTAGACACAAACATCACTGCTAATCACATAATCATATAAAAAACCAAAAGGAACGATTGCAAAAACAATAACAAGATCACCTTGAATCGAATGCCAATCATCAACTGCGGAATTCGTCTGCTCTGTTCCATCCTCCATCTATCAATCACTTTGTAATTCCGGATTTCGATTTGCGATTGCGATTGCGATTTGCGAATGCGATTGAGATTGCGATCGCGATTCCGGTGATATCGAATGCCAATACCACAGCGAACAACTGCCAACGATCGAGTTTGAAACTTGGAAACAAACTCAAAAGGAATTTGGAAGTAAATGCCGTTAACGGAATTTTTTTTTTTTTTTTTTATAAAACCCCGCGTCATTAGGCTAAAACGACGTCGTGTGGATCTGTATGCACCATGCATGGTGCATACAGATCCACAGCATAATTTGCCTATAGAAAGAGAGATATTATTCCAACATCCCAATATCCGCTGCCGTCTTTCATTTTTGAGATCGGAAAATACTAATTGTACTAATGTCATTTTTATATGACTTGTTTGTTGGGAAAAAATCTGAAAATAATTGTATCCTCAATTCCTCATAGATCATTAGCTTGTTTCATAGACATATGAAATATCTAAAGATGTCTTAAAGGTCGATAAATATGATTGTTATGTCTACGAAGGTCAACTTGAGTTAGGGAGTACATTGTGTGAATTCCAACACCTATTTACTCTTCCACCGGAGTCGAAGGACGTCTATGATCACGTCTCCCGACATACTGTTGAATTATTGGATATGAAAAACAGGTTGAAGTCAATAATGATGCTTACCTTAAATGCTTATTTTAAAAAAAATAAAATTAAAAGTAATCATATACTAAGCTCGTCTCCTAGATCAAAGATTGTCTCACACTAAAGTTTCATCCAAGATGAAGCTTTTCCTCTCCCTAATCCTACTTCAAAATATATATATATATATATATATATATATATATATATATATATATTTCTTAGAGCAATTCAAGAGTGATTTTGTGGAGGATTTATTTTTACTAGCCCACTAGGCGCTTCAGAGTAGCGCCAATCTAAATGTTATCTTTTGATGTTTTTTAGTGATCATAATGACATTGGAAGCTTCATTTTCTCAACCTGTTAAAGCACTAAGAGTCAATAACGCATCAACTGGGGCTTTCTCATGACCTCCCATATATGAGATGTCACTACATGTCATCTGAGCATAAGGTGCTTGGCAAATGGGCAGTTTCTTTATTTAATTTGTTTTATTTATTTTTTTATTAAATTTACAATTGTTAGTTAAATTCAAATTTGACATGTTTAATTTAAATATAAATGGTAATCACTATAATTAGAATTATATTTTTTTAGACTGATAATAAATAAAGAATTATAGTTTGTGAAGAAGGATGGGTCAAACCAAAAAATTGTAAAAAAAAAAAAAAAAAAAAAAAAAAAAAAAAAAAAAAAAACTCAAACTATTAGTAAGAAGATTTTTTATATTGAGTAAGATAGTAAATCATGAGATGGATGTTAGAATCCACAAAAAAAAAAAAAAAAAAATGAAGAAAAAAACTTCAACTATTGAGGTTGTTCTTAGTTAGATGCTAATTTTATTAAAAACTACAAAATACAAAATAAATAGAGTAAATACTTATTTAATGAGTCAATTGTATTATTATTATTTTTTAAGTTCAACGATCTAATTACATTTATGAATATAATTCAATAACTAATTTAACTTTAACTCAAAAAATATATATACATATAATTAATCGAGTTGTAAGTATCAATATATACAAACATTCTTATATAACACGACAGTAGAATTATAGGCCAACTCCAAATTTGAAAGTTAAAAACAACAGTATATATGTCTAAATGTCTAACGAAAAGTAAAAGCCAAAGGCCCATGCGAAAAAGTTGCGGGACCAATCAAATAAAATTTGATCTCCAATCAACATCCCTTTGACTCGTATTTCATAGGATCAATAGATTTTTTTAGCATGTTGAGATTACAACATTCCAACTTAATTTTATAAGTTTAAAACCTGGCCACCCACAACTCCTGAGGATGGATGGAAGAGGTAATTAAGGTGAGAAATTGAGGATGTTTTTACTCATCCACTTTAGTATTTTGTTTTTCATGAAAAATAAGTAAGACAATTTTGCTCTTTAGAACTCTCTTTATAATTATTATTATTATTGTGTGGGGTATATTGATTTTTATGTTCATTATTCTTTACAATTTCAAATTCAACCAAACCATTGAATCAATATTTACAGTAATTTATTTTTCATTTATATTTAATTTCATTCCTCCTCAAATATTTTCCATGAACCAAACAAGCTAATAGGTATGATTCACTCAAAATATTCATGACAAGTTTACAAATTAATTTGCTAGAATTTTGAAACCTTAACTTTTAAGAAGTTATAATCACATGTGCTTTGAGCTAATGACAATGACGATCTAAGCAATAATGTGTTGGAGAAAAAAATAAATGAAATACTTATTTTTAAGGATAAAAATGCTCGTCTAATATAAAATGAAAAAACGTCACTTTTAACATAATTGAGAGGTAAATGTAGATATATGAATAATTCAGGGGAAATTGTTATAAGTATATAACTTAGGGAGAAAAAGTATCATTTAACTTTAATTTTATTATCTAAATATATAATAAAAAAATTTATCCGTGCATCGCAAGGGTAATTGGGCAATTATTTGCTCAAATTCAAGTCGGAATAACATCATATATATAACATAATCGATCTAACCCATTTCATCAATTATATTATATGATATTCGTTGTTATAATTTATATAATTATATATCGATCCAAATATTTTTAAAATATTATAATAAATATATTTCGTGCAAACGCGTGAAAATACTAGTTAAGATAATGCCAATAATATTGTTCTTCATGAAAATTTCACAACTCCTCTTCCTAAAACATCGGGGAGGCCGTAATTCTTCCATTGTTTGACGGTCTGTTTCGGGGATGCTTTAGAACATGTACCAGTGTACCACGATTCCACGAAGTACGGACATAATTAAGATAATATCGTAAAACGCAACTGCTTAATTAAGCATATAAAAATGATAGTAATTAGCTGTTAAGTGCAGGGATTTGTTAGGACTTAGGAGTGGCCTCACATCCCATCAAGGCCTAAAGCTCCCGCATTTTAGGGGCCCAAAAACCGTGTTTTAAATTCGATTACGGACTATATTGCATACAGCTAAGCACCGTTCCGTTCCCCACTGAAAGAGCATCGCAGTTATATTTAGAATTTAGAATACTATAGTCTATAGGGTCACATAACTTAATGATCACTTACCCTTTTATCATAAAAATATGAAATGGAATAAATCATGAGATATATTTTGTATATTTTTTTGTGAATTCAAATCGTCACTGGTCTCTCAACTTATTTTAAATTTGTTAATTAATTAAGTTATGCATATGGAACATATATTATATGTAATATCAATTATGTGTGATCTGTTCTATTTAAAAAGTATTTAGAAATATAATGTTACATTATCGTACTAAAATTATTTATTGACTTATTATTGCACTAGAATCTATTTTTTAAAAAAATATATTTGATTATTACATACATTTTTTATTTATTAATAACATGAATCAACTAATTAATTTATAAATAATTTTTTTAAGTTATAAATAATGTCACTTCAAAATAAACATTGAGGATTGATTTTTCTGAATGTGAAAATGTTTTGAAAAGAGGAAATAATAAAGATCCACATATGCATGCAATTATGGTGATTTGTGAATTGGTGTGGATATATGAGTTGCAGTTATCACGTAGCAAAGTAAATGACGACATTTATGATTGAGATAGTGGTTTGCGAGTTATGAAAGTTCCCTAACATCGGATCAAGTCGTTTCTAGTACTTGGTTGTGTGGATATGACTCGACAAAACTTTTTCTAATAATACTTTAATTTTGTATGTCCCATTTTAACAACAAAAAGATTAATCTTAATATGAAAAAATAACACTACATTTCTAATTAGAATTATTCAAAAATTGAACGTTGGACAAGCTATAGAGGAGTTGCATTATCTTAGCTAGTCAAAACATGACAACTCAGTTGTTATTCTATTAATTTGTACAAATTGACAGCTAGAAGATAAAACTATGTATATTATTATTTGTTTTCTTAATTATCTCTTGAGTCTCGATAAGTTCAAATAACCCAAAAAAATTCAATAAATAAATTGGCCACGCCTAATATATAACTTATAGATTATTACAAATGCCACACTTATTATAGTTGGAGAGGCACGTGCAAAGATTTGCTTCACAACTGCAGACATATTCTAAGATAAATATATAGACTCAGAATCTAGCTTTATTTTATATCATCAATTACTGTGTACAGTCAAAATTTTGAGGTTTTTAAATTTTTAATGTTGTGGCATGCAATTCCAACCTGGTTATACCTTATATACATTCGGATTCAAACATGAAATATATAAAATTGGGAATCAATATAATTGGCATGCATGCCTTAGCCATATATTAGTTCAAATCCGAATCAATACATTAACATGCCTTAATCGTATGTGAGTTCTATTCTATCCATACAAATATAAGAGTTGCTATCAAGAATAATTTAATTTGTAAATTGTTTCAAAATATTAAAATTGGTTGTGGACTTTTATGGCACTCTTTGATATGCATGTCATATTGTCCCAAAGGTATATAGCACATCTTCAACTTACTAATAGTAAAACATTGGAGGATTATATTATTGTGTAATACACTAATAGCTAATTGGAGTCAATTAGTAATAATATTTTTTTCGAATCATATTTTCATGTGAGAGAGGGAGATCTCAGGAAAAAAAAAACTAAAGGTGAGGATGATAATGAGGCGGGGCATGGTGAGCTAGGTGGGGAGTAAGCGCCCCATCCCAGTCTCCGTGAAAAAATATACAGGGATGGAAAACTTCGTGCCCTAGTCAACGTTGTATGTATATATATATATGGATGTATGTATCTTATCCCGGATGAAAATTGTAAACAATTATTATCCCGTCCTCGTTCCATGAATTTTTTCCTCATCCCTATTATCGTGGGGAGGGGAATCAGTGATCATTGTCG